GGATGTTAGTGTTGGAGACACAGAGGAAGGGTGGTTTCCATAAAGCTTTTCCATACAACCAGCAGAGTTTCAAACCTCCCTCACACCTACATAAACACGCTGCGTTTACAAAGATCAGCATTAAGCTTGATCAAACTTCAGGGAAAGATGATCGTAATGCTGAAGTAATGCAGAGGCTTTTGCTGTTAAAAACCTGGGCCAGATATGCTCACACATACACTTATAGAATAGTTTGCATGTTATGATATTCTTCTGTTGTAGACTGTTTGAGACTCAAACGGGAACGATTTTAATGAGAGAGAAATCGAGTAATTCTTGATATGGCGGCTGATGTTGTTGGGTTTTTTTTAGCTGAAATGAACACCGCTTTTTTTCTGTGTGGACTGAGCAACATGTTGCAGTTTGCAATGATATGATAATGCAAAGATAAGATAAATTTAAAATATCCTTTACTGATTGCCAGGAGGGGAATTTGGGCTTTACTGTAACACTAATTTGTTTATAAAGTTCATATTCATACTACAAGTGTTGCTGGAGCTTTTTGACCTCTTCTAGCCTTTCACTCTTCATGCACCTTGGTGGTTGGTGAAGTTGTTCTGGAAAATCCCGCTCTACTTTATCTGTAGTCCCCCAGCAGGTTGGTGGTACACAACATACAAATCTACATAGATAATCACAAAACACAGAGAGCACAACATCAAGCAGAAACCAAACAACAACATAAACTGTACATTAGTGAACAAAGACACACGTATAACAATACACAAGTGGGAATGCGATTTGGCTCACAACAAGCCAGGAATAAAGTTACCATCAGGGGTAAAGTGCTAAAGAGACAGGAGGTTAAGTGCACATGACTGTAAAGCGCTGGTGCAAATTGCAGATAGCCCTATTGCTCAAAATGTGCATATACAGATATGTATGCATCTGTATATGAGTCATGTGGGTGATGGCAAAAGTTTTTGTAGACAGGAGTGCACCATGCCAAGGTGCAGCCGATTCTGTCGTTGAGCCTCCAGCCAGGACACACCTCCTGTAGCAATCACACCGACAGAAAAACAGCAGCAAGCCAAAGACTGCCAGGGGCCTGATGACCGGGTCATCACCATGTATATCATCAGACATTTGAAAACACAGATGCCTTTAAAGATGAATCTAGAATTGTTGGATATTGGCTGACAGATATGTCATGGGGCTCTAGGCTGGACTAAAACATATTTCCTCATCCATAGACATACTGTAATTAAATGTATTTCATACTGACATGGTGCTCAGAGGATAATTTCCTGCTGAATTGCTTTGTTGAAACATGCTGGACAGTCAGAAGTGTTTGAAGCTTTTCCAAAAGAGCGCACTCGAAGGCAGAGTGAAAGCTGGTCGTCTGAGAGAGGAAAGAAACGGAGAATCACTTACAAAAAGAGGAGTAATGCAGCTCAATTTTAACAGTTATTTATACTCAAAACCAGAAACAGAAAATATTTGTGTGAAGAATGAAAAAGAAGGCTGAAAAGATCTGTACAGACTTTTTTTCTCTCTCCCCACAATCACTGCCAATCACTGAGTAAAGGGCTGTGACTGTCTGATCTGTTTGGACCGGCTGGTGAACAGGAAACAACGCAGACAGACATGAAGACTCCCATCATGCCGTTCTGCAGCAGTTTTGATTCAATTACACCGGCAGACTGAGAGAAAAGAGCCCAAGTTACGTCTGGGCCTCAGAGGAATATTTCTGGGAAGAGGGCGTTGTCACAGGCGCTCCTCACGTCTCGCTAAACCTTTCACTTTACCGCTTTAGTGATGCAGAAGGAAAAAAAAGAACTTTATCAAGTTTAAAAAGTCAAAATGAATGAAAAGTGCGATAACTCCTGCAAAATAAACAACTACTTTTCTAGCATGCAAACTGCCTGAATCAGTACATGTATCCTTTAACCTTCAATTATAGTCATTTATTTTTTAAGGTTTATTTTTGGGCATTTTATACCTTTTTATTAAAAGGACAGGACGATGGATAGAGTCGGAAATCAGGGAGGAAGAGAGAGAGTGGCAGCAAAGGAGCCACAGGGTGGATTTGAACCCGGGTCGCCGCTCTCAGGACTGTAGCTCTTTGTACATGGGACGTGCCCCATAACTCCTGTGAAATTAAACAAAGCTTTATTCTGACCTCCATCCATCAGTCCATTGTCTTTACCACTTTATTGTTTCAGGGTCACGGGGGGCTGGAGCTGATCCCAGCTGTCACCAGGCGAGAGGTGGGGTTACATCCTGGACTGTTCACCAGCCAATCACAGGGCTGACATAAAGAAGCCTCACTCACATTCACGGACAATTTAGAGTCACTAGTTAACCTAACGAGCATGTCTTTGGACTGTGGGAGGAAATATATTCTGACCTGTAGCAAAAAAAAGAAGACTTTTCTAGCATGTAAACTATCTGGATCAGTGCCGAGTTAGTTGTGTATTTAAAAAACAACAACAGGTTGTCTCGACAAAGTACTGATAATCATCCTCTTCTTTCAAAATATGATATGACTCACTTTCCCCGCTCTGGAGGTTAAAAATGTGGTGCTAAAATGTACACACATGTTGATGTGATAATTTGCTCTGATGTACCTCGTGTAACGTTTTACAGCCTTTTTTCCAGCAGCTGAATTTTGATTATGTTTCTGCTCTGTGTGCAGTTTGGGGCTGAAACCACAGGAGAGGTTGGAGAACCAGGAGTCTACCGCCATCTAGTGGTACCATCAGGAAACTACATGAATACACAAAAAACAATCACATACTGGCAAGGTAGAATCACACTGTGGGCTAATCTCAAAGCCTCACCCCTTCTTTTTAAAATTATTAAAAGATATGTAAGGTTGAGTGCAGTGGTTCTCCACTGGTCTATCATCAGGGGGGTCTTTTTGTGCCTTTATTGAAGAGACAGGACAGTGGATTGAGTCAGAAATAAGGGGGAGAGAGAGAGAGAGAGAGAGAGAGAGAGTGTGGGGAATAGCATAGGGGGAAAGACACAGTTCAGATTTGAACCTGGGCTGCCTGCTTCAAAGACTTCAGCCTCTCTACATGTTTCAGGCATGCCAACTAACCACTACCACTACTGGCGCCCCCTGACTCATTTCTTTAATAAAAAATGGTGCAGTTTGGACCTCAGATGGTTCAAAACATGTAACAGAAGAAAGAGATGGAACAAAACAAACATGTTTAAAAAGCGCTTCAGAGACTTCTTGACACTTTTTCATGCTAGGCGCACATTTGAGACCCACAAAAAATTGTTCGTTGGCCAACCTTTGGGTCCTGACCAGTTGAGAACCAGAGTCTTCAAGCACCACAGCATTCACACCCTCCCTCTTGTTGGATTTGTTTTTAAATTAAACCCTGATTCCACTTCCTGCTTGTCAGATGATGAACCCTCAAAGTCTTCCTCTAGCACCATTCTCAACATAGCTCCTGTGTTGTTCTTATCTTTAGGTGTGTTGAAACACTTCCAGGATGTTGTTGTTGTCCTGTACTTCAGATTGAGTCATGTTTTTGTACAGAACAGTGCAGCTTCTATGGGACTCGAGCAGGATGTCACTATTGTCACAAAGCATGTTCTGTGTGGGCTGTGAATGGTCCTTTAACTCCTCATGTGTGGCCTCCGCTCCGTGTTTTATACGGCAGCGTGCAGAAGCAGCTGGTGGACAGATTAGTTTGGTGTTAATGCTTCTGACAAGCTTTAACCCAACAGCGGGACCTGCAGGACACCGACCTCTGCCGACATCTATCCATATGCCACCGCAGCATTCACACCCAGTCTCTGGCTGAATGTGGTTTGGTAAAAGAGGGTTTTGACCTTTACGTAATGAGTTAATTGAAGTTAATTTGTCATGACTTTTACTTATTTCAGAGCAGCAGTTTGTTGCCTCTTTATTCCAGGATTGTCAGCACTATCGAGCCAAGAGACTGCCACTATACGACTCTTAAAAGTTGACAAATTCAACTTTATTTGTCCTCAAAGGGCGATTGGTTTTGTGGCAAGGCAGAACAAGCCAGTAAAAATAAAAAAGACAAAAGTACATCCAAAAAGCCAACATGTTAAAAAATGTGTATGACCCGGACAATTGTCAGTAAAACCTTTCTTTGCTTTTCTTTTAATTTAATCTTCAGTTTAGCAGGGAGGACCCACTGAGGTCTCATTTCCAGGTGTGCCCTGCAGCAATTCAAATGCTGAAACACATCTTCATACTTGTAAACATGTCCACTTCAATTATTTCACATTTTACTGTAAAACATTGTTACTATTATTTCAGAAACTAGTCTTTTTACAAGAGAGGGCGGCTTAGCTGTTCTTTGGAAGTTATTCCACATAATGGGTGCAGCAACACTAAAGCAGTCTTAACACATGACAGTGTGATGTCATGATCTAATCCCGGGGGTTCCCAAATGTTCAAGGTTGTGACCCCAAAATCAGGGTGCCACAGACTGAGGAAATGTTTTCCCCTTTCTTATTCAATATTTTAATTGGGAAAAAACTTTCTCTGAATCTTCTCTCATTTATGATAAGGAGACAAAAAAATAGAAAAAAAATAAGAACTAACCCTCAAGCTAATAAACACTAACTAAACTAATTTGTACAAAATAAAAGCTGAACTGACAAACTGCTTAAAAAACTGATGAAAATTAAACTGAAACAAAAAGTCAGAACGACATAAAAAAAATCAAAACTAATGAAAGCTCCAAAACTAATTTAACCTTGGCAGAATAAACCTGTTTAAAATAGCACTTATTGCTTTCTCAATAGAGCGCAGATTAATCATTTTGAAGTCATCTTGTGTTTATTTTTGTGTCGCATTATTTTTAAGCAAATCTAAATATTTTAATATTTTGTTCCACGAGGCATTAAATGTACCAAATATTCAATATTTAATGACGGAGACGCCATCTGGCTCCTCCCCCTCCTACGTCACACTCCATCCCGTTCCTCGCCCCTCCTCCTTTTTCCCTCCGCAAAGCTGCATTCCTGCTGCCACATCGGACCGAACCATTCTGTGTTAGCAACGACATTTAAACTGAAAAATATACCAAATATACTCATTACACGCATTTTAAGTAATTTAGATTTTAAATATAGTCGATTCGTGTTTGTTTGTGTGACAAATTCACTCTTTAGTCCATAATACAGTGGATTGTTTTACAGTTAGTCCAAAGCAGCACCCCCCTGTCGGCTCTCTTTAAAGTCGTCTGCTCCGTCTTGCTGCCATGTTGGATGTACGCATCGATGCTGCAGCTGCTGGAGTTCCCGAATGAAAGTTGAGCGTTTAGCTGCGTACAGACACGCAGTGAGGGATAATATTTTTAATCCAGCACTGAAAGGAGACGTCAAGGTTCTTGCTTAACCAGGAGCAAGCCCGGAAAATAACACCCCCCGACCTCCTCCGCCCTCCAGCTCGGAGTCGGACTCGGTGGAGATGATCCGGTTGCAGGCCACAGCAACCGGAGCCCGCATGGATTTTCTGTAATAAGAAGTGTTTGCTGACTCCTTCAAAGGATACCTGCTTTATTTTCGGAGTGCACTAGACAAAAAATCAGAGCCATGAACAGCCACCCGCCTCCCCGCAGGTCTGCAAACGTCGGCTCCATCCTCCTGACCCCGCAGGAGAACGAGTGCCTGTTCGGCTACCTGGGAAGGAAATGCGCCGTAAGTTTCCCCCACTTTGTTTACCACCTGCAGGTTTCAAGAAGGTGCTGGTTCATCCAGCCCAGGTGTCTTAAACCACCACCAGCACGTGCCCTTCTAATCCGGTATACCTCTTCTTATTTGGCATTAGACAGCAGGAATCTGTAGTGGCACCTTGGTGGTGTTCAAACCGGGGGGCATGGTGTTGCAACGACATTGGTGACCCTTCAGACTCCTTGACCTTGTTTACACAAATTCTGAAACGTGTTCAGCTACCTGAGCAGGAAGGAGACCCAATTTGTAAACGTTTTGCGCATTAACCTCTTGTGATATAACATTTATTTTAAGGCATTGTTGGAAACTACAGAAACAGTTGACCTGTTTTTGAATACAGGACCTTGATAAATCTAAACATTAATGCAATTACAACTTTCATAGTATGGGGAAAGTTAAAACAAAATTAAGCACAATAGTAATGTTAATATGGATAGATAATAGTTGTAAGATTCAGTGAAATGTTTAATGTTAGACAACATAAGCACTACTATCTTTGTCAAACATATTAAACAAAAATTAACCCATATGCAAAATACAAGGGGTCTGGCAGGAGAAAGTCCAGGTGAATAACATACAGCTCCTCTGGCAAATATCAGGAGTTTTCCAGACAGGTTTTCTGCAAGTGTGAAAGCCCCATAATAGTCCAAAAACCGTTGTGAATCCTATTCTTTGAGTTGACACCTGAAACTGTAGGAGTCCCCAGCAGGGCTCCAGGTGGCACACCAGACGCATCATGCAGGTCTGTAGGCTACGTACTGCTGCTACAAAGGTTGACGGTCTTGTAGCAGCATCTAAGTCTGTTACATCTTTAAAACCAACCACATGTAATGCAGTGTATCAATTGAACAGGTTGTGACAAAGTACGTCATGTCTACGGGCACAGCTGTCATGTGTGCATTACTCTTTATTTTGTTTTATACTAAGGTGTTTACAAAGTGGAATTGGCTGTGGTCACAGGATGAAGGTTGGTTGTTGAATCTACTTGAGACTTCTTGTGTGACACTTTGACCCCCGACAGGCAAACTTAACCTTTGTTTTGATTATCATTTCAAAGCTGCCAGGCCTGTAGTGAACTACTTTATTTTTCTGACATATGGAGATGGGACAGGAAGCTTCCCATTATTTCCATATTTATCTGATGCTTCCAGCTGTTATCATGGATGCTACTGTGTCACCCCGGGGCCACATCACTCATTTGTGAAAAATTAAGTTTTTTTGATGGATGAACCATCTTGTTTTCGAGGGGGTCCAACACAAAAACACAACAATACAGTCACGCACAACATACACACATAAAGGCTCTCACACACCCATCCGCCCACATATCCCTCCCGCAAAGCCACAGCATCCACACAAAACCATCATTTAAATTAAAGGGACTCGTTGATGTGAAAACCAACAACACTTGGATGTTGTTTTGCTGAATATAGTTTTATCCTTCCTGTACTAATACAACAAATCATACTCTGAAAAAGTGATTCTCAGATAAGGACCAACTCTCAGAAAATCTGGGTCTCCTGTCCAGTGCTATCTCATCTTTTTTGGGGGCTGATGTAATGTGAAGGTTTCAGGACAGCTCAGCAGGTTTTGAATGTCAGCCGCTGCGGGTTTCAGAGTTGGTATCAGAGCTTAGCCTGCAGGGAGGACTGCAGGAAGTTTTTACATGCAGGGTGAAACACCTGTAGGGCCAATTTAAAATCCACAAATAATGTTTCTTTGCAGGCCAAAATAATAAATTGGGTTTTTGTTTCACATACGTTTATTCCATTACATTAATAAGGTATTATGTTGTTTTGGATCAGAGCACAGATTGAAGTCCTGGATCTTTTTATAAGATGATCAAAAATAGACAAGAAAGTGTATCATGTTTGAGCAAGGTACAGAGTCAGTCAAACAAACTGGACAGGTTGCCTAGTGTGAGTGCACCTTTAGTCACTGGAGCTGGCCTCAGTTCAACAGCAGAAACATACACCCTTTTCACACATACAGAAATCTCCTGAAAAACTCCGGAGATTTGGCTACCCGGAGGGGCTTTAGGCTATGTGTGAACGCAAACAGCTGCGTTATCCCGCTGACTTTACCTTGAGTTTCTCCAGCCAGACCCCTAGTATTTTTTCCGCAGAAAGTCTGAGTGAGCTGATGTCTGAACGCGGAAGCATATACTTTGGAGATTTCAACTCGAGCCAATAGAAAGAGAATGACGTTTATATACAGTGACCGGCAAAAGTGTCTGCACGCGACCTCTACGATCTCCGTGCACGTAATTAAACGGCTGCATTAGTGCTGGGCGATATTTGATATCACAATTATTTTTTATTATCGGTATTCGATATGACTCGATATTTATTGTATTAAAATTTATAAATGTAACCTATAAAACTGAATCTCCACTGTATAAAAAAAATATATATATCACTGGCCCGACCATCGTAACCGCTGGCCCAGGAACATTACTTTTGGTTCTAAAAATAACAGTCACCAATTTACTCTTGAAACATTCTGATGGAAGATTAAATTACAACTTTTATTTAATTAATTGAGCTCTAACTAAAATATTGTGTATTTTTCTTATATATATTTCACATATATTTATGTGCTAATGTTTATTCACCATGCTGGTAACTGTAAGAGTCTCCTTAATCTGATATTAATATGAGGCTGTGATAGAGCTGGAATCTCTCCTTCTTTCTTCTGTGAGAAACTCTTAAGGGCTAAGATGCTTTGTGAATAACTTTTATCTTTACCAGGATCTAGTCTTTAACTTTAAGGGGAAATTTAGCTGCAGTGTGTTCCAGCTCCTCCAGCTGTCTGTCACTGTGGCTGAAACTTTTCTCCCTTCTGTTTTCTTCATGTCCTGCTGTCACTCTCGACTTTTCCGGTGATTGTTTTTCTTTGAATGCTGATTTTCTCGCGGAGCAACGAAATATCGCGAGAAAACTTTAAAGTAGTTTAAAAAATAAAATCGATGTTCTCTTTTCCATATCAAGCATTAATTAAATATCGATCAAATCGAGCTTCACGATATATCGCCCAGCACTAGGCTGCATTATGTTTTCTGTTCGTCAGTTTGTTGTTCTCCACTCTTTTGTTGATGTTATCATTCCATTGGATTACACATAGCATTGATATAAAGACAAATATTCTCATTATAACGTTGTGTAGCGGACTCTGTTGCGTCGGCCGCTACTTCCGCGTTGTTTATTTACGTCACGTCTTACCTCAGGAAATCCCCCAATCCCCCTCCCCTCTGACAGGGATAGTCCCCCGCTGTGAGGAGCATATGTGAATGGCTAGGTCGGGAGAATCTCCGGAGCGTGCCTCCTGTAATTATCTAGATGTTGTCCGGAGTGCATATGTGAAAATGGCTTTTGTGTCTTCTGTACAAATGCACAGATGGATGGGTTTTCCTGGGGTGTGGGGGGTGGGTCTTCCACAAAGAAGGATTAGAAAGTTAGACGGATATGTGTGACCACAATGAGACTAAAAGTTATGCTGCCAATGTGCATCTGAAAATGAATTATTAGATTTTACACATGAGGTGGTATTAGATTTTTTTTTAAAGTGATGTTTTCTTTAAAGAAATAAACACAAGCACAGAAATCTATCATGTAAGCTTCCTAAATTATGTGGCTAATTACCTAATCTGGCTTTAAAGAGATTGCGGTGGATTTATCTCGAGGCGGATTACATGAAAAGTTTTTGGGAAGCACTGAACTGGATAGTTTGGACAGAGGACTGTTGAATATTTACTGCTGATTTCATAATTTCCGCTCAATGAGCAGATCTGGAAGTCGTTAAATTTTACATTACAGTTCATCTTCTTCAACTTCACTGTCCAAGAGGGGAAATTTGTTTTGCAGCCAGTTATAAACATGAAACAGACTTTAGAAACAAGAAACACTGTGTCTAGACAACGCAGGAGGACAAACATCCTCCGTTTGATGCTCGTAGTGAAGGAAAACCAATCTCAAATATTAAACGTACCTTGGAAAAGCAAAGGAGCAGTGTCTGTCGTACTGCAGCAGCTTTTAAAATACTGTTGTCATAGAGACAAGACGGTCGTGCAGCGCTGTTATTCTCGGCACACAAACGCTTCACGCACGGGCTTCCGAGGGCACAGCCAGCGCCTTTCTGCCCTGGAAAAAAAAAATCGCTAGCTGAACGCGGGGCCTTACTCTTTGTTCATTAACAATAAAAATAAACAGGACATCAAATATTTAGTATGAAAGTATCAACATTGGGATGAGTACTGATGAAATCGATCTATAAAATGATGAATGATTTGGAAGTGATCACCATGGCGACGTGGTTAATTGGCTAAACCTTCAGCACTGTCCTTTGTGGTTTGATTCTTTCACTCTTCCCCAATGTTGAGAATTAGTTGGCGTTGAAACGAGGCTTGAAACACCCGACCTCTGACCTTTCCTGCGTCATGCTGAGTGGTGATTTCATGGTGCAAAGTGTTTCCTGCTCGTCCTCTGACCTGCAGTCATAAATCACAGAGGAGGAAACCGGCCCTGTGGCATTCCCCCCCCCCCCCCCCCGCGGCTGGACTTACTTCGTCCTGGCAGAGGATTCAACGTAGCCAGAATTCTGCAGAAAACTCAAAACCACAAACCAGGACAGTCTGAGGACAGGACAGTGCTGAGGACAGCAGCTGGAGTCTGTTTCCTGTCGGGCAGAAACGAAGGTTAAACTCTCTGGAGAGAAGCCAAACACACTGGATATGAAATACTCACAAAGGTCAAAGAGGTCACACACAGTTTGTCCGTATTTCCTGAATAATTTAGCGCATGAACACCTTTTTCAGTTCAATTTCAGTTTTACACTCTGTGGTACACACATGCACAAACAGGATCCTATGGACATGCACTAATGGAGAGGTCTCAGAGTGAGGGGGCGGCCCACAGCGAGCGCTCCAGAGTAGTAACCCGGTGCCTTGCTCAAAGGCACCTCGGCAAGTGGACTGGCACCTCTCCAGCTACCAGGCCAATTTCCGGACTTGGTCCGTGCCGGGACTTGAACTTTTTTCAGTGTTAAAGAATCCATTGTGCAGATATTTACATACTTGATCTGATTTCCAAAGGTGACCTCGTCTTGTCTCTAAACTGGTTGAGTAGGTGTTGACTGTTTGCAACCCTCATCGCTATTTAAAGGTTTTGCATCATGTAGATTTCCTCTTCCTTGTCGGATGCTTTGCGACATGTGTAGGTTTGTAGCGATGGTCCGTGTGTGTGTGTGTGTGTGTGTGTGTGTGTGTGTGTGTGTGTGTGTGTGTGTGTGTGTGTGTGTGTGTGTGTGTGTGTGTGTGTGTGTGTGTGTGTGTGTGTGTGTGTGTGTGTGTGTGTGTGTGTGTGTGTGTGTGTGTGTGTGTGTGTGTGTGTGTGTGTGTGTGTGTGTGTGTGTGTGTGTGTGTGTGTGTGTGTGTAAAATCTGGACACGTAATGGCAGATCATCGCTGAGCTGTTCAAACTCTCAGCCTTCTATTTACCAGATTGTTAAATGTATCCAGATGATTTAATGCACCTCCTGCAGATGAGCCGTGCGGTTAATGAGCATCTTGTATTTCTGTTCTCTCCTGTGTTCAGACTCTGTGCTCGGCGGTGGTCCAGGTGTACGGAGCTGATCGGAGCTGCAGCTGGGTGAAGAGGTGCTGTGGAGTGGCCTGCCTGGTCAAAGACAACCCCCAGAGGTCCTACTTCATCAGAGTGTTCGACATAAAGGTGAGCGTGAACCACCTCACTGTCCTCAACACCTGAGGATCGTTTCTGAATGACGTCACACACAAACACAAGTGAATGATGTAATAACACAAAAAACAAGACTAAGATGCTAAAACATACTTGATGCACACAGCAGCAGCCATCTTGGATTTTAAGCGCAGGTTGATAGTCAGAGTTCTGACTTCAGGAAGTGTTCCCGGATGACGTCTCCGACTGGTATCTCTACTTTCAATCCAAAAGCTGCAGACTGCATTTGATGTGTTGAAATTCATGGACAGAATGAATACGATGCTTTAAACTTATATGGGACATTCATTTTTTTCATGTTTTAGTGGTGATTAAGTAGCTGATCTGTGTTTCCTGTTTGATGAGCACACAGGCTCTGAATCAGTCTGGATGTCAGTGTGAACAAAACCTTCAGTGGTTTAAACGATGCAACAAACCATTTTTCTTTTTCCTATTTTTTTTTTGTTTGTCAATGTTGCATGACTTTTGTTGAGCGGAGCATTCAAGCTCACCTAACATGCAGTAATCCAAATGTAATGCTGATCATGACTCACCATCTCTGTGGTTTCTCGCTGACTCGCTGACTCTATGTCTCTGTTGGTCGATTAGTTTTCCTTGAAGCATTTAAAGGGTGGAGTCAGTGGCTGTGTTCATTGCAGCTTGTAAACACGACTTTGAAACTGGGCCCCTGCTTCTGGGCTCATCGCCCCGAGAGGCGCACACTCACTGCAGGATGCAGCGTAAAGTTGCTGCTTGTATCTACACTGCAAGTTAATGCACGCTAGCACAAGCTAACTACCTGTCCAACAGGAAGCAGACCAACTCCACGTCCACGCGTAAAAGCCAACACAAGGTTCACCCTCGTTTTATCCACTCGTATTTGCTAGTTTGAATCGCGTCGAGCACTGAATTGGATCCACCCCTATACTCACCTGCGCGCTAAAACATCCAGAGTCAACCAGAACAGTAAAATCCAGTCAGAGGACAGAGAGCTGCTGACAGTCACCACACATGTATGGTGGCCCAGAGGTGATGACTGAGCAGCTTTTCTTTTGTATAAATCTTTATTAGCTTCTGACTTTTTTAAATGTGAGCAGTTTTCTGAGAAAAATCAATCTATAGACTCTTGTTTTTTTTTTTAAAGGAAAGACGCACTTTAATGTGAGAATGTTTTTTTATTCAGTGGAGAAAACCTGCAGTCACAGGTGTGTTCACTCGACACTTCAGGGGGAACCTTTCTCTGACACTTCTTTCTCTGTCTTGTGTTTTTTTTTTGCAGGAAGGGAAAACCATGTTTGAACAGGAGCTGTACCACAACTTCTCCATCAGCAGCGCCAGATCCTACTTCATCTCATTCACTGGAGATGTAAGTCTTCTTCTTCTTTTTGTCAAACCTCCACAGCAAGCGGCTCTCACTGATTAGGTCCCACTCGGTTTAATAAGGTGCGATAATCACGGCAAGTTTTACACACAGACTGAAATGTGAGGCGCACACGGAGCTCCTGTCTGCCCTTTAAACGCTCTCTGCTGTTTCTGACTGAGCTCAAAGAAAGAGGACATCTGAAACAAAGCTGCATGTCAGTCAGAAAAGAACACTTTCAGATTCTCTCCAGGCTTTATCCGGAGTTCCTCCTGCCAGCCTCCTAGGGTTTATTCTGCAGAAATTAGCATGAAAATTGCATGTTTCTCATAGTGCTGTCAGCATCTCGTCTGACAGGGATCGTCTCCGGCTATTATGTGATAGCATGCATGTGAGCTGCATGTGTGAACCACCAGATCAGGACGATTTCAGAGGCAGTCCTTCTGAAATTCTCTGGAAATGTTCATGAGTGCATGTGTGAAAACAGAGACTTCTAGAAACTATGACGACCCTTAAGGTTGAGTTAGACTTCTCGGTCAGAAACTGAGACTTGTGGAAAAAGTGAAGCAGACACCCTCATTATCTGAAGAGTCTGGATCTATCAGTCCAGACCTTATCAGTGAGCAAATGTTGGGTGTCTGTGTCTGGTTTTCAAAAAGGTCTCGGGGTCTTTCAAGCAGCCCTATCACAAGCTCGTAATCCAGAAGTCCGGGCTCAAATCCTTCATGTTTGATTTCTATTTATAAATACTCACAGCTGGTTTCATTCCTTATATTCTGGGATAGATTTATGTCATGGAGTAACCTTCTTGTCAACTATCAGGAGTTTTAATCTTTGAACTTTTCCCCCTCTCTTTCCTCTCAGACATGTCAGGTCGGTCTGAACTTTGCAAGTGAAGAAGAAGCCAAAAGATTCCGAGCCGCCATCAACGACCTGCTCAACAGACGACAACGCAAAACTGGTAAATTGACTGATCCAGTTTGGTCCTCTCTCTCTCTCTCTCTCTCGGCTTCTTCTAACCTTTTATGACCCTGAACCTTTTCACACCTGAGCTCACACTGAAAATAACTCTCAACCTCTGCTGCTAACGAGACTTCAAATCTGTCTCTGATCTCCAGCTGCATCAAGGACACGCTCACAGCTGATCAAATCAAACCACAGTCGTCCAAATGTTTGATACTTTTCATACCATGTGTTTTCAAATGATGCATCCTCTTTTAATGAAGGATGGTATCGGACAGCTTAAGAAAAAGTACCTCATTTTCACAAGACGGGTGCTTATGAGAGGCATGAATCTATCAAAACTAGCATGTAAACAAACGGTCTAAGCAGGGGAGAGGAGAGGAGAGGAGGGGAGGGGGGAAATTGTGCTTAGTCATGGTACTGGACAACTTTGCCTTGTGTGAGTTGTGCCCTAAATCGCACAGATAAGCTGACGACTTTCCAGCATGTTTGTGCACTTTAGACACTTTATAGTAGTTTTGATAACATTTTGGATCATTTAAAAGAAGCACTTAACAAATCTTTGGTGCCTAGGATTTCTGTTTTTGTTGCCGTGGTATCGAGGCAGACGTCAACATCTTTTGAAAGTTAAAAAAATTTGGTATCATGACAACACTAAGGGGAGGACAAAAAGTCCTGAAAAAACTGTCCTTCTTGAACTGTATTTGTCAATCTGCATCGCAGAAAAAATTGATTTATTAAAGAGGCCTCCAGTTTGGTATTCAAAAAGGGAAACGTCACAGAACCTACCATGTTTAATCTGAGACTTGACTTGAGGTTTGGTTTGGGACAGTTTCCTTCTGTGAGCTTGGCATGTTTTCTCTCTGCTGCAGTGAAAAAACTGTGTGTAGTAAATGTCTCTGCAGCGAGGCTCCTCTCAGCATGTCGGCCTTTTTCAAGTGCACCTTTCAAACTGTGATGATGACTCGGGGGTCTGAGGGCTCACAGAAAAACACTGCTGAGCTTTCAATGCTTCTCTTCTATTCTACTAACATCAAGGACTTTATGAACTCTCTGTCTGACTCCTCGCTGACACCTGAGAGCTTTTAAACCATCACCCTCTCTCTCTCTCTTTCTTTCGCCCGCCGTAAAGTCACACTAACTGAACTTCAGCTCCAAAAACTCACCCTCTTCTATCGCTTCTTTAAACGCTGTACAATTCTTCTATTCATATGTTCCTAATTTGGTCCTGTGGATTTTGTTCTGAAACTGTGAACTTTTCTTTTTGCAGAGAAGAGAGGTGACCCTAAGAATGGTACGTCAAACCCTTATTTCTGATCACATGTTACATCAGAGCGGCTCCAGGGTTTTTTTCCTCATTAAAACTTTACTTTAAATTAAAGTAACAAAGTGCTGTACACGTGCATTAAAAGTTTCTCAGGCGAATGTGGATGAAGTAATTGTTATTATAAAACCTCTTATAGGGGGCGTCGGTAGCATAGTGGTTGGTGTGAAAAACCCATCCATGCATTTTTTATATATACTGCTTATCGTGCTCATGGTCTGTCATAAACCCTTTTCACACATACGGAAAAACCGAACGCAAACAGCCGCATTTTTCGCACGGACTTTACCCGGAGTTTCTCCAGCCAGACCCCTAGTATTTTATCCACAGAAAATCTGAGTGAGCTGATGTCTGAACGCGGCCAATAGAAAGAGAATTACGTTTATACAGTGACTGCCTAAAGTGTCTGCAAGCGACCACTACGATCTCCGTCAATGTAATTAAACGTCTGCATTATGTTTTCTGTTCGTCAGTATGTTGTTCTCCACTCTTTTGTGATGTTGTCATTCCATTGGATTACACATAGCATTGATAAAAAGGCAAATATTCTCATTATAACGTTGAGTAGCGGACTCTGTTGCTACGGCTGCTACTTCCGCGTTGTTTATTTACGTCACGTCTTACCTCGGGAAATCCCCCGATCCCCCTCCCCTCTGACAGGGAAAGTCCCCTGCTGTGAAGAGCATATGTGAACGGCTAGTTCGGGAGAATCTCCAGAGAAGTCCTCCTGTAAATATCTAGATATTATCCGGAGTGCTATGTGAAAACGGCTATAGGTAGTGAGGCGTGGGCTCACTGTGGACAGGTCGCCTATCAATCACAGGGCCGACATATGCAAACATGCAGCCATTCCTGCTCGCATCCACAAATACTGTGGCTGTGGGAGGACCCCAAAGTACCTGGAGGGAAATCCCGTGCATGCACAGGAAGAACATGCATCATAAAAATAAAGTCACAGAAATAGACAAAACAGGAAACTGTGCACACAACTGTTGAACTCCAGTGAGGCCCACTTTGGCTCCCACTGCAGACTCTTCAGTACACGTATCAAACTGCAGCAGAGTGTTCAAAGCAGCTCGCTGTGTGACATGTAGAAGCCAGACACTGATTAAAAACAGCCCTCATGCTCTTTGAACGTCTGTTTCCTTTTCTTCTTTTTTGCACGACTCGATGACAAATAGCAGGAGTCTGTGTTTGTGGTGTTTGCTGACACGTTGGCGCAGACATTGTGACTCACACACTGACACAGAGATGAGCCTGCTGCAGGTTAATCTGGCCAGCAGGAAGTCCATCTGTGCCATATGTAGACCACATGCTCTCTGTTGTTGTGATGCACATTGGGCCTAATCTGTAATCCCAGTTACCTCCACTCAGTTTGTTTTTATTTACTTGAATTACTCCTAAATAAATGTTTTTACTAGCAAAAAGTGCATATATTTAGATTCACATCCAACAAATATTATGATGCTTGTGCGAGGATTTACTGAGAACCCTCAGACATGATTCAAAGTTTAGTTTGCAAACAAAGAAAGCTTGAGTTGAGTTTTAAAGAACATGCTGGTAGAAAAGAGTATGAAACTAAACTCCACACCATGGAAGACCGGGCCTTCTGCTCCACTGCTCCCAGTCTGTGGAACGCTCTCCCCGACCCGCTGAGGGCGCCTCAGTCTGCGGACGCTTTTAGAAGGGCCCTAAAAACCGAGCCTTCTGCTTTTAGTTTCCTTCGTTGCTTAGTTGATGATTTTTTTTTTTTTTTTTTTTTTTTTTTTTTTTCTCTGTAGCACTTTGAGATTTTTTTGCAAAAATGTGAAGTGCGTTATAAATTAAATATTTTATTATTATGAAGCGGCTTTATTCTCATGATAAAGACGTTCTTGCGCCAATTCATAATAAGTGTTATCTCGAGACGCTTTACAAAAGAGCATATGGGATAAGATGCAGGAAGGATTTCTCCTTTGTATTCCTCACGTTCCTGTTGTCCACACTTCCTTGTCTCTGAGGTGGAGGTCGGAGCAGGCGTGCATAATGAGGACGGCAGTGGTTGTCGGGCGACACGGTGCTGCCTTCACACAACCACTCGCCTCAAATTCATGAAGAAAATTTCCTTGGGGTCTAGAAGGAAAAGTCATGCCATTTGTGTTCAGGAGTTTTGTGCATGTGTGAAAGCAGTTTGAGTCTCTTTTGGAAAGAGAAAATCAGATGCTTAAATCTGGCTTCCATGAATTTAAAAAATGAACGGCGACCACACATCAGGGTGATTTTAGGACGCAGAGTTTGCAGCCTGACCTTCTTTTGCTCCTGCTTCTCTTTTTTTTTTTTCTACAATGACGCAGCAAAAAAAAACTGAAAGTGCTCCGACTGACAATGCGAGGGGAATCTGTGCCTTTTGTCTGAAGATTGAAAAGTTTTGGTGGAAGCTTGAGAGATCACAGAGACCATCTGTCTCTGTGATCAGAAAGTTTGCCTTAGTTCAAAATGTTTCATTATGTTGAATGATTTGAGGAAGGCAGCAGTAGAAGAGATGGTTAATTATGGCAATCTGACGGGTTCTGGGGGTTAAAAATAGATCTGTGCAGCTTGTTTCTCTCGCTGAGAAACTTTCCAGACTGCTATCTTTACTTTGTTTGTTTGCCTTCACCTCATCACCGCCAGGAACAAAGTGCACCAGAGCTCTAATTGAGGTTTTCTGAGTCTGCACGTCCTCCCAAAAGACTGTTTGCTTTCATTAAGCCGTCTGACTGTTGCCAAACACTGCGGCTGCGGGAGTAACATGAACTCAGCAAATCCTCCAATTCCTCAATCATCTCTGCGGCTTTGTGCCTCACATCGTTCTTTCATCAAAGTTTTCTCCGCAGTGACACAGATTCATTCTGACATTTCACTTGTGCAACATGAGACTGAACAGTGGGACGTTGCTGCTCTGGATTCAAATCTCTTGTTGAGATGTACAGTGTACTATGTCTCCTCTCTCCTTGTCACACGTTTTGTTCTTGTCCTCATTATGAGAGCATCAATAGAAACAGTGAAGAGGCTGCTGGTGTCAGTTCTAAAGATTGTTGGGGAATTTGAAGGGATCGCCTCGGACTCTTCTGGTACCTGATGTGAACTTTTAAACCCGGCTGGAGCTCCTTCACATGTGCTCCACGCTCACAGCATGAACGTGCCTGAGTGGATATGAACGGCTGCATCCTGTGACTAAAGATTTAGAGAGAATTCTCTCACTGTGCTCTCTTGTTTTTTTTGTAATATGTTAATGAGGTACATTAGGTGCAAATTGGTCCTTTTCTTTGCAAAATGAGCGATATTTACAAAAAGGCTTAATTTGACGAACACCAGCCCTTAAATCCACCTGAATGAAGACTTTTATATTTGCATCTTTATGAAGTTTGTGGCAACAGAAGAGCAGCTCTTATGAAGGATGCCACAGCAAGACTTTTCACTTATAGTGACAACAATTCCACCAATTTTGATTTGGTCATTGTTGTTTTTTATGAGGGCTTAAATCTCTCTAGAGCTCAACAACTGCAGGGTATGTTACAACTTTTCCAGATGTGTGGAGACTGTCTGCAGCAGGAGAGAGCGAGAGAGTTATTTCATCTGGACAAGCTGCCCTTTCTAGATCACTCGCTGCGTCACAAACGGTTTTGATCACATCTGTCGAGTCAGTGCTTCACAATGAACTGGAAGAAAAAGAGCTTCCCCTTCTCCTCCAAACATTTCATTTATCTCGGGGGTTGAGATGAACTGCGTCAGCGTGAGAGTGCAGCTCCTGCAGCAGCAGCAGCAGAGAACAAAGGTGCTGACAGCTCCTCTCGTTAATCACAAGAAGAACGACACGTCGCACGATGCTGCAAACTTTACGGGAATGTGTTGCTGGAATTCTTTCGGAGCAATAGCCCTAATGGATGATAACCTTCAGACGGGGAAGTGATCAGCCAAGTGATGCACAATTCATGATGCTGTCAGCCGATGCAGTTCAGTCTTTGTGATTCTTCTGCTGAGTGTGGAAACTACTTTTGTCAGCTCACTAGTAAGGTTCAAAATATCTACTAGTGAACTAGAAAGACTTATATGAACCAAACTATTTCACTTGTTAGGATCCAAAGTTTTTTTTCAAGTTAAGTAGTCAGAGCAGAAAGTTCCACTCGTTATTCTAGAGATTTACAAAGTCATAAAAGTTAACTAGTAAGACTCAAATGTTTTACTGGTAAACTAGTTGACTCATAAATGTTTCTTGTAACACTCATTGCACAAAATGATGATGAGGACGTCGGGAGAAGTGTGGACTGAGGCTCTCAAAAACAAAGACAAGAATGACATCAAATCAGGACCCAGAGTTTTGTTAAAATCCCACCTGTTGAATTTCTATATCGCACACTAGTCCACCAGTTGGTTTGAAGGATTTAAACTAACTTGCTAGTTGATATGTCTTCATCTTACTGGTTAACTAGTTCATCTCATGATCTTAACTGGATCTGCAGGAATCTCAGTTATTTTAAATTTCGGCAAACAGCGTCCTTACGTTTTTGGCAAAGAGGAGAAAACTTGAGTCTTAAAAGTTGTCAACTGATGGATAAGAGTGTAAAGTTTAAGATACTAGTTCTGACGAGTAGTTCGTTCAAAGGAAACTGTGCTCTTTTTACCTCTCCCAGAAGAAACTGAAATAACTTTTTCTTCAAACAAAAGAAGCCAAATTTCTCAAAAGTTATCTTGTAGCAGCTGTAAGAACTGTCTTTAAAATCCGCTGTTTTCTTCAGTTTTTGTGGCTAATCATATATCTTGTCTGCTTCCATTTCTTGACGATTAAAAAAAATCTACATTTTCATGACTTCGGCTACAAACATGTACCCAGGCCTGTACAGAAACCTCTCTTGCAGCTCTGCTTTAAAGTGGAACATAACTCTGCTCGTCCTGGTCCTGGTCCTCAGGAGACAGCAGATTAGAGACGAGCGTGTAGGTCTGTTCATAGACATCCAGCATTGTGGGTAGTCCAGGGATTTGGACTGGGATTAGCGGTGGATTAGTAGTTATGTCAGATGCTGCTGTGGTTTGGGAGAGATTATGAGGAATTCGAGGAGTGAACGGTTTCGCGCCGACGGGAGGGAATGGGAGAGCCAGTCGACATTTATATCAGAAAAAAAGTTCATAAACGATCCGTGCAGAGGGAGAGGATTACAGCTGCTGAACATGAAACCCGACCAAATCGATCCCTGAGGGGCCGGGGATTACTGAGGGCACACTGATGGAGGTTTGAGAAGTGATACTGTTTCAAACAAACGGTATGAAGTCTTTCACAGTCATGTAGAAGCTCTGCAGCTCTTTTCATGAACCAAAGACAGAAACTTTTATTGACAGAAGGAGTACTCCTGCTCACTTTGGTCCCCACATTGTATTTATTGTTTTATACTTCTTGTGATGCTACAAAGGCACAAAGATAAATCACTTGTACATGTGAATCTAACTGATAATGTTCAGATTCTTATTTAGTCTAAACATGGTTGAATTTAGTTTTCTCAATATTGTGTTGTAGTCAAGACCACACTAACCGAGACCAAGACATACCTGAGAACTGAGTGCTCTGAGCCCTAGACAAGACGGAGACATCTAGGGATCCAGACCGAGTCAAGACCAAGACCAAGGTAGGGCAAGGCTGAGACAAGACCAAGACATTAAGGGATCCAGACCGACTCAAGACCAAGACCAAGACCAAGGCAGATGAGATCGAGTCAAGACCAAAGACCAAGACATTTAGGAAACGAGGACAAGTCAAGACCAATATCAAGACCAAGGCAGGGCGGGACTTACTTAGACCGATAAAATCACAAAATCTTCTGATCACAGTAATGACGTGAGAAAGAAGCCTATTAGTGGTCGTCTTGACCGGTCTTGATTTAAAATCCGGAGTCCGCCCAGTCTGAGACCGAGACAAGACCGAGTAAAAATGCTTTCGATACCGAGGCCTTCAAAAAGTTGAGACCAAGACCGATGTCGTGTACTACAACACTACCTCAATAACAGGCATTAGAATGTATCAGAAAGTCTTGAAACTTGAAGTTATCTCTGACTGTCCTCTCTCCCTCTTTCTCTCTCTCTCTCTCTCTCTCTGTCTCTTCCTCCCCCTCCATTTGCAGGTCCAGCTCTGCACATGGCCACGGTGGACATCAAGAACCCGGAGATCAACAACGTCCGATTCCACAACTCCCACAGCCACCAGCAGCCGTACCACCTCAACAACATGCTGAGCCACAGCGGCCTGAACCGGAAGGACAAGAAGACCAAAGGCAAGAAGAAGAAGCTGACCAAGGCCGACATTGGCACGCCCAGCAACTTCCAGTGAGTTCACAGTGAATGCTCAGCACGGGTTGAAGGTGCAGCGGTGCAGCAGAACGAGGATTTAGACGTTTGCCCCCCCCCCATCATTAACCTTTGAACTTCTCAAAGTTGTTAGAGTCAAACTTTTTTATTATGACCTCCTGCAGAAATGCATCTGTGTGCGTCCTGTCTGATCCCGGAGCAACACTCTGCTGCAGTACACATGTTGCGTTAGAGTCTGAGGTCGCTCAATGGCCACTCTGTCTCAGTGGCTGATGTCTGAGTGTGGGCTCACTATTTAACATGTGCACATGGCCGCCCATGTGCACATGTTAAATAGCTCCTATACATGCATTGGCGTGTGTGTGTGTGTGTGTGTGTGTGTGTGTGTGTGTGTGTGTGTGTGTGTGTGTGTGTGTGTGTGTGTGTGTGTGGTGTGTGTGTGTGTGTGTGTGTGTGTGTGTGTGTGTGTGTGGTGTGTGTGTGTGTGTGTGTGTGTGTGTGTGTGTGTGTGTGTGTGTGGTGTGTGTGTGTGTGTGTGTGTGTGTGTGTGTGTGTGTGTGTGTGTGTGTGTGTGTGTGTGTGTGTGTGTGTGTGTGTGTGTGTGGTGTGTGTGTGTGTGTGTGTGTGTGTGTGTGTGTGTGTGTGTGTGTGTGTGTGTGTGTGTGTGTGTGTGTGTGTGTGTGTGTGTGTGTGTGTGTGTGTGTGTGTGTGTGTGTGTGTGTGTGTGTGTGATCTCACCACAACAACTCTGTCCCGTCTTCTGCAGGCACATCGGTCATGTGGGCTGGGATCCTAACACAGGTTTTGATGTGAGTACCCCCCTCTTCACACACATACACACACACACACACACTTAGGAGCACAATAGTGACCTGTGTGGTGGCTGCATGATGACATCACACAATAGGCTCTTTTTGCTTCCTGCTCATATTCACTAACGTCTCGCTGCGTGTCTCAGAAGCTGCACACAGACTCAGAGTGTTCCAGAGAGACGCAGACTGCAGCCACGATAAGTCATCAAAGGGCTGCATGACAAATAATACATGAACCAGTTTTGATTCATGTGCATTTATGCACAATGTTCAAAAGCACTGACTCTGTCTGAATTTGGTTTGGAGGCACAGAAAATGTATTTTGTTGTATGAAGTTGTCTCAACATTTTGTGATCTTTTTCATGAGGAGAACTTTATAAAACTGTTATTTTAAACTCTTCAACAGTAGGGGTAGGAATCCACAGAGGCCCCACAATACGATATCATCACAATACCTGAGCCACAATTTGAGATTATGGCTATTTTAAACATTTTGTGATATGCTGAGAATTGCAATTAAAATATACTGCGATTTTACTTTAACTGCATTTTTTTTATGTCCACAAAATTAAACTAAATCAAGAGCAAAATGGAAAGAATTCTGTCCATTTTTTGTTTGTACACACGGGGAGTGAAGCCCACAGACTGACCGACACTGTGATAGAAGTAAAAACTTGTGAAAGGATGCATGCACCTCACAATCTGAACTCTTAGTATTTCAGTCCGATCGAACTGAACTGAACTCAAACATGTACTGGACGACTGCACAAATCGTTTTGATCAAGTTGCATTGTTACACCACAGCTTGTTTCTGTCTCCTGGTGTTTTGTTTTTTTCATCAGTAAGGACATAACGATTTAGTGACCGCACAAATATGAATTATTTTTAAAAACTATTTTGGTGATAAACTTCATAAAATATTGTTACTGCAGCACAGATTCAAGACAAATTTCCCCATGGAGACAATGAAGTATATTTTATCTAACCTTAAGATGAAAATCGCTGATAAGTGCTTGGACGATGACTTAAAGCCCCCGTCAGGAAGTCTCTGTTTGCATGGATTTTGGCTTTCTGCGAACTCTGTCCTGTACTTGTATGAGTAGTATTTCCTGGAGAAGACAGTCTTATTAAGAGTCAAATCTCTCACTCATTGTGGATCGTTGCTGTGGATAAATGTAAACAAAGTCTGTTTCTGCAGTGACCTGCAGGAGGCCGGCCGCTTTCCACTCACTTCGTCTTGATTGTCTCTGTTTACTCGACTGACCCAGCACGCAAAACGACCTTGAAAACATGTGACCTCACAAACAACACATTCCCAGCATGCACTGCAATGTGTGAATATTTCCTTGAAATTTCCGTGCGGAGCAGCAGGTTCATGTATGATTTGATCCAAAGCAGCAGAGGGGGTTTTTTTTTGTGTTTCTGGCAGCTTGTACTTCTACCTGCTGTCCACCAGGTGGCACCCTGACACCTTGGTTCAACTTCTCCGCAGAGGGAGAAGATGCTCACTGATTTTGTAATGTTGAAATATTCATGTGTGTTAAGTAGAGCTCATCACAGAGGAGCCAGGAACTCTTCAGCTGTGATTTTAATGAGGCTGAGTGAACACATGTCACGTTCCTGAGACGAGTCGCCGGGTGTTTCTGATCAGATGAAGGAGGAACAAAGATCGTCAACAAGTACTGGACTCATAAACACAAAAAAAGCCGACCAACAGCAAGGAATAAATGATGAGGGAAGTCACAACTGAGGATAAGATAAATAAAACAACACTGATACATGATAAGTTAGGCAGAAAGAATTTAGCATTTTTATGATGATGGTCCCATCAAAAAAAAAAAAAAACTGTTTCTCCAGTTTCAGTAAAGATGCCAAAACAACAGAAGTGGTGGCCTTGGGTCCCATGATTTAACTCGTGAGACTTCAGGTTTTAAGGTTCACTCACATTAAGTCCAGTACATCGGTCCTCCTTGTCGAGGGCTTCCAGGCGTCTGCTGCCTGTGGCATAATTGCTGCGGCTGCCAACTAAGGAAAGAGAGACGGACCTCACCTGTTGCAGCCTTGTTTCAGCACGGCAATGCAGTCGCTCTCTGTACCTCGTGGCGATTCTACAGTCTATTGGGGCCCTAGGCAACATTTAATTGGGAGGCCCTCCTACCAGCGTTTATCTCCATCGGTGATCCAAGTCCAACGCTTACTCCTCTTCCTTTTTCTTCCTCTTTCTTTGGTCTTTGGTTTTCAAAACAGCAATGCATGCTATCTGACAGCAGGGCAACGACAGGGAGTGCTGTCAGATGGGGCCCCTTAGGGAGGTTTCCTACTGTCATCGGAAAAATTGCACATTTTGAGCCACTGCTGTGGTGTAAAGTCTGTAAGCCCTTGAGGCCCCCCCCCCCCCCCCCGGCTGTCCTGACCTGGGGCCCTAAGCAGTAGCCTGCCTTGTTGACAAACAGCACCTCTGTCTGTACCAGCACACTCCGCTCAGTTCCAACGCGCTCTCCTCCGTCTTGGATGACAGTTCATCATTTTAACACAAACACAAAGCGACAAGAGGCAGGAAGGCCCGCCCCCTCACTAGCTTGACAGCCATGCAATACAACCTATCAGGGACAGTGTTGCCGTAACAGGGCCTAATCATGGCCACCTCTGTACATACCTCATCATCGCGTCGTAATGCGACAAAAACGCACGGCTTAATGTCATCGCAGAGCGTGGTTTCAGTGGAGAGCAACACAAGACGTTTTCACATGCACTGGAGAATCTTCTAGATGCTGCTCCTGAAATCCTTGTTCACACATGTACCTGACAGCAGGAGACTATCCCTGTCAGAGGGGGGACAGGGGGACTCCTGAGGCTACACATTACTTAAAAATGAGTCCTCTATACGACGCTATAATGAGAATATTTGACTTCATATCAATCACCTGGAGTCTCTGCAGAAAAAATACTAGGGTAACTTCCCCAAAAACTTCAGGAGATAATCAGGTCTTTTGTGAAAGTGTGAAAGCGCTATTGTTAATGTTTTTCATATTAATACAATCCCCGAGGATTTACGACAAATACCAAGAAGTTCAATATTTCCTGAACAGCGAAAGATAAACTGTGAGGATGTCGACAGTCTGTCAGTCCGCCTCTTCGTTTCCAGACTGGAAATATCTTGGCGGTTATTTGATGGATTGCTGTGAAAATCGCCGCAGACACTCAGCTGACACTTGTGCTTCTGAGTGAAACATGAAGACGGCTCTCAGATGGATCGCTGCAGATATTAAAGTCCACCAGAGGGATAGAAAGGGAGTGATCCTCTGACCTGTGTGTGAAGCTAGAAGAAGATTTTAAAGTTTCACTTGTTCCTGAAAAATGCACAGAAATCCTCCTGATGGATTGGGACCAGACTTGTCCCAATCCAATTGTGTCATGCTTTTTTTGTGCACCACGTTGCAGTTAAGGTTTTATAGTTTTTAATAAAGTATTAAAGGACCTATGAGATGGATTTGGTCCAGACATTCATCTCCACCCGAGGAGGGTCGGCTGCTGTCATCATATCAAAATGTTCTTCTTTGTTTATGATCAGGTATTTGCAAATCTAACAGCCTGCTAACTCTCAGCTTGCTAAATCATTAGCACTATTCAGACTTCCTTTTCAAGCAACGATATTTACTCCCCTGTGTCCTGAGCATGACACACAGATTTACGTCGTCAGTGTGCTGTGCGGTTTTTTTTTGTTGTTGTTTTTTTTGTTTTTTTAATGGTCTTTGTTTTGTTGGCGTTGCAGCTGAACAACCTGGACCCAGAACTCAAGAACCTGTTCGACATGTGCGGCATCTCCGAGGCTCAGCTGAAGGACCGCGAGACGTCCAAGGTCATCTACGACTTCATCGAGAAGAAGGGAGGAGTGGAGGCGGTCAAGAACGAGCTCAGGAGGCAGGGTGAGCACACACACACACACACACACACTCACACTCTCTCAGGGAAATAAATGATCCCTGATTCCGGACTCTTTATCTCCTGTCCTGTCTCAAAATAAAGGCACAAAAAATACAAAAATAAAACTTGTAAATATTGATTTAAAATAGCTCCCTCTTCATGAAAACCTAGAGTATCATCCCATCGATTTAATTTGTTATTATTTGCTTTGATTTGAACTGCACTGCGGGCTGCCCAATTTTATTCCCAACCTGTTTTAAGAGAGAGAGAGAGAGTCCACTGTCCGTACATCACTTTGTAAATGCACTGATTGAGTTCATGTTAATGTACGGCTGTACGTGGAACTTTTCAGAATGAGAGGCGTGCTCCTGGTGTTTGTGTCTGTGCACGTGGGTGGATAAATTGAGCAGGTTAAAGTTGTTTGTTGCAAAAACTAAATTGATTTAGAGTGGAAAACACATCTGATATAAATACAAAGCTAATATTAAAATATACCCTGAGATAAGAGTAAAGAGGAAAAAAAGTATGTCGATCAAAATGTCAAAGGAATAGCGGAGTCTTTTAAAGCAGTCTGTGGATCGTTTTGGATCTAACATGTTTGGATTTAATCTTTCACTGGATTTAAATTGTGTATATTGTTATGATCAGGAGAGTTCAGTACGTCTTCAAATGGTGAGATAAAATGTTTTTGTTTGGGCAAAATCTGGTGAATCAGGTTCCACTATGTGCGTTAAATACTTCTGCACACCGAGGAGCTCCGGTTTGAAGGATTTATTGACATTTAATGGCTTTTCAAACAAACATGCTCTTCCTCAGACTAGTCGGTTAAAACAGTTATCTATACTCTATATAATCTACACTTTACTACCTTATATTCACTCTTCACTTGAGGACTGTGGTGTTCATAATGAGGAGGTTATTCAGATTCTAAGGTTTGAGTTATTCCTGCAGGTGTCACAGTTGAGTTCTCTTGGACTTCAAACTCAAACACAGCGGCTCTTTTTTTTTTTTTTATGAACTGATTTGAAGTTGTCTCACTGTTTTATCCTGAACCATCACTTCCTTCCTCTTTGCTGTATTTTCTTTTTTTTTATTATTATCAGACGGCAGGTTTGAGGTGCGCACATTAAACAGAATCCTCTGTCAGATTTTTTTATCCTCTGTGACAGACTCTGTTCCTTCTGTCCCGAGTTCCCTCTCCATGTTTTATTCATGGTAAACTGCAACGTTTGAAAGCAGCCGTGAAGATTGCAGTGTGACCAGAATCTGAATGAAGGGGATGGAGGCGTGTGTGTATCTAAGAGATCAAGGGTCTGCTTTACAAGACAATATGAAAGATGTTAGTTCTTTTCATGCTTAGCAGTTTGTTTAAAGAAAGTAATCTGACATCCTTGACAGGTATTGTAAAATTATTGGTTGTCACCAGGCATAACACCTGGAGGTAAACACATTTTAGCTCCTTGTTTTGTTTAACTAAAATTGGAGGAGCTGGAATTAGAAACTGTCTTTAAAATAATTTAAAGGTCACATATCCTCCTTTTCTTCAACAAGTTTAAATAATATAATAATAATAATAATAATATAATAAAATCTCAGAGCTCCTCAAAACATGTGTGTGAAGTTTCTTGTTCTAAATCCACTCTGATCCTGTATTTGATCGTGCCTATAAACCCCTCTATTTCAGCCCTGCTCAGAACAGGCTGTTTCTGTGTCTGTAGCTTTAAATGTAAATGAGCTGTGTCTGACCACGCCCCTCTCTGGAAGGGCTTGAGTGGCTCGGGCTTTCTCACTCCATGTCCTATTGTTCACGGTGAGAAGGCAGACTCAGAGGGCAGAACAAACACCTAGCTGTGGGAGTGTCACCCACCTGGGGGAGGGGTTACTGCCCTTTGTGATGTCATGAAGGGAAAATCTCCAAACGGCCAGTTTGAGCACACATTTTCTGAAAAGTGGAGCAGGCAGAAGACGGAGAGGATGGACTTTTCTCATCATTAGGGGGTTTGTAGACGAACTAGAGACACGTTAGAGTTAGAACAACATGGTGAAGTGGATTTTACAGAATACGTGACCTTTAATAAAATGTACGGAGCTCTGACTGTGACATGAGAACGTAAAGATTCAATGAAACAAACTTCAGGTGTCATGTTGCATTATAATTTTTTCTGTCTTTTAATTTCCTGCAGCTCCCCCTCCACCTCCTTCCCGTGGCGGCGCCCCTCCTCCTCCTCCACCCCCTCACAGCACAGCTCCACCCCCTCCTCCTCCTCCCCCGTCAAGAGGGGGGCGTGGGGCCCCTCCTCCCCCTCCTCCATCCAGAGCTCCCGCCTCAGCTCCTCCACCTCCACCTCCAACCAGACCAGGAACTCTGGGAGCCCCGCCTCCCCCACCTCCTCCCAACAGGGGGGGTCACCAGCCTCCTCCTCCTCCCCACCATCACCACCATCAGCCTCCCCCTCCCTCCTCCTCCCTCTTCCACACACTCTACTGTCGCTCCTCAAGCCCGCCCCCTCCACCTCCTCCACTGGCCCACCAGTCTCCTGTCAGCGGCAGTGCCCCTGCTCCGCCTCCCCCACCTCCTCCTCCACCTCCTCCTCCCGGCCCCCCTTCCCCTCCGGAGCTGGACAGCATCAGTGGCGGAGGAGACTCGCCTCACTCGCCGAGCCCCGGCGGGAAGTCGGCGCTGCTGGAGCAGATCAGAGGAGGAGCCCAGCTGAAGAAGGTGGAGCAGAACAACCGAGCGCCGGCCTCTGGCATTGGACGGGACGCCCTGCTGGACCAGATCAGACAGGGGATCCAGCTCAAGACTGTAAGACCACCACACAGTCTGATTCCCACATCACAGGCGTCCAAAGAGTAGATTAGATGTCATCTCCCTCACACCTGATCATTTACACATGACGCCCATGTTCAAGGACTGTAGCCTCCGTACATGGTCTGCACAGACTAACCAGTAGGCAAACAGCGCCCCAATGGAGGTTTTCTTCAATATCAAACCAGTCCAGTAGTGTCCTCAGTATATCCAGGGTATTTTTTATGACAACAAGAACTGCTAAGAGTTATGGGGGGAATCTATTCTCTCAGTGCAGGATGCTAAAATGACAACAGATTGCAAAACAACCTTTTTGTATTAAAGCTCCTAACTGCATGCAAACTGTAGGAATGTGTCATTAGACACACTTAGCCTGTACATGAATGTACCTGGTGTTACTAGGTAGGACTCTGATAATAACTGCAAAAAAAACAGAAGGTTTCTAAAGTGTTAATAGACCTACATCTCAGGCCTTTTTCTCTTGCCTCTCTCGCTGGATTCCAGCTGTACTAAAATGGACTGGATCCTTTTTTGTGTGTCTCCAGGTGCCAGATCATCCAGAGTCTGGCCCGCCATCGTCGGCACCCACATCGGGCATCGTCGGCGCCCTCATGGAGGTGATGCAGAAGAGGAGCAAAGCCATCCATTCCTCAGGTAACGACACCGGTAACTTATGACCATGACGTCAGGGTCATTAGACATTATGTAAAACTCTTCGACAGGTTGGGTTTAGCTGTTTCAGCCTGTTTTGCATTTGTGCTCAGCTACGTCAGCTCGCTATTTGAGGCGTCAAATTTTACAGTAAGACGTTAAAATGATCTTCATCTCTCTTTTAAACTGAGGGAAAAAAACATGTTTTTCTCACCAAAATGTTGAACTTCGCCTTCAAAAGGAATCTCATATTCTACAGTTATCACCTGATGAAGTGAAGAGTATATGTGATGAAGCTCTCTGGGGTCGTACACACTTCAAATGCTCTTTTTGTGTGTTTGTTTTTTTTTTTACCCAGACGAAGACGAGGATGACGAAGAAGACGAGGACTTTGAGGACGACGACGAGTGGGAGGACTAGTGAAGAAGTCTCTTCTCCGACCTCGGCCTCGTCCTCACCGTTGACACTAAAACATCATCTTAAAAAATCTTCCAGCATCTGACTAAAACTGTAATGTAAATGTTGTATGAATTGGCTGTATATTTATTTCTGCCTTTTTTCTGCTTTTTTTTATGATCATTAATCTGTGCAATACCTCATCTGTCCGTCACACATCGTCATGTTAAGAGACTCTCCACTTTCAACCCCCTCCCCCCCAAAAGGGATCCAGCTGTTGTTAGAATGCATTTAGCGCCCCCTTCAGCACAAAGTGGAGACATCGCCGGCGTCATTTCACCATAAATGATCATCAAATCAAACACTACTTCTCCACTGACTCAGAGTCTTCATGAGCTCCATCGCGGAGGATTTTCTAATTTCCTATGTTTTCATTCCTCGTCTACAGAAACTGAAAAGGGAGACGTACGTGCGACCAAACAGGCAGGATCCTCTTTGTGTTTGACGGCGGTCCGTTTAAAATAAAAAGAACTCCAGATGACACTATTTTCATGACCCTGAGTTTCCTAATAAATAGTAGTTTAGTCGTGTTATTTTTTCATGAACCCTTTGACCAAAACGCGGCTTTTCAGTCGCCTCATGTCCAGTTTCTTTTTTCTATGAAGTTACAGCCGTTTATTTGCACACTGTCGATATAATCGTTGAGTTTTTGGTGTCGTTTCAGGTGTGCGTTTGTCACATTTTTCTGTTCTTTCCAGTGGGACGTGAAAGCTGCACCTCCTGACCTTTTAAAAACACGACTGAGGTTCAGGACTTTCTTTGTTTAAGACATTAACGTTAACTCGCACACACTGTGGTGTTTGTGAAATGATGGACGTTTTATTCTCAATGTCTGATTGGTTGTTTCTGTTGTGACATCATCATTCCGTTATTTCCTGCAGCAGGGAAAAGTCTGTGGCGCTCCGGTCGGTATTTCAAACTTAAATCACGCTGTGCATAAAAATCAGAACATCCTCCTCCATCTTTGATTTAACAAACTCTCATTTTTATGCAATGCGACTGAAAATGCCTCCTCGTGGAGAATAAATAAAAGAGCAAATAATATTAATGAACCAAATGTGGCGTTTTTGCGAGCAGCTTGTGGATTTGGCGAAGCTTGTGATCCTCCCGTGTGTAAAGACGTAACTCATGCTCGTTTTAAATGTTCGTCTACCAGTTCTTACCGTCCTCCAGCGAGGCTTAATGCTGCACCGACAAGCCGACATACTGACAGAGAAAACCTGTGAAAAGGGTCGGGAGGGGAGGGATGGGGGGGGCAATGAGAATACTAAATTGTATACTTAAATAAATGTTAATATTTACTGAGAAATGTGAGTCCTGTTTGTTTTATTACCTAAAGGTGTTCACTGTTTACCCTGCAGAGTCCCTTTGCACCTTTAAGAAAAAGCTAAAGACCCAGCTCTTTATGAACACCTGTGACCTTAATGATGATGGTTTTGATTCTGATTAGAACTCTCAACAACAGCTGTCAATGCTGTGCTCTGCCTCGGGTCACTTCCTGTCAGCACCTGTGTGTCCGATCAAACTTAAATAGTACATATTGTGAAGAATCCACTTGTACAGTGTTTTAGAACATATATTTGGGTAACCTGAGTGTTTATTGACCCACAAAATGTGAAATAAACCCATCCAGTCCTTTGTTTGTGGTCTGCATAAGTCTTACAACACAGAGGAAAATGCTCCGTTTCAAATTTGCTCTCCTTGTGATGTCACAGTGAGATTCAGATGAAAGAAAAATACCCTCCCCCTCCCCTGGTATCTCCACCCATGGACTCCTCCCCCAGACTAGAGTAAAAGTTTTGCACAGGTCTGCCATTTTTATTTTTGCTACCGAGGAGTGATGTCTACCGGGAAAACTGAGGGGGGCTCATTGCATTTAAAGAGACACACACACCAAAACAGAGCGTTCTGAGAGAGCTGGTTTATACAGGGTCACAAACCTCCTCTGGTGCTTGATTCATGTTATATTTTGACCAAAGCACAGCACAGATGTTTCATTTAGACCACAGGGGACTGTTTGAAAAGGTGGATAATATGTCATCTTTACAAGTCAAGACCAAAAAATACCGGAGACCAGAGAGCTCAGAGACCCAGATAAGACCAAGACATTCAGACATTTTACAAGACCGAGTCAAGACCTAGACCATTTTGAGAATTGGAGAAGTGCAGCAGCATCCATTTGACCTTACCAATAAGTCAGTCCAAAAGGAAACAACAGCATGCAGATATTTACAACATTGTTATTTATGTAGCAACCTGACGTATTTGTGGCGTCTACTCCCAACGGGTCTACGAGAGGACAGCAGAGAAGTCGTTATGCAGACACTGTGCTGCGTCTCTCACCACTCTATAAGAGAAGGATTTAATGTTCCGCCAATTAAACTTTAGTCTAACATTTAAGTGGCATTTGATAAATGTAAAGAGGGGTCACACGCTGAGACTTCAATCCCCTCTGTGTCTCCCTGCGGGGGGTCCAGATTTACTCTGAGCAGCTGTTTAATGAACTTCAGTGAATCTATGTGTGTGTGAGAGGGAGAGAGAGAGAGAGTGATTCACATTTAGAAGGTTACATAATCAAGCTCTGCTGTTTATCGGACTGGGCGCACTCTTGATTTTAAATCATGACCAACACTGATGGGCTTTTCCCCCCCCGTCAACGCCGTGATTAGAAGGGAACAGCTCTTTCATCAATTCATTCATAATTTGATTTTTGTCCCCCTTCCTGGGTTACGGTCTGAGTGAGTGACATTTATGGTCTTGGTCTTGACTCAATCTCAGAGCACTCGGGTCTTGGGGTGTCTTTGTCTCTCAAAAAAAAGCTCTCAGACGAAGTGATATCCACCTTATGACATCCCACCTTGACCTTTGTTACCGTTCCTTTGAGCTGTTTGACCTCACTTTGTGATCCCTAACTGTTTCTGTGCTTAACTTCATGTCCTAACCTTCCATCTACAGGAAGGGCCTTACTGTATTTCAAAATAAAAGCACGGCCAAATTCAAACAGCCGGTAAAGAACTCTCAGTTTAAGACAGTACAACATTTCAAAATAAAAGCCTAACAATTCTTATTTTTAATAGAAACAATGGGATTTCAAACATGCGATTAAAAATGTGTTTGATCGGGGCACCATTATAGTGGTGAATGCGTGCACCCCATGAATGTACATAGGCTTTTGTCCTCCAAGCGGGCGACCCAGGTTCGAATCCGAGCTGGATTTCTCATGCCTTTCCCCACTCTCTCTCGCTCTCGCTCTCTCTTTCCTCTATCCACTGTCCTATCTCTCCAATAAAGGCACAAAAACCTCAAAAATAAATCTTAAAAATGAATTTGATCGCAATTAACTATTGAAATTTAGGGATTAATTGCAAGTCGCATACTGTACTAAAACCTGTGACCTTTTTAACTTTCTCACCAAAAATAGTCAAAAAGATATTTAGGTGGACAACCCCTTCATTTAAAAACATTGCATCAACCAGAATTACTGCTCCGTCTCCTCAGATTTCCATTTTCAAATGTGGTCAACAACAAAGACAACAACTCCCATGATCCCAGACTATTTAAAAACATCAACAAAACAAAGATTTTTTTTTTTTGTTGTTTTTTATTGAGAGACTCGTAGTGTAACATAATCAGCTGTAGTGCAGTGAAAAACACATCGCCTGTCACACACACTGTAAACCTGTCTGGATCGCTGTCTTGTTATTAACTGTGAGTGATGAACAGTAAAGCAGCAGCTGCAGTTCATTTGCTCATCTTACATCTCTGAGTGAGTTCGTTGTCGGGTTTATTCTCTCTGGGAGCTGTCTTTAACAACACGAGTTATTCATTGAAAAAATAAAACTGAGTTGTAAAACCAAATGTCAGATTGGAGCCTAAAGAACACACTATCCTTTGTAAATTAAAGTAAATCAGTGAGATGTGTAGTGACTGAAATGATAATGTGACCCTACTACACTGGAAAACATCAAAGGCCCCACATGGAAAAGAATGGGTCAGTGCAATGACTGAAACAGCGTCTTATGAGTGTATGCTAAAAATACTCAGAGACAGTAGGGTGGAGGCGGGGTCTCCCTGGGACAGGTTCTGGGACTACATAAAGGTGGATGACATGCTCAAATAATTTTCTGTCTCATCTCTGAAAGGATCACCATTTTGAGCTTGCTGCTGTAGTTGTTTATGTTCACTGGATCTGTGTACTTAAATCTGAAACCACGATTTGTGTAAACTAAGGGTTACTGTAACCTTGAAACATAAGTGTGTTAATTCCATGTACCATGCCCTTGAAAAAATCAATAAAAACATTTGAATTCAAAAAAAATAAATTGACCTTACTATATGATCAGACATTAAGGAAACATGCTATGTTGAAGTGCTGGCTTCTCTGACAACAATGCAGCAGCCAGTATGTCCTCCTTCTAACTTTAGATTCTGGTCCTGAATGCTCTGGATTTGTTTGGACCAGAGAAGGTAGGTGGTTTTAAGACACCCCCACACGGCCGTTTTGGACGCCCCTCGGTTTGCCAGATATGAGACAAGTTATCAGGTCAAACCAACAGGTGTTGCAGCGATGGAAGTGGCCAAGAGAACTGGTTCAGATAGAAGTGATTGTACCCGACCTAAAAAGCCTCTGCATGTTTCTAATAAGCCCCCGAGCAGAAACGTGCTCAAACTAGGATCAATATTGGAGATGCTTTTGAAAAATGGAGAGAGGTTAGAACACAGAAAGGTTTACAGACCGACGCAGAGCTGGCTACACACTGAAGCTGGCTAAACACTGAAGCTTCAGTGACTAAGACATGGCAACCTGCATGAGCATCGACTCTGGAGAGGAGGGGGCGGGGGGAAACAGCTCTCTACAATGTTTAGAATTTAGACTGCAGTACCCATTTTAAACAATAGGGGTCAGAGTTATATACTGCTCCTTTAACTTGTTTAAATTGAAGTGTTTCCAACCATTAAGTATTGTTCTGATCCTGAGACAAAAGAAAAAGAAAAAAACAACAGTAAAGCTGAGAATATTAATGGCTGTAAGAAGTAAGTGTTGTAAGAAAACCTTTTGTGTTTTATTTTGAAAAACTAGGTCAGAACATAAATTATATTGATCTGCAAATGAGAATATTCCCAATATGTTTCACCATTAAAAAAATGCAACAGTGAAATCTGGAACACACAAAAGATGCAATCTGTTGTTCAATATGATAATATTTAAGAGTGACATTCAGTGTGAATTAAAAATTTAATATTTCAATACAAAGTGAGAAAAGTTTAGGTGGGATCAGCAGGTGAGTTCAGGCCAATGTCGGTTCCACCTGAAAAGAAAAACATTGCACAGGTGATAAGTCACAGCCAGATGTTTATGAGAAAAACATTCAGAAATCCTGTTTCGTATTTAATTGCGTTAATGCTAATAGTGTTTTTTTTTTGTCTATTCATCAAAAAAAGATAGACACTGGACTTTTAAGAGCCTCACTTCAAACTCATCCAATATGGCCGCATGGTCAGTGGCCTAATGCTCCAAATTATGACACCATAGGTTCCCCTTTATCAAACTCTAGAGGCCTCAACACAATGTGACTGACATCTTTTCTTTTTAAAGATGTTGTGAAATCAAACATTTCAATTGTAACTATCACAGAAAGAAACTCATAAAAGCCTGAAGGAAACGTTTGGATATCTGTCACTTTTTTGTTTATTTCCTTTGTTAACTGTTTTTTGCACCAATACACCGAGACAAATTCCTTGTATGTGTAAATGTACTTGGCAATAAAAACTGATTCTGATTCTGATTCTGATTGGCTTCAATCCATGTTAGTAAGTAAAGAAACTTAAGTATTTACATTTCCTGGTATGTGTGTCGTATGATATGTAGTAACATGTTTTGTTTTGTGAAGTTTCACAAAATGTAATGTAATGGGGCATTGTTACGTACTGTTCTTGAGTTTCTTTGCAATGTTTTACAGTGCTTAAATTGTGTTGTGTCACGCTCATAGACTGTAAATATAGATGGACAAAGCCTGAGTGACATCACCCATCTGTTCCTGCAGGGGGCTCTGGGGGCTCATCAGCAGCAGCCACCATGCTGGAAATGCTGTCTCAGTCTATCTTTCAGTCAACCTAACGACAGGCTGAAAGCTGGAGCTGAGGCGGGTTTTAAGCCTCTTTACAAACCATTAAACATTGCCCACTTGTCAATCATGTCAGCTACACGCCTAACTATGGATAACACGTATCGTTCATAAAATCAAAATGGAGCCACTTCAAAAAATCAATGAAGGAGTTCCCCACCTGTACAGTGTGTGCCAGTGATGACAATAACTAACCAGACCGATTTTTTTTTGTATCAGGCTGTAAACATGTTTATTTATGCTGTAAAAACTGTTTTTTTTGCCTGTGGTGTGTATGTGACTTCCTGTGTTCCTGGAGCCAGCCTCTAGTGGACACTGTGAAATTTTACACTTCCACATTGGCTTCATTTTTCAATACAGGAAGTTGCCGCTTGGTGTTCTGCTGCATTACTTTCAGGTACGTTGCAGATGTATGTAAAACTCAAGCTGATGTCTTTTAAAAAATTATTTCCCAGCAGTTCTGTTGCATAAATGTAATCTTATTGTGATAAATTGCCATGTAAACTGATGCAAAACCAGTTCATTTTTTAAGGTTTTGTCAGCAGTTTAATCTTTTAAGTTTTACACCAGGCATCTTATTATTCACACTAACTGGACTTTGTTTTTGTGTCTTAACCAGGCGTATCTCTGAATAGCCATGAGCCATGCAATTGCATAATTGATGCCAGGGTGTTACTTAAATCATATTCTGAATCGCATGGCCACCGAACAATCTGACGTATTTTCTAGCCTGAGTGAGAAATTGTTTCCTCTTAGCACTAAAGTTTAAAGCTCTTTAAGCTCACTGAAATGTGAACAACACTGTTTTTTGTCTACTAATCAGCCCTTTTTCCATCAGCTCTGTGAGCAATCAGTCTTATCAACCAGCAGTGAAGAGGTCAAGATATTTATAACCTGACAGAGAGCCGAGGAATTCCCAGAGTGACAGAGGACGTCTTCTAATGACAGCCGGCGTTCACACTTGTGTAATGGCTTTTGGAGGCTCAATTATTAATGTGATGCTTCATTCAAGCACAACAAAATTCCTTCAAACCTCAAACATAGATCTGTCAGTGACAGGCTCACAGGGACTCTTACCCGTTTTAAGGACATGATGCTGCTCCCTCGAATTGCCGCCATCAGGTCGTCACGACTTGACCTCTGTGGTGGCGGCAGGCGTGGCGGCTCGTCTCGTCTCTTCTGGACTGACGGCTTCAACGAGTTCTTCAGGTCTTTGACAATATCTGCACTCTCCTTTTCATTGGCGCCATTCTTCAGCTTCTTTGACTTTGTCTTCTTCAGGTTCGACTGATTCTTTGTGATGTTTGAGCCCTCGTGCTGTTTGACCATTTCGGCGATCTTTCTCGTCGGTTGGTCTAAAGATGGAGGATTTCTGTTCTGATTCTCAACCTTCTTGGACGGTTGTAAAGGCTTCTTTGGTGTTTTGTTTTCTGCAGACGATCCAGGGCTTTGTCCGAACACCTCTGGAGGACTCTGGTCCTTCTTCTGTTGCAGCCTCCTCTGTCGCTGTTGGTCCTGGTTGCGTGTCAGGATACTGGTTGCCGTCATCCTCGGGCCTGGGAGATCAAACTGGTACCCAAGCTTGAGCAAAGTGGTGTTTTCCCTCAGCAGCTGGACCATCTCCATCTCCACCTTCCCCCCACAGATGTGCCTCTGGTTGTGGAAGCGAAGCTCTACCAGTGTCCTGTTGTGCTGAAGTGCCGCCAGCACAGCCAATATGCCCTGACCAGACACAAAGTTTGACTCGATGTTCAGGTTTTGGATGCAGCCGTTCTCTCTGAGCATCTTGGAGATAGCAAAGGCGACCCGGTCATCCGCATGGGTGTTGGCCAGACTGAAAACGTGGACATTAGTGTTTGAGCACAGGGCTTCTGCGAAACGAAGCAAGGTTTCCTGGGAAATGTCTTCGATGTTGTTGAGATTGACCTCCCTCATGGTGGGATCATCACACAGGATCTGCTCCAGAGTTTTGTCAATGATTGTCGGGTTCCCGCTTGGTCTGTCAGAGTCTGTGTTCAGGTTTGGGTTTGCAGTTTCAGTCCTCCTAGACTCACTCCGAGTGCCTTCCGACACACCGTTCTTTGAGGGACATCTACTCCTGATCAGAGCCTCTTTTTTACACTCGTCTTTCTTTTCATCTTGCTTTGCATCAGCTTTGCTCACGGCACTCTGCGCCTTCTTCCCCTTTTGCAACATCTTCTTTCTGTCCCCGTCCATAGTCTTACTCTTGATGCTAGTGGAGACTGTCACTTGCTCCGCGATGATCTTATCCGGGCGTCCCTCCTGCACACAATAACAGGACAGAAAATTAGGTTGAACCCTGACATTCTCCAGCCTTTGACTTTTAATTAAGAACCCTCTCCCACACTGGCAGACGGTCATTAAAGCTGGCATTTCTCACAGTCTTTATTTTTAGACTTTTTTTCCCCCTCCAGCCACACATCTAAGTACACTCGATATATGACACTTTCTACATCATTAAAGAGTTCTTATAACAAAACATCCCAGAACTTAGGCCAAAGAGTTAAGAATATAACTTCATATCCTAGTTTGCAAACATTTAATGTCCTTAAGAGAAACTTCAATGTGTTCTCTAGTGATAAAGTGTTGATTTTTTTAAACCAGGAAGATTTATTTGTACTGGAACATTTAACATTTTGACTAAAAGGAGCCAACAAAGGCAGAGATCCTCAGAATTTAATTCCCAGGTAGGGGTTTAGGTTTCAAACACTGAGTACTAAAGTTCCCTCTCTAGATGAAAGACCCTGAAGGCTTCACTAGGATGTCATCTGTTTTTTTTTTTCCCCCTTCATGGCCCCACGAGACATTTTACAACTGTTTTCACAGACTGAATTAGATCCACAATAAGGAGTCAACTGATCTTCATGGGAAACATTTTTCGAGTGTTTCTTTTAATCCCATTGAAACTGAATCTTCATTCAGATTTTTTCCAAAGTGCTTTCAGGGCGTTGATCTAAACAACAATTATCTTTGTCACAGATAGTGACAATTGTTCACTTGTTACAAAGCGGCAATCTCCGGTGTTGAAAAATGAAGCCAATGCAGAAGTGCAAAATCCTGCAGTTCATCAAGTGTCCACTAGAGGCGGGCTGCAGAAGCACAGGAAGTCACATACACTCCCCCTTCATAAAAGCAGTTTTTACACTAGAAATTAAAATGTTTACAGACTGGTTAAAAAAAAAAAGAATTTTAGTCTGATTAGTTATTTACCTCATGGGCGCCGACCAACGCAGATTTAACATGTCGAATCGGCTGAAAAAAGGCAGATGGGGCCGACGGGTATCGACGGATCCGGACACACCGCAAAAAACAGAGCAACGATCGCTCACTGGAGGTCCGACTAGGACCAACGGCCGACGATCTCCTTGGTGTGTCAGGGTCTTAAAATGATTGGGATGCAATCTCTTTCATTTAACGCCTTGTTCATCTATCATCTTGCCGTTTGGGGTTTAAATCCTTTCACATATTTTAAAAACACAAATATTTCCTCCATCCCTCTTCAATCTAAGAGATAAAAAAACAAGGTGTGTCAGATGCAAAATGAGGCATATGACTTCATGTTAGTTACTCTAGTTCCTGTCAGAATGATTGAAAATTGGTAAAAAGCGTACAAGCAGCGATCAAAGCTGCTGTGACGCCCATGAATTCAAAATCAGCTGCATACAAAATACATTTTTGGGAAAATCTAGCCTCTTAAGGACGACTGGAGAAGTGGAAGAAACATGGATGTTGTTTGATGATTTCTAAAGATCTCTCAGACATTGGAGATTTTTCTATACTTAAAACCAGATATCAACCTTTGTTTTGAACCAACTGGACAGTTACCTGGACAATGACCATCATGGATGTGACTCTGTTGTTGTTAAAAATGTACATGGATAAAACTTAGCGGACCACTGAGACCTCTTACCTGCCCTACACGCTCCAGTATGTTGTCTTTAAGCAGCGCCTTGTTCTCCTCCTCCCAGTATGTCAGCAGAGAGTTCCGGTCAAAGGTCCCTGTCGGTGTTTTGGCCGTCTGGTCTTTCTGCCTCAGGCCGATCGGGATGTTGTCATCGAGCACAGCCAGCTCCCTCTCCAGCTCCTGGAGCTCGTCAAAGGAGAGAGAGGCCAAAAGTTCATCTTCATCCACCTCCTCGTTGTTCTTTGTGTCCCTGCGGTACCCTGAGGTACTCATGCTTTCTGCGCTTTTCTTCCAAACTCTGTGAATCTCTACCTTCAAGTCTTTCTCCACTTTACCTCCTCGTGTGCTTGATTAAATATTCAGTAAGTTGTTCTGGCTCTCCTGCTTGAATCCTCTTTAGCTCATTGACTTGTCCTCCATCAGATTCCTTCAGATCAGGGATGCTTTGGACTACCGGAGACGGATCAGAGTCCTTGTTCATGTAGCAGCTGGAGGAGAGTGGTGTGGAGAAAGGGGAGTGTCACTATGCCGCTGATGCTCCTGTCTTTTTTTAGGGTGTTGAACGTGGGGGGGGGGGACTCATTGAGATAGGCTTACTTTGGGAATGTGAGCCCTCGGAGTGGCCTGTGCTTAGAGCTTATCAGGGACTCGTGCCTCTGAAGAAATTGGATGGAACGAATTGCTGTGGGGGAAACATCAGAGATGAAGCTCTGCAACATTATGTAACGTGTCAGGACTTAGAAACACAGTGTGGTGGTGTTGTTGTCTGGGAAACACTCTCAGAGGATTACGACAGTACAGGGCCGCTGGCTGGCTGTGAGGAAAAGTGACGGTGGACCATGGGAATGTTGTTTACAACAGAACGGATCAACTTTAAAATGTCATTACAGATTGATTTGTCAGATTCTTTTCTGGTTTCAATTCCAAATTTTGACTTTTCAGGTGAAATCAAAAAATGGAGAAAGGGTTAACCACGCTTTGAAAGAAACCAACCAAAACAGAGGCACATGGCAGGAAGAAATCCAACTTTTTAATGACCTCACATATGGTCACATATTTTTATGAAGCCTGGAAGAGAAGGAAACACACACCTTATGCACAGTAGCAGGCACTCAGAGTGGATCTTATACGGCATAACTTAGCCCTGGGTGAATGAACAGATTTATATTTAAAAGCACAGTCTGTCTCTCTCTCTCTCTCTTTCGCCCTCTCTGAGTTATTACCGGAGGTATTTATTGGTGTTGGATTTTGCTAACTTTATCTTTGTATCATTAATGCACCACGAATGCACATCCAAATACAGACAACACTGTCATGATTTGTTTGTTTTAGTTTTCTGTATTTCATTTGTTTACATTTCCTTTCTTATTTTATTTTCTCTCTTTCCTCCACATGATGTTTCTTGATTCCCTTGGGAGTATTTTTATTGTATTACTTCCAAGTTTGGTCTTTTATTTTGTAGTTGTTGCCCCTGTGTATCATGTCTTGTGGTAATTCCTGCCTTTGTGTGTCCTCACCTGTGTCTCGTTAGTCTCACTTGTGTTTGATTACCCCAGAGTGTATGTCCTGGTGGGATGCTTTACCAGGCAGGACACCTGAACTCTGGCCCTGTGAGTACAGGGGTAAAATACACAACCTGTAGGCGGCAAAACTAAAGGGAATGTCAAACATTTGGAAAAGAGAGCCGGTGATGTCAGCAGCTCCTTTCTGAAAAGTTGAAAGATTTTCAACTTGAGCGCTCGCTGTTAACGGCCGTCTGCTGCTGTGAACGCTCCTTACTCATTGAAACTACAGTAATTGGAAAAATGCTAGGTGGACACCAGGCTGGCTATACCAACTTGATTTTGGGCTTGATACAAAGTCATGTTTTTATAAGGCAACTCTATCTGGTCTCCAAGTGGGCGTTTTTATCAGACATTATTCTCCATTAGTAGGCTACCTATAATACGAGTGGTCACCGACAGTTTCCGACAGCGGTGTGAAAATGGGCTTCTCATATCATAACAACAGACTAACGGCACCTGCTGGCATGGAGAGTTATTTCCTCTCACTGCCTTTGTCGCCACTAGTTATTTGCCGTCTCCTCGGTGTGCTTATAACATGCTTATCCAAACATGGTCCCAACCCCCACTTTGGGAACCACTGGTCTTTTAGGTACTGTTTCACCAAAACACTTCAAACTTCAACTTTGTGAAGAAAGATCTGAAGCGAAGGAAACACTTGTCTCATGAGGCCATATGGAGGTCAAATTTAGTGTGACACATTTAGAGCGATAAAAGCATCCTGTGTATAAATTGAACTTGAAGATGAGAATGAGCGCAACATATCTTTCTGATCCTCACCTCTTATCTACTCTGCTGTATTGAATCCTAACCATGTAGCATCGTTGTTGTCCTCTTTGTGCACCCTGTACTTATCACATGTTACGTTTGTTTGGCTGTGACGGTCTGACCGACAGTCTAGCTGGGTTTTGGAGAGAGTTGTTGTTTGGTTGCCAGGACGACAGATACAGCTTAATAACAACACACACATCCATCACTGAGCGTGTTTAACAAGCTGCTCTGCACTCATATCACGTTACACGTCTGAAGTGAAAAGGCTCTGAGTGACATAACAACACTCTCATCCTAGAGCTGCTGTAAATTTGACCTTTGACCTGGATTATTGCTGATAAGCATCAGTCATCAGGTTGTGCAGTCCAGACTTAGAATCAAAACAAGGTTCACGATATAACTTTGGGTTCTGCACTTCTGACCTCGTTAGGAAGGACACTGGATATTCTTTCCTGCAGACTCTTTTCTACATCATAGATCAGTTTATGGATTCATTTTTCTTCCTCAGACGTCGGTTTTCAGTTCATTTTGACGAATTCAGCTGGAGGGGAGAGATATCCATCAGAATCAGTATGAAGATAACTTTTGAAAATTTGACACAAATCTCCATGATTCGTTTAGGAAAGTACTAAAAGCCGGAGAAACCAGACAGCTGTAGTCATCTGAACATTTTTTCTTGTAGCGCGCTGAAACTGAAAACAAACCAGTTTGATCAATTATTTATTAATTGCCAATTTGTTACCTCGAGACACTGTGCATAAGAGCAGGTAAAAGACCGTACTAATTTTTAAGGAAAATGAGATAGGGGGAGATGGGATAATCTGCAGGAAGGATTTCTCCTTTGTATTCCTCACGTTCCTGTTGTCCTCACTTCCTTGCCGCTGAGGTGGAGGTCGGAGCAGGCTGTGCATGAAGGAGGAAGGGGTGGTTTAGGTGACGACACAGTCTGATGGTGATGGCTGGGCGTCAGGGACGTCGCGTGGAAGTTGATAGATCAGGATTGTTTATCCTGAGAATGTTGTTTATTCTCTGGATCATATAATATCCTCAGCGTCATAACTGCAAAAAGCTATCCGGAGCCTGTCTGTACTTTTGTAGACTTTCATCTGTGCTGTCGTTTTGAAGAGATGGAAAATGAAAGACTGTGCAGCAGCTCCACAGAGTGTTCAATGGTGGACCACGCTTTCCTAAACTCTTTTTGCCTTCCAGGCCTCGGCGCAGGTCACATGACTGACAGCTGTGAACAGAGTGTGGTAGTCGGATAGAGGTCGAAAATCCAAATGAATGCAGCATTAACTCCAATCCAAACAGACAGAAACACAGTCAGCTGTTTACAGAGGCGCTGTCACCTGAAAATCCTTTGATGTGGTGTACACTCCCTGTTTTACTGTTGGCTTTAATCCGTATATGTTTAGCTTTGTTTTAGCACATTAACACACCTGCTGACAGCTGCCTCTGATATGACCCGACAGCAGGCTGCTGTCCGCAGTTTGGAGGTCGTTTGAAACAATGTAACCTCCTCTTTTGTTATCAGGTTCTCCGGGGAGCTGACCGAATGTGTGTGCAGGTCAAAGTGGTTCCCAAAGGGGTTTTGAATTGGGGGAGACAAGAACCTGATGATGTAGTAGACTCCCTTTAAACATGGCTTTAAAATGACTGACTAAATTTTCACCTGGTATTTGCCAAACAGACGTTTTTCCACTCCCCTATGTGCAGAGACTGGGGTACTCGTCGCAGTGGCCGCGGGTTCGGGTCTGAACTTGGCCCTTTGCTGCATCTCGTCCCCCACTCTCTCATCCCGACGTTTCCTGTCTCTCCTCAGCTGTAAATGACCCAAAAAGATAACTTAAAAAAAAGTCTTCAGTGCACATTGAGATCCGATTGCGATCTGATCACGCTCCCGTCTTTCACGCTCAAAACCTCTTCTGTGACTGAATTATGTTTGTAACTAATAACTGTCATCACAAACAGTGATATTTATTTACATTGCTTAACCGGAGAACTCAAACTAACCACAAAAAATCAATAATGGAGGCGCACAGTGGCAGCTGTTTACCGTTACTCCAGTGCAAACTATGATAATGTTTAATTAGCTCATATTAATTAAGACTACTGAGAGTATTAACCCACATGGCAGCATAGCTCATGTGAAGTCAACAAAACTCACAGCTTCAGGCGTCAACATCTTTTTCTTATTCCCTCTCTCGAAAATCCTCCCATCCAAAAGAGAACAGGCGTGTTAGAATTATCCAACTTCAACAGGAAGGCAGGATCCGGTACAAATTAAACCCTCGCATTCAGTGTTTTCTTTAAAGGGGCCATGCTATGAAGAATCCACTTCTACAGTGTTTCTGAACATATATGTGGGTAACCTGAGTGTCTACCGAACCACAAAATGTGAAATAAACCCATCCAGTCCTTTGTTTGTGGTCTGCATAAGTCTTACAACACAGAGAAAAATCCTCCGTTTCAAATGTGCTCTCCTTGTGATGTCACAGTGGGATTCTGGTAAAAAAAAAAAATACCCTCCCCTCCCCTGGTATCTCCACCCATGGACTCCACCCGTAGCCTAGAGCAAAACTTTTGGGCAGGTCTGCCATTTTTATTCTCTCTACAGAGGAGTGAAAACTGGGAAAACTCGGGGGGGGGCTCATTGCATTTAAAGAGACACACACACCAAAACGGAGCATTCTGAGAGAGCTGGTTTATACAGGGTCACAAACCTCCTCTGGTGCTTGATTCATGTTATATTTTGACCAAAGCACAAACTTTTACTTATCTAGAGTGTGTATCAGAAATTGTCATTGTCAAGTGAAATCATCGGTTGGTGTGTGTGCTATTCTGAAGCCTCAAATTTGTCTTTTGACCGTCTTCCTCTTTTTCCTGGACAAATTAGTGACCATATATGGACTGCAGGACTGATGATGCACATTGCTTTAGATTGACAGTTTGCTGTGGTAGTGTCTTTTTTATTAACGTAATAAATGTAGAGTAGTACGTTCATTTTAAATTTTGTTTCCAAACAGTGGAGTCGCCCCCTTCTGGCCATTAAAGAAAATGCAGTCTTCAGGCACTTCCACAATGACTTCACCTTTGAAACCAAGAGGACATTTCTCTTATACAATCGATGCACCTAATTCATGAATCTGTCGTCCTGCACAACATTAATGGTTGTCAGGCAATGTATAATAAAACGGCACAAGTCCATCGAAATTAAGTATACATTTTATTTACAACAGCAGAAATATAATAGTCAAGCCCTCAACTAAGCTCCATTTCACAAGAACCATACCTTTTATCTGAAACAGGTTTGTATAAAAGACAGGCTGTTATTTCTAATTTCAAAGGTTTAATCACAACACTTGATCCTAATGAGCAGCCTCCCTAAATTCTGATCTGTATACAGCTTGACTTGCTTTTGCTACACAAGTAAAACTTTGTTGATACATTAATTATAATGCCCTTCTCAGCAGTTTGTGTTGCACCATTATAACAAAAAAAAGGCTGTTTACACATTGCATTCTCATTCACACTGGGTAATCATTCTTGGAGAACAAGTGGATAGCATTTAAGAACGCGCCTTTACACTTTGCATTAACACTGCGTGTCCTTTGAGCTCTTGAATTCAGATCACACTTGCCCGCCTGTTTGTAAAGACTGTTTTATGAGGATTTCAGACTTGCAGAAAATTCCTGAAAAGCTCCTGATATTTGCAGGGGTTGGTCCTTAATGCTGCCCAGAAGGCATTCGCATTTCAACTACCAAACCAATATGAATAAATGTCTGCCAGACCACCTCTGCATGTGGTCTGAGTTATCGGAGTTATCCCATCCTAAGGATGCGTTGGGGAGCGTCTCACCATGCATTAACAGTGTCCACTTGTTATCAGATCACCCAGGATGGATGTTAATGCAAGATGTTAAACAGGAACACAGTCGTACTTCTTCAACAACCTATCCTATCACTCTTATGGTGGTCTGAACGTCACCTGGTCTGTGTTTTATTTCTGCAAGATTGCACATAAGAGGCTTTGTCTTCCCACACTTGCAGGAAAATGTGACACGATGTTACAGAATGAACTACAAATGATTTATGCTTCATTTTTGCAACAGCTAGGACAGTAATATTCTTAATGCCTCCTTCATAAAACAGTCACACAGGATATCCCACCCTATTAAAATCACTTATGATATGTTCATCTAGGCTCATACAGAACATGTGTGCTTGCATGGACACGCTGTACACTTTAGGGTCCCAGTTTGAGGGTTTGAACATGGTTGACCATGACACACTATTTCAGAGACTCTCTACAGTAAACCAGCTACCTTATAACTTCAAAATAAATGAAAATGCAGTTCAAGTTTGACAAAATGACAATATGTGTTACTCCATAAGTAAAATAAGTTTTGTTGAGTTTGCAGTTTAAACACACTGAACCAAAAGCTGCCCCTTAACGATGTAGTAGGAATTTATGATGTGCCATTTGTTTCTGGAATTCCACTGCAAGTATCTTGATGAATGTTTCATCCCTCACACTTTTTAATTTATATTTTGATGTTGTTTTTCAGGTCTCTTGTAAATACAGGACCAGTTCTGTATTCACAGAAGTAAAAAGAAAAAAAAAATACAAAGTCATCGCTGACACTTAAGACCCGGTAGATGTGTCAGGAGTCGGGCTGAGGTCAGTCCTCGCTGCAGAGGATTTGGGCGTACAGGTCGTTGTCTCTGAACAGCAGGTAGTCTTTCAGCCTGTTGGGCAGGTGGACCGACATGAGATTGCTGCAGCTCAGGTGTTTTCTGATCACCACTCGGCTCAGGTGAGACAGAGAGCGAGGGTTACCTGCATCGCACAGAAAAGCAGTTTGTTTTTGGAACTGCAGCCAGAAGCTTAGATTATTTTTAAAACACAATAACTCACGTGTGGTCCAGTGAATGTGAGGCCACTCCTCCTGATGCTCCAGGATCTTTGTGAGTTTGCTGCAGAGAGAAACCTGACCGACGTACTCGAGGAGGAGCGAGACGACTCGACCAACCAGATTCACCAGGCAGGAGACGCTGACAAAGTCACAAAACTGTAGGAACAAAACTCCCCGTTACAGACAGGTAGTCACACTTTTAGATTTGGAAACAAACTGTTCTGCTTAGCGCAGATTTATACTTTGGAATATCATTTTTATTCTAGTAAGGAAATAACTCACCGAAACTTTTTCCTCCTGATCTTGTGAGAAACCACATTCTAGGTCCTCCCAGTCGTCGTTGCCATGGTTACAGTGGAAACACTTCTCGGCGTCATAGCCGTTGTTGAGCAGCAGCCTCATCATCACCTCGTTCTTCAGGCAGTACTGCAGCGCTGTAGGAAACGTTGTGTCGTTCACCATGGTGAAGTAACAGTTCACGTCTGCCTTGGCCGCCAGCAGCAGCTTCACGATCTCATATCGCCCCGACCTGATCGCCACCAGGAGGCAACGCAGCGGGTCTAGGTCAGGTTTGGCCCCTGACCTCAGTAGAATCTCAGTGCAGGTCACATCCCCGTTGGAGACAGCAAAGTAGAGCGGGCTTTTCCTCATGTCTCCGTAATTTTCTGAGAGGTGAGGAGCTAACAGCGCATTGATGTCGAAACTGTTCTGCAGCAGGAGCTCCAGGCAGTGGGCGTGGCCTCCATCAGCGGCAGAGTGGACCGGGCTGTGTCCGGACAGCCTCAGGGCTCGCCTTGTGGTGATCGGCATCAACATCCTCAAAGCTCTGATGGAGAAAGGAAGTTGAAGATTTTTAAAGAAGTGAACTACCCAGATAAAGTCCAACATAAAACTTGAAAGAGTTGAAACATTTCAAAATCTGTTTACTTGCTTTGGAGCCTGAACAATCTGGGAGCGAGTTTTTTATTTGTTGGGCAGATGCATTTTGTTCCACTTCCTGCCTGGACTGATTTCCATTAGCCCTGGGGCGCAGATGCCCTAGCGGTTAGATCGCTTTAGATCTCCTTTCCCACATCTCATTCCCTACTCTCAAAGGCCTGATTACAAGAAGCTGGTTTTTATTGTTAATAAAACCAGACACTCAGCCCTTTAAACTGTAGTCAAGCAGTAAAGAAATACGGCCCCACTCACAGGTAGTGTCCTTCATATGCGGCGCGGTGAATGGGCAGTTGCGAACTTAGGTTGCGGATGTTGGGATTTGCTCCATGCTGCAGCAGGATCTCCATGCAGTTTAGATTCCCTGATCCTGCAGCGTCATACAGGACGCTGTCGCCATTTGGTGCCTGGGCGTTTACATCAGCACCTTAATGAGAGGCAGAGAAAAAAAAAAAATCAACTACCATGTCAGGACCACAACAGGAAGTCCGCCATCATTTTTGGAATGTCAAATTCATTGCCCAATTTCGAGTTTCACAGGCAACCTATTTGAATGGAGTGAGTTGACAATAGTATAGCGAAATAACAGAACTTAACTTCTGCCATATCAGACCCTGGTTAAGTAGTTTTAGCCAGTTTGTTTCCAAAGAGTTGGATTTGGATTTGGCTGGTTTGGGCTCCCACAACAAAGAGAGGAAGTTACAAAGCATAAATACTCTGTAAGTGTAGAGTACTTTTAGCCCCGACACTTGACTAAAATACTTTCGAGTCCTGCTTGAAACCCTGACAAAAAGTGTGACATGAAAACCTAAGAGCTTTAAATGTTGGAAAAGCTCTTCATTGACAATATATTTTTAAAGAGCATGGTAATGGGTTTACCATGTTTGATGAGGAGCTCCAGGACTTCAGGGTGGCTGTACTCTGCAGCGATCCCCAGAGGAGTCACTCCATGCTGGTCCGTCTCGGATACCTGACCCCCGTTCTGCAACAGGAGCTCCACCACGTGAACACAGCCGGCTCTTGAGGCCTCGTGCATGGCCGTCCACTTCTTCAGACACACCTGCTCAACCCGAGCTCCTCCAGCTATCAGACAGGAAACCATCTGGGGAGATCCAGCTCTGACAGCTGCAGGGAGGGCATCATAAGATGAGGACATTTTAATTAGGATGGACAGAAAGGTTTTCCTAGTAGGACTTGGCACTTGGATGGTTCTGACCTAAAATCAGAGGGGATTCGTTCATGTTGTTGGTGGTTTGAGGAGAAGCTCCGTGGTTCAGTAACGTCTTGGCGTTTTCAACCAAACCATCTTTTACCGCTAGAGTCAGGAAGCTGTCTCCCTCTGAGGTCTTTTCCTCCAGAGTCAGACTACGAGATGCTGAAGAAAACAAGAAAAGAATAAATTATTTCAAAGAATTCATTTCCAAAAGGCTGTCAAAGAAAATCCTCTGCTACTAAATAAAGTTGTCTAAAGCCTGGTTGGTGCACAAAGCAAATTCTGAAAACGTCAGATGCAGTTTGGAGCTCATTTTAAGGCTGCACTGATGTAAATTTTAGGACCTCTTACCCACCATACAGCACCATCTCCAGGACCTGAACCAGAGGTTGGACCACAGCCCAGTGTAGAGGATACCAGCCGCGCTCATCCACATGGTTGAAGGCTGCTGGGAAGTCACAGAGATCCTGCAGAGCCAATATGTCACCTACAGGGACAGGGACAGTTTCTGTAAGTAGTTTTCTACTTTCTTATAAAAGGTCACACATTAGGCAAAATGCACTAACACTAATAATCGCCCTAGTCTGGCTACAAACCCCCCAATGATGAAAAAAGTCCATCCTCTCCGTCTTTTGCCTGCTCCACTTTTCAGAAAATGTGTGCTCAAACAGGCCGTTGGCAGATTTTCCCTTTATGACATCACAAAGGGCAGTAACCCCTCCCCCAGGTGGGTGAATCTCCTACAGCTAGGTGTTTGTTTTGTGCTACATTTTTTAAATTGGGATTCATCCCGGAATTATGTTTGTGTTATAAATCCAGTCTCATTTACCAAAGTTTGAATGGCAAGGAACATTTCTTTTTTGTACCTTGTTTGATGACCCCAACAAGCTTCAGAAACTCACTCCTAAACATCAAAACAAGACAATGAAGGTACATTAAAAAAAAAACTTTTAAACTTGAATATGTTCAGTAAAATCGGTTCATGTTACTGTACCTTCCTGATTTTATTAGATTGTTTTTCTGACACGACTCGTGAATGCTGATCTGAATGTCGTAGTCCAGGAGCTCATCTTCTTCCACGTCATCCATCCTTCTGACATCACACAGACACCAACTGTCACAACTTCAGACCTTTCTTTATCCAACAGCCGTTTAAAACACCTTCAACTAAAAGTGGTCCTGGCTGAGCAGTCAGAGCAATCACTTACAAAACCTGCCAGTTTAGGCTCATAAGAACCAGAATCAGGTTTATTGCCAAGTCACTCTATTTATTCATACTGTTACCAACATGATGAACTGAACTGAAGACTTGTAATTAGAAAAAAGAAACAAAAAAATTACAAGGGAAGTGTTTAATATCGTGAGCAATTTTCTCACTTTTATGTAAACAGAATTTATTTTTCAACCACTTGAGTCGCCCTCTGCTGGCTATTGGAAAGAATGCACAATGATGGCGCATTTGAAGTAGCTTAAAGGAAGAGTGTGCAACAATTTACACATATGAGTGAGAAGCTCAAGTCCCGCTGGCTGTGTTGTTGTCAGAGCCGTGTTTACATGGACGGGACGGCCGGCTCCTCCCCTTGAGTATAAAAGCTGTTTTAGTCAAGGACTAGAGAGAAGAAGAAGAACATACTCACTGAGTATTATATGAGTATGAGTATGGATGTCACATAAGTGTTTTTAGATTACAATCATTCTAACACTAGCATGCTAGCACAACAATGAAGGCCACAGGCAATCGCAGCTCGAGCAAAGAACAATTTTGTCCTCTGCTTCCGCTTAATGGTGCTTAATTAATCGTGTTAACGCGAGTGGAGAGGGGTTGGATGTGTGTCACTTAAGAATAGCGGCGGTATCACCAAACAGCAGTTTGCTTTGGTTTGCTCAAGAGCGACATCTACTGGATCAAAAAAATAAATACAAGGGATTTCTATCTGTGTTTTATTGTTTAACAAAAACTCAGCAAAGGACTTGAATTGCAAAAAGGGACTTGCACTAAAACTATGGAAAAAGAGCTGCACAGTGTTTGACATAAAGGCTATGAGAAGTGTAAAAAGTCCAAACAAACAAAGCAATAAGCAAAGTCCACATGAATATCCTGTGCAGGTAGTAGTGATTCCTCTGATTCGGGTCCGTTTAGACCCATTCAGTATTTTATCGGGAACTGGGTCAAAGCTCTCCGGTGTCGGTGAGTGAACGTACATTTGATCACAGAGACGCATTCAACAGATACAATCAAATTCAATCCCTCCTGTGTTAAACTTCAATGTACCTGCATCCTCTAACTTCAGAATAAGCTCTTCTTAATACGACATTATGACCCCTGACCTCCTTTCTGTTGGTCACATATGACTTGGGTGAGCAGGCATAACATATTCTAATGACTTTGTTTGCATCCTGCACAAGAAAACTTGCAAATTACACCTGAAACATAATAAAAACCTTAGTTTAGATAACTCTCACCTGATAAATGTGTCAGTGTTGGAGTCATGGGACGAAGCAGCAGCAGCAGCAGAATGTTTGTGTCATGGCTGAACTGCCCCCCCTCCTCCTCCGGTGTCTCTCACACTCACACACATGAACTGCAGCACACTATTTATAGCTGTCACCTGCTCCAGTGTAATTAACATGCAGGGGGTACACAGAATCAAATCAAGTGCAATGTCAGTTTGCACACATTTCCCACTGATAATGACAAACAATTATATATTATATATATATATATATATATATATATATATATATTATATACAGCTGGCCTGTATGAATATTTTTCATGTTATTGTGATGCATGAAGCCACATGTTTTTAACTAGATATCCGTCCGCCGTGAGCTTGAATGCTATGAGACGAGCGGATAACAACCTGTTGAAATAATGAAGACACATGAAGAGTGAAATGACCGACGCCTTTTTGACCTTTTCTCCATCTGTTCCAGGTTAACAACTCTGATTTTTCACCTCTTTGTTTTTTTCACATGCAGGTTTTATGTTAATATAGAAAACAGTGTAGCTAAAAAAAACATTCATTTTGTGATTGTACGTGTTTATGCTTTGCTGCAGGAGGGAAATAGTGAATGATTTTTTGTACTTCTTATGATTGCAATAACAATACTGCAGGACAAATGTTGGCCATACTAACAAAAAATCTACAACTTTCTTCTTTTCCTAAGATATTAGCTCTTTACACACATGAACTTCTAACACGTATTAGATACATTCAGGATATCCAGGCCCTGATATTTTCAGAAATGTGCTGTTCACACATTATCTGTGTAGGACGCTCTCTCACAACTCTGTTTTAGTGCTTTCGCACTTCAACAAAACTCTTGAAAAGCTCCAGGAGTTTTTTAAGTGAGCTGCATGTGTGAACACAAGCAGCCACATTTTTAATCAGACTTCATCCAGAGTTTCTCCTGCCAGCCCTCCTCTTGTTTTTTTCCACAGCAAGTCCGAGTGAGCTGACGTGAGATCTCAGCAGAATATTCTCCGGAGAATTCACCTCGAGCCAATCGGAGGGGGAGTGAAATTTATATATTGTGACTGCTGCACGGTGCATAGAGTGTCTGCCTGCGACCACTACGATCTCCTTGCATGTAATTAAACTGCGGCATTATGTTTTCTGTTCACCAGTATGTTCTTCTCCGCTCTTTTGTTTGTACTGTGATTCTGTCAAACCACATAGCATAAAATGTTCGATATAGCATTGTATAGTGGACTGCGTGGCTTCGTCTGCATACCGCCTATCTTTGTTCTTTTTATGCCATGTTCTGCCTTAGGAGACCCAAACAAAACATCAATGCCTTCAACACATTGATAGACGCCCTCAATATAAAAACAAATAACTAAGACAGTTGTTAAAATGACATTTGACTCGCAGTAAAAGGGGTGAAATATTATGTGTGAAATCAGACATTTATTCAGAATCAATTCTTACAATCTATGATAAAAAGTACATGAAAATAAAAATAATATGATCTATTTATAAAGTATTATGTTTATCAAAACCAGAAAATACACAGATAATAATGTCCTTTAAAAAAACAGGACTCTTTGCAGGTAAAGTCATCACATGATGCTTTCAGGGTCCTGGCTGTAGAGGTCGAGCTCCTGATACAGAATGAAGCTCTTCAGTCTGGGAGGGAAAACGTGTGAGTTCATGATTTCAGGCTTGTTGAGTCTCTTGAGAGTCAGACGCCTCCTGATCTCCAGTCTGCAGAGGTGCCTGAGGGAGCGAGGACTGCCTGGAGAGAGCGGTTCGGAGAATGATTCGAGAGAAGATCATGACAATTTAAAGGATTCATAAAACGGCCTTCTGTCTGATTACTGTTTTAAAAAGTGGTGAGAAAACTCACTGAGGATGTCGCATATTTCAGTCCACTCTGCCTGTTTCTCCAGCAGGACTCTGAGTTTGGAGCAAATGTGGACGTGGCTCACGTAGTCCAGCAGAGTCCGGACAACGATCCCGGACAGATGCATGACACAGCAGAGGCTCATGAACTCACAGAACTGAAGAGGGAGACATGAAGGAGGTTATTATTAATATTGTCCTTATATGTTTGTGTAGAGGAAACATAATTCAGAAGAAATAATTACTGACTGTGACTTATTGTATTGGTGTTTCTTTTATATCTCTAGTTTTTCTACATTCAGCTTTATCCACTATTCTCAATTTCTCCTACAGGTCCTGTATACTCTGTCCTCCTTTTTTTAGCACTTTGGGTTTGGCCAGAAACAGCTCAACATGTTGACTAAAGGAGCAGGGCCTGGGTGCAGGGAGTCCTCCTGAGACACATTTGTGAAGGAACCAGTCGAAGGACCATCGTCAAATTTGACACAAATGTCTACTTCGACTCAAGGGTGGCTGATTATATCAAAGATCAAGCTCAGTGTGATCACACCGTAGACTAAAATATTAAAGGATGAAGCCTGAGTGACGTCAGCCATCTGTTCCTGCAGGGGGCTCCGGAGGCTCATCTGCAGCATGCTGGAAATGCCGACATACCCTAACTTTCAGTCAACCTAACGACAGGCTGAGAGCTGGAGCTGAGACTGTAAACATGTTTATTAATGCTTTAAAAACAGCTTTTTTTTGCCAGTCCTGCGTATGTGACTTCCGGGGCTTCTGGAGCCAGCCTCAAGCGGACACTCTACTGCAGGATGCATTGGCTTCATTTTTCAGCACTGTTGCCGCTTGAATCACACAAGACTGGGGGGCAATGTGTCATAATCTATAGCTAACATTTAAGGTTCGAGTGGCTTTGATTTGCCAATCAGGAAGATCAGATCTTACAGAACATGCTACACAGCTCCTGGTACAGGTTCTTGTGATATCACACATTGACTATTGCAACTCCCTACTGGCAGGTCTTCATACATGCACTATCAAACCTCTGCAGATGATACAAAATGCAGCAGCACGGCTGGTCTTCAACCTCCCTAAAAAAGCATGTCACTCCGCTGTTCATCTCCTTACACTGGCTCCCAGTTACTGCTCAAATCTTTATGGACTCTATGGATCAGACCTGTTTCCAATCTGACTAACCTGCTGCTGATTTAAAAATGTTAATATTGTCATCCAACAGTCATATAGAAACTATATAAAAAAAACACACTTTGCACTCACTGGAATTTTCTGCTCCCCCTCATCCAAGGCATCGAAACCATCGTCATGGTGACAGTGAAAACAACTTTCAACCTTGTATCCGTTATTGAGCAGCAGCCTCATCATCACCTCGTCCTTCAGGCAGTACTGCAACGCTGTAGGAAACACCGTGTCGCTAACCACCGTGAAGTAACAGTTCACGTCTGCTTTGGCCGCCAGCAGCAGCTTCACAATCTCATACCGCCCCGACCTGACCGCCACAAGGAGGCAGCACAGCGGATCCAGGTCTGTCTTCGCCCCAGCTGCCAACAGGGTTTTGGTGCATTTAACATCCCCATTGGAGACGGCGAAGTACAAAGCGCTCCTCCTCATATCTCGGTAGTTTTCAGAGTTTCTGGAGCTCATTCGGTAGTTGACATCGTAGCCGCAGGCCAACAGGAGCTCCAAACATCGACTCTGACCACCCATTGCAGCAGAGTGGACCGGGCTCTGACCCGCCTCTTTGATGGCCTTCTTCGTCGTCAGAGGAATCAGCGTCTTCAGAGCACTGTGGTTAGAGAAAACAAAACAGTCAAATCAGTTAATGCAAGCAAAGAGTTTAAAACAATGAATCTAAATATCTGGTAACAGAGGCAGTTCATTTTAATGCCAAAAACCAGTCTGAATGGTAAGTCCACAAATCAGTGGATTTACCCTTAGGAATTGTGTCATTCTGTTCATTTTCTTGTGTGCTGTTTCCTTAAAATGGATGACTGGAAACATTGGTCGGGATACCCTGAGCTGATTCACAACCTGTCAATTGCCCATTTTGATCAAAATGATGTCGTAAAGAGAAGAAATAGCCTTAAAACAAAAGACACCCAAGGAATAAGAGGAGGAGTAACCCAGGCTTTCTAGTTTGTAGTTTTGATCGCTGCTGGCCATAAGCATTTACTTCTTCAAGGATTGTCTGTAACCAAAGACAAGACATGGTAAACAACCTTCAAATGTTTATCTGGTTGGAAATGGGAAAAAAATGGATGAATGTTTGCTTGTGTATTCTGATATTAACTTTGTTTGATAAGGGGAAAAGGAATTGGGTATAATCTGTGCACACATTTCCCATTTTACAAGAAGAGTAAAACAGGACCGGCTGCATGTTAGGTTGAAAAACCATGTAGAACTGTATAAAAGATACTGTAGACGTAGTCTCAGTGACATCACCCATTGGTGTCCAAAGAGCTAAGGCGGGCCTTAAGCCTCCTGACAAACAGACACAATATGTCCTCCTGTCATTCAACTCAGCGACAACCAAATCTATGTAAATGTAAGTAAAGCTCTTTGCCTTAATATTATCAAAATTGCTGAGTGATATAAAGGATCACCTCTGTGCAGTTTTTACTGATAAAGAGATATAGAGACCCAAAGCTGTTTATTGAACTAGTCTGTAAACATGTTGATTTTCTTGTTAAAACAGGCATTTTTTTGGGCGCCAATAGTTTGGTGGTTAGTGCGCCATTTACAAACTGGACTCAGGTCTGACCTGAGGCTCCTTTCCAGCATGTCATTTAAGATTAAGATTAAGATTAACTTTATTGTCCCAGTGGGAAATTTGCCTTGGACTTATCACTCTCTCTCCCCTTGATTTTTGACCCTATATCCACTGTCTGTTATCATTTTAAAAAAGACATAAAAACCCCTAAAATAAACCTTAAAAACTGCATTTTCAGAAGGGACCTAAAGGGGATTTGTTGGCTTTTGGCGATGACCTCAAGTGGACACTTGAGGAACTGCAGTTTTTCGCACTTCTGACATGGCTCAATTTATCAACAACAGACATTGCCGCTTGACAAAAAAAACATTTAAAATGGATACAGGAAATCACTCAGTACACCGTCTCCTTACTGTATGGCCTCTGAATATATCCTAAAGCATGGTACGACACGTATTTTCCTCAGATATGCAGATCAGTTGCACTTCCTGTTGTTAAAAATGCAGTGTGTTTTTACAACTCGTAGTCTGGCAGTGCTTTATAAAAGGAGCTCACTCATAGTGCCCGGCGTACGCTGCCTTGTGGATGGGCAGGTGTCCCGTGATGCTGGGCAGGTTGGGGTTTGCTCCGTTATCCAGAAGCAGCTGAATACAGTCGGTGTTTCCTGATCCAGCTGCATCCAGCAGGACGCTTTCACCATTACAGGCCTGAGAGTTCACCTTGCTACCTGAGGAAGAGAGAGAACAAAACATGAGGAGACTGAACCGTTGCAAACCTAATATTTAAACATTCAAAAAGGGAAGTTTAAAAAAAGAAAATAAGTTAATCCCTCAATCCACAGTTTTAGAACCTGCGGTTAAACTCAGACTGACCACAGTTCAGTAGAATCTCAGCGATGTGAAAGTGTCCTTGTTCTGCAGCCACAGCGAGCGGCGTCACTCCCGTCACATCCTTGTGGTTCACCCGCCCGCCGTTCCTGAGCAGCAGCATCAGGATTTCCTCATTGCCGACCTTGGCCACCTCATGAATCGCCGTCCACTTCTTCTGGCAAACCTGCTCCACCCAGGCGCCATGAGCGACCAGCATGTACGTCATCTTGTAAGAGCCGGCCCTCACCGCTGCAAGAAGGTGTCAAAGGTGAGTCTTAGTTGGAAAGTACAAAAAATCGGACAGGATGGGAGGCGATGATGGACAAACCAGAGTACAAACTGATGCTATGATGACAATGTTTGTGTTCATATCAATGCTGCGAGTAGTTCGAGATGCTCACAATATCAACACAAGAGTGGAGAAGAACATACTTAGCCAACAGAGAACATAATGAAATGTTAATGATGAATTCTCTTGACTATTTTCCTGCTGTTTTAACAAGGAAGTTTCCTAGGGGGCTATTTGGAAAAATTCTTGGTAAAGTCGGGGAGAAATATTTGGCCGTTTGCATTCACACATGCAGCTGACCCTAAAAAATTCAGGAATTTACAGGTATTTTGTGTAAGTGTGAAACACTAGGTTAGACTTGGGACTGACACTAGAAACACATTAGCTAAATGTTTTCCAAGGTCATAAATAAGGTGAGATGTAGGCTCATTTTCTATTACACTCCTGGAAATGCCCCCTAGTGGTCTTTAGAAGGAATGCAGTTTCAGACACGTCCAGATTGATTGTTCCAAATCATCCATTCCTCATTGGACAATCAGTCTTGTTAAAAACTACCTCAGGCTCTACAATGTTACCGAGCAGCAGCGGCGTCTCATTCTTGCTGTTGGTGTTGTGAGGTGAGGCTCCGTGCACCAGCAGGCTCTTCACGTGTTGCACAAGCCCGGCTTTAACCGCCAGCGTCAGCGGCGTCTCTCCTCCAACGGCCGTCTTCTCCTCCAGACTCAGCCCCTGAGATGCCACTGACACAAACACAACACAGAGCGCCAGCTGTGCTAACTTGGCAGCTAAACAGGTTTACCGTGCACACCTCCCTGTCTGCCGACCTAGGGGTTGAATGACTGCAGAGTGACAGCAGACGTTATTTTAGACAGAGAGGATTGTTGGCATCAGCTGGGAAGCAGCAGCATTTCTAACTGAAGTAATCTGTGGATTATTTTAGACAGCCATTGTTTTGATGATGTCACCGGAGTCCAACCAACTCCCCTCCATTCAACCTGACACTTTACCCTGTTATTCACATCCTTTATTCATGTCACCTCCTCAGTTTTAGATTGGAGGATATATTTCCTGAATTCTTTTGCTATGGTACCTAGCATCTGATTAGTTTAGCTGCAGATTTTGACAGCAAAGTAGTAACAGGCAGGGGGGGTCATTAAACCATAGACTGTAAATATAGTGGACCAACCCTGAGTGACGTCATCCATCTGTTACTGAAGGCGGTTTAGAGAATTCTCTTGATGGTGGTCTCCATGCTGGGAATGCTATCTCACCCTAACTTTAAGTCAACTGAACAACAGGCAAAGAGCTGGAGTCTTAAGCCGGTCGGCTACCTGTCTTATTGTGAATAAAGCTTCTCCTTCATAAAATCAATACAGATGATTTATCAACAAATGCCGTCCCTGTACACCGTCGCACATGGACGTAAAAGTACTGTTGCGTGTGGTAATAATTTGCATAATTGATAAGAAAAAAATCCTGCACACTACTCTCCCTCGATATCACCAGTTTGTTTGAAAAAACTCTCAGTGTTTCGGTCCATCTGGAACTTTTGCCAAGCGTGTTCACAGTTCAGGTTTGTTTAGAGCACACTTGACAAATAATAAAAAAAGAGGGAACAAAACATTTTTATTTTATTCGAATAAATTGGTGATGCCAAGCGAGTGTGCAGGATTAAGTTGGATGTGTCTGAACACCTCCTTTAAAACAATAATTTGCATAATGAATCCCTAATATTGCACATGATAATAAACATAATATAACCCAAATCTTATTGAGGTTTTTATTTTCTACATTGCACATTACATAAATTTTTCTCCAAATTTGTAACTTTTGCACTTAATTAAGTCAATATTTTTGCACTTTTGAAAGACCAAATACAAACAAAGGGACATGCTTTAGTACCAAATAGTCCGTCTTACATCTCAGGACAGTCTCCAGAACCTCCAGGACGGGCTGAGACGCTGCTCGATGGAGGGGAAGCCAGCCATCACTGTCCGGCTCTACGAAGGCGAAGGTTTGTTTCAGCATCTGTCTGAGCACTATGACCTCACCTGGTCAGCAGAGTGACAAGAAAACAGCCAACAAATTAAAGGAGGAAGTACAGAAAGTTGTTGAGAAACGTCATGAGAAATATCCAGGACTCCCTGTAGCAGAAAAATGATCTTTTCAGATTTTCTTTTCCTGCAAATACATCAATTTTTTTTCTACTTTCCTTTCTCGCTCACTTCCTCTCCCCCAGCTCTGACAGTGTTTATCTGTCTCCCTCTCTGTGTTTGTTTGTCTGGCAGTCCTCACCTGCAGCTGCTGGCCGTGTGATTCACACAGGAGAGCCAATAGACCAAACATAAAAGACAATGTAATTATGGAGGCATTTCCAGCGTGATGTCCAGCCTACCTTGCTCGATGGCAGCCAGGACTCTCAGGTTTTCCTCTGTTGCTGCTTCTAAACTAACGGAGAGAAGCACAGGGCAGTCGCCTCGGTTTGGTTTCAGCATCTTACCTTTGTTTTTTGTTTTTTTAGTGAGTGAAGTATTTGGATGTGGAAGCAATACCTTGCAGCAGATTTCAGGAAGGCCTCTTGGCAGGAGGCTTGAATACTGAGCTGGATGATGTAGTCGTTGAGCTCATCTTCACCATACTCTTCATACGGGTTCATCACTCTGCGGGGAGGAGACACATGACAGTTGATGGACTGAATTTCAAGGACAGAAATGTCACCAGGGCCCCATCAGATTTGAATTTTAAAGCACTTTTACCCGTACTTAAAATTCATGCTACAGACTGATCGAGAACAACCGTCTCCAGCAAACTAGTTTTTCAAAAGTAATCAAACAGGATTCAAACTATCGGATGGGATCAAATCATGAAATCAGTTTGTATCAAGGAAAAAGAGGATTGTATGTAAATGTGATAAGATCATTCAAACCTGATGTTTTATCTTGATAAAACCTCTAGCTTGTGTTGTTAGGATTAGTACAGACGTGTATTGTAATCAGTGGTTTAAACTTGCATTCTTACTAATTACCTGCAGAGGGCGATTTGTTTGACATCCAAGTGGAAATGAATCTACATCTACTGATTGTGGCTGTAAGTATTTTCACAGTAAGTTTATGGTTTTAATCAGGTCGTCTTCAATTCAACAAGTTGTTCATTTTGTAAATTACGATCATGGTCCACTGTTCAATCAAATAGATAACAAGGCATTGCTGCATTGTGATTGACAGCATGTCGTCATGGCAACCTGAAAAATATCTACTTCAGCTTTCTGTAGGACACAAAGACACTCTTAGAAGTCATCTGTTCACTATCTCAGTGTGCACATTGTCCTTAAAGCCTGTTATTCACCAGCGAATAATATCGATTGCAGATACCTGGCACGCTTCTTTTTTTTTTTACCAAGAGTTATGAGTTATTGCCATGAAAACCAAGTTTTCCAATGAAAGTCAACAAAGAAAAATGAAGAGGAATTATCAGTCTATATGAGAGAAAAAAGAAACAGGAAAAAAGAGGATGAAGAGTAAGCACTGGGACACTGGCAGACAAAATAGTGTTGAACGCTGGTTGGAGGGCCCCCAATTCATTTTCGCACCCCAACAGACTCTAGAATTGCCACTGCTTTCTTTCAATTATGGTCACACCTTCCTCCAAAAATTACAAAAAAATACCACAAACAGTTCAGCAACAATGTTTGACACATTTTGTCTTTTCTTTAAATTAAGCTTTCATTCAAAGAAGTTTCCTATTGCACCTCAAATTAGATGCATCTTTCTAGGAAATAGAAATAAGGCAGAGATAAAGTTACCTCTCTTTGTTTATTTAAGAACTCAAATCCATGACAAAAAACATAACGTGCTCCAGTTTTGGATTAACGAACAGGTAAGATTGCAGTGCTACACGTCATCATGTTTTAGTGTCCTCCTTCTTTGCAGACAGAGACACAGAAATGCAAGATTACTGCCAACAAATTCACTTCAACTCAGCACCTCCCAGCAACAACAAAAAAATAAAAATTCAAACTATGACAGAAACATGGACAAAAATCATATATCTGCACAACTTTAAAGTTCAAAAATGTCTCACCTGTGAGGTGTATTAGTGGCTCAAACTGAATGCTCCCTCTCCTCTAACAGCTTCGAGTGTTTTTATATTTGGGTGTGACCTGATTTCAGATTCCTCTCTGCCCTGCCTGCACACACACACACACACACACACACACACACACACACACACACACACACACACACACACACACACACACACACACACACACACACACACACACACACACACACACAGTCAGAGATGGGCGTGTGTCCGACACCTGCCTGCTGGTCTTATATATAGAGCGTTACATGTGCCATTGTGAGAGCTAAGCCAGGTCTTTGCCGCGTTTGGCGGGAATCCCACATTCGAGATCCGACAATCCTGTGGGGCTTAGAGGTCGTGGACTTGTGCAGACAACCAGTTGAGCGTCTATTGTGTAGTGGAAAGCAAAATCAACAGGGTCTATTTTTTTCCTCCACTGGTTTGCCTCAGAAATATGAGATGGAGGATGTCTTGTAAACTGCTAAAAGAGATGCAGGAAAAATGAAGCAACTCCGCACTTTGAATCCTCTGTGATGAAGGAAGAGTTTGTAATTGCACTAACCACTAGACTACCGGCGTCCCTTTATATGATGTCTCGTCAAAAACAGCCAAACACATCATCCTGTTCAAAGTCAGGGTTGTCAACAGAGTTAAGTTGCATTAGAAACTATTTATAAATTAATCATTCATGGATTTCATACCCGGATGCAATGTAGTGAAGCGCAGTTATGCTGACAGTCCCGTTGTAAAGACTTTAATCTGATGTTTAGACAAAGAGCACATTTCTCTTTCTTGTTTGTTTAAAAAGTAATGGTTCTAAAAAACAATGCTTGCAATCTGCGTTTTGTTTCAGGAAAACGTTTCTTTGATTTTTGGTATTGTCTAAGCCTTTATTTAAATACTGACATTTCACTGAAAATTCTCTCTCAAATTTAATATTTTAAAATTTGATAAGCTTCACAAGTAGTGATGTAGTACTCAAAATCGGTCTTGGTTTCGAGCCCACTTTCCGAAGGTCTCGGTTGCTGAATTGAAAGCATTTTTACTCTGTCTTATCTCGGTCTCAGACTCCACATTTTAAATCAAGACCACCATTGACAGGGTTCTTATGTCATTACTGTGATTAGACAGAAAACCCCTCTTTCTAAAGCAACAAATAACTTCAGTTCATTTGTATTTTGGTTTGCCCCTTCAGTTACGGCTGCAACCTTCCCAATGTTACGGTCTAAATTAGTGACGCGCCCCCTAAACACAAGATAATTATTTTTCTGTGATATTTATGGTCCAGGTCTTGGTCTTGTCTCGGTCTCTGGTAAGCAGAGGTGCTGCTTGTCACCATCAAGGCCGTCAACTGCTTAGGGCACCAGGCCACTTTGGGGTACCCCAAGGCCTGACAAACTTTAAACAACAGCAGTAGCTCAGAATTGCGCAAATTTTGCAATGGCAGTAGGAAACCTCCCTAGAGGGGCCCAATCTGACCGCACTCACTCTCATTGCCCTACTTAGCATGTCATGTATTACTGTATTAGAAACTTACTGGAAGAGGAAGAGCATCTTGACACTTTAGATATAATAGTGGTTGGAGGGGCCCTTAATCATTTTTTTGCCTAGGGCCCCAGCAGACTATAGAACCCCCACTGGGGGTTTGTCTTGGTCTCAGTTAGTGTGGTCTTGACTACAACACCACTCATAAGCCACCGGACAACATTTAAGAGAAAGTCAATCAATCAATCAATCAATCAATCAATCAATTTTTTTTTGTATAGAGTCAACTCATAACAAGTGTTATCTCGAGACACTTTAAAAGACCTTACTCATTGCTATATTACAAAGACCCGGCCTAGCCATCATGAGCACTTTAGCAAAGCAGCAAAAGTTACAGTGGTAAGAAAAAACTGCCTTATTAAATGGCAGAAATCTTTGGCCGGATCCCCGGCTCATGACGAAACAGCCTTCACAGGCCTATTGAAGAGCTCTTAATTGTTGGTATATAAAAGAAGCTAAAATACTGAAAATGTAGGTGTACTAAGGTATCTCAAGTTAACCTACAGTCCTTGTGTGAATATATTTCTTTTCACATGTGGTCCTATTGCATCATATCTAAATCATGTTGTATGGTGTATCATCTTATTTTGTAATATTCGGGCCGTCATATTACATCACATTCTTCTCCAGAAGGTCCTGATCTTTGTTGCTGCTCCAGTCCCAGTGAGGGGTTTAAGTGTCTCAGTGTGAATCTGTGTTAACAGTGTTAACAGCACGGGCATACCTCCTCATGATAAACAAGTACCTGTGTGTGTGACAGGTTTACACCGGGGGAAGGGGGCCCACAGTCCCCCGCCCGCTCTGCTGCAGGACGAGTGATCTCTGGGGATCCAGCAGATGTCCAGCAGCAGATTAGTGGAGCTTTACAGGGACCACTGTGTCACCTTCTCTGGCTCCTAGACATGGAAATAGAAGCATACAGCTCACACTAAAGCTCTATATATCGACAGTGTGTACAGTATGTTCATGGTATATGCTTCAAAACTACTCAACCATATCAGATTTCATCCCTGCACTGATACAAGCAGCTTTAACCTGTCCAAACTTAAGCAGTGCTTCTGTTAGGAGATGTTTGAGGTAATGGACACTAAACTGCAAACTCAGCACAAACCTCTTTAACGTCCAAGAATGTCTGCTTATAATACCAATTCAAACCTTTAACCCTTCTCATTATGTGTAATTAAACTGTTTCATATTTAGGTTATACTTTCTAATTCTAGTAATAGGCTTATAATGAAAGTATGTTCCTGCAACATATAGCTTACGGGAAAATTAAGTAGGTAAATATATTTGCTGAAGCATCTTCCTCGGAGGACTTTTTTTTCCTCTTGGTTTAAATATGGAAAGCTGACCATATTTTACAGGGCCGTTGTTTTTATAGCCTCTATTAGGCCTAAATGTGAATTTACATTACAATTTAGCCAATCATTTGACTATTTTTATGGGTAACAGCTTAAAATTCTGGTAAAAAAAAAAAAGTTAAGTTCTCTCTTATGTCATTATGAGAGATTCAAAGAAAAACAACAAAATGTTAAGGTTCAGATGTAAAAACTAAGGTTTTTGGCAATAAACTTCATGTCAAAGTAGAAATTTACACTATAGGCTACAAAAATACAGTGTAATAGTGTAAATCAAAAACATATATGTAGCCTATATACTAACATATAAGTACAAAAAGGTACATTTATGATAAAAAATAAAAATAAAAACAGACAGAAAACAAAAGCAAAGAAGCCAGGGGACAACATAATAAAACAGGTACATGTAGTTTAGCTCACATTAAGATCACAGTTTGAATATTAACCTTAAATTGGGAGCTCAAATTCACAGTTTTACTGGCATTTTTGTGTTTGGATGAAGTAGCCTGTAATTGTTTTAAGGTATAACTTGGGTTACTTTGGTAAATTTACGTTTATGAATTTAAAACTTTGCTAGAACAATAATAGTCTATGTAGGCTATAATAAGATATTGATATATTTGTGCCACACTGAAGTCCAAGTGGCCAATAAATAAATACATAAATAAATAAATGTAAATTGAATTAAAAGTAGTAAATAAATAAATACATTCAGAATTAATAAAAAGTAGCAAATAAATAAATAAATACAGAAGAGAACCGGAAAGAACGGAGTAGTGTTTGTGGTTGCTATAACAACCTGTACACTCTGGCGTTGCCTAGGAACCAAGCTAACGTTATAGGGAAAACGGCGTTAGCTGTGCTTTTCTAACTGAAACTCTCGTTAAATAAAGTTAATAAAGGAAACAAACACGGACTAAAACGAGATGTTCTGACTAGAAGAGGTGGAAACGGTTCTTTCCGCCTCACAGCTGTTCGTACGGACATCTTCCGGTGGATTTACAGCACAGTTGACTTACCGTCAGGAAAGCTAACAGGTTAGCCGGTCAGTTAGAGCTGACATGTCGGAGCAAAGAGAAAACACAGAGCAGGAGCTGAAAGAAGAAGAGGATGAAAACACGCTTACAAACGCACAACCAGGTGGGAGTACACCTGAGCAGCCTCCAGAGGGAGACAGAGAGCCTGGGCATGAAGGAGAGGAGGTGAACGCTGACAGACAGCCCACAGGTGAGTCCAGTTTGACCTCAGGTGAATCCAGTTATACCTCAGGTGAATCCAGTTTGACCTCAGGTGAATCCAGTTTGACCTCAGGTGAATCCAGTTTAACCTCAGGTGAGTCCAGTTTGACCTCAGGTGAGTCCAGTTTAACCTCAGGTGTGTCCAGTTATACCTCAGGTGAGTCCAGTTATCCCTCAGGTGTGTCCAGTTATACCTCAGGTGAGTCCAGTTTGACCTCAGGTGAGTCCAGTTATCCCTCAGGTGTGTCCAGTTATCCCTCAGGTGAGTCCAGTTATCCCTCAGGTGTGTCCAGTTATACCTCAGGTGAGTCCAGTTTGACCTCAGGTGAGTCCAGTTATCCCTCAGGTGTGTCCAGTTATACCTCAGGTGAGTCCAGTTATCCCTCAGGTGAGTCCAGTTATCCCTCAGGTGTGTCCAGTTATACCTCAGGTGAGTCCAGTTATACCTCAGGTGAATCCAGTTATACCTCAGGTGAGTCCAGTTTAACCTCAGGTGAATCCAGTTTAACCTCAGGTGAGTCCAGTTTGACCTCAGGTGTGTCCAGTTATACCTCAGGTTAGTCCAGTGTAACCTCAGGTGAGTCCAGTTTAACCTCAGGTGTGTCCAGTTATACCTCAGGTTAGTCCAGTTTAACCTCAGGTGAGTCCAGTTTGACCACAGGTGAGTCCAGTTTGACCTCAGGTGAGTCCAGTTATACCTCAGGTGTGTCCAGTTTAACCACAGGTGTGTCCAGGTTAGCCGGTCAGTTAGAGCTGACATGTCGGAGCAAAGAGAAAACACAGAGCAGGAGCTGAAAGAAGAAGAGGATGAAAACACGCTTACAAACGCACAACCAGGTGGGAGTACACCTGAGCAGCCTCCAGAGGGAGACAGAGAGCCGGGGCATGAAGGAGAGGAGGTGAACGCTGACAGACAGCCCACAGGTGAGTCCAGTTTGAGCTCAGGTGAATCCAGTTATACCTCAGGTGAATCCAGTTTGACCTCAGGTGAATCCAGTTTGACCTCAGGTGAGTCCAGTTTAACCTCAGGTGTGTCCAGTTATACCTCAGGTGAGTCCAGTTTGACCTCAGGTGAGTCCAGTTTAACCTCAGGTGAGTCCAGTTTGACCTCAGGTGAGTCCAGTTATCCCTCAGGTGTGTCCAGTTATACCTCAGGTGAGTCCAGTTTGACCTCAGGTGAGTCCAGTTATCCCTCAGGTGTGTCCAGTTATCCCTCAGGTGAGTCCAGTTATACCTCAGGTGAGTCCAGTTTGACCTCAGGTGAGTCCAGTTATCCCTCAGGTGTGTCCAGTTATACCTCAGGTGAGTCCAGTTATACCTCAGGTGAGTCCAGTGTAACCTCAGGTGAGTCCAGTTTAACCTCAGGTGTGTCCAGTTATACCTCAGGTTAGTCCAGTTTAACCTCAGGTGAGTCCAGTTTGACCACAGGTGAGTCCAGTTTGACCTCAGGTGAGTCCAGTTATACCTCAGGTGTGTCCAGTTTAACCACAGGTGTGTCCAGTTTAACCACAGGTGTGTCCAGTTTAACCACAGGTGTGTCCAGACTGATATTAAAATGAAGATTTTTGTAGCACTGTTTTTTTGGAGCACTCATTTAAATTGGTACAAGTGTACTTACTCAATAATTAATATTTGAATGCTCCAATTGCTCAGTTCAGTGTTAATTTTGCAAATATACCTCACCAATTATATACTGACATTTAAAAAAACGAAAACAGGGAGTCAATTAAACACACTACAAATATCATTTTTAAGACTTATTAATTAGCAATTAATGCTTCAATGCAGACATGACAACTGTTTTATCAATGTCTAACTCAAAATCTGGAGTTGACTACCCTACCGTGTTTCATGTTTGGAGATTTCCCCCCTGTGGCTTCCAGTGTTTGTCCTTGTGTTGGATCTTTAGTTGGACATTTTATTACCAGAAATGATAATAAGTCAGCTCTCATTTTTGCCTTTTAAAAAAAAAAAAATAATAATTCTTTACCTGCATATGGGTCGTTACGTTTGATTATTCAACATTGTGTCATAAGTGATGTCCACATATTCATATGTGTCTCCTCGGTCTGAACTGACAGATGCAGCTGTGCTGGAAGCTGCAGAAGATGCTGAACATCAGGCTGACCTGCATGAAGACACTGAGCAGCTTAGGGAGCCGCAGAAAGCAGAGACTGTTGGGCTGTCAGGAGAAACTGGTATAAAAATAAAGTTTAAGTATAGCTCTAATTAAACCTTGAGTTTCAAGTTCAGGAACCTTTGTTGAGAAGTGGAGAGATTATGATTATGTTTGGGGTGTTGGTTAAATAAGGAATCCATTCTTTCTTTCATTCTTTTGAAATCCATCAAATGGTTTTAATATTTCAGTCCACCCGGCAGAAAGACACCGCAATCCCATGGATGCTGTGCACTGGATAGAAATGACAATATTATATCCTGTATTGATTATCAGATGCATTTGTGTTGCAATCAATATGTTTACAATGTGAAAATCTTCCCTTGCTGGGCCCTACAGGTGTGCAGGAAGAGGCTGAAACTCAGGCTGATCTGCCGGATGATGCTGAGCAGCTTAGAGAGCGTCCGAGAAAAGAAAATGTTGGAAACTCTACAGCTACAGGTGAGATTAATGTATAGAAAAGACAGTGTGTATTTATCCTCATTCAGCTGCAGGTGAGATTAATGTGTAGAGCACAGTATATCCTTAATGTCTTTTCAAGCTTGTCCACTGGCCCGTCCACAGAAATGGCTGGGTCCCCTTAAAGGCCCAGTGAATAGGCCCTCCCAGGATATTATTTAAATCAACACATGCAATTCTAATCAGTAGTATTAGCACTAGCCTTCTGGCTAACATTAGCTCCCTCTGGTCCAGCTTATGTCCGTAACATTACAACTAAACATGGTCTGTATCATGTTTGAGTTGAAACAGGCAACAATTTAATGAAGCAACAATAAATAAAATGTGTGTCTGTTGCTTTAAGAGGTAATGGTATTTAGGTAAACATTGTTACTTAATTGAAGGCTTGACCATGTTTTTTTTTTTGCTAACCTCCACATGTGACTTAGCCCCAGAAAGCTTTCCCCTTAGTCCCCTTACTTGCTACCACTCTCCAGTATGATTGGTTCCTCATGGAACTTAGACAAATATGCATCAAAACCATATAAATATGAGTAAAAAAAACAGATTCAACTGAGTTCAGTCATGTTTATTAGCATAATGGTAAATAGGAAGGCTATGCAGATCAATAACAAACAGAATTCAGATCACGTTCTTGTATTGTTGAACTGGCTAAAGCCAATGATATGATGGTGAAGAGCATAACGAGTAGGCAGTGAAGTACTTGTGACATGTCGTGCTGTTTCTAGGTTACCTGCTACAGGAATAATACAACACCAGGATTGATATCTGATTAAAGTTTCATGAGTAGCAACAAAGACAACAGTCACAAAGATATGACGCTAACCAGAGCCAATCATTCTGAGGCAATGGACAGACACTGTTGGACAGAAGACTCAGACTGTTTTGAGAATTAAACTTAAAGACAAATGTAAACAAAAGACATACAGTGCAGACGATACAATCCATCACGATGACATTACCAAAGCTAAACATTCGTTTTGCTGTTGTTTTAGGAAATATATAAAGACAGTCATAATAAAATCTCACATAATAAAATCACGATTTAAGAAATCAACAAACACATCTCTGAATGTGTTTCTGTCCGGCTGCAGTAAAGGTGGTGCTGGTGCCAGGGGGTCATGTGATGACTGTGGCGTTCGCCATCGGGCTCAGCATCGAGGAGCTGAAGCGTCATCTTGCCTCAGAGCTCAGAGTTCCTGCTGAGGTGCTGCACATTTCTCTGGATGGTACGTTGACTTCTCTAGCCTGAAAGGTTTTCTTTTTTCATGACAGATGGAAGTTGTGAGTGGTGGTGTAAGGTTTGTGTGAACACTAAGACGGGGGGGGCAGGTGTAATTAGGGTCCACTTCCCTAAAATTTTAAGGTATCATTAAAAATGTGATTGCACATATTTGTGCTTCTTCAGCATACTGCCATAACCTACTTGTTACAGTTTGTCAAAAATTAAGTCCTCTACTACTTTCAAACTGTCATTAGCCACTTCAGGAGTTTCTCTCTTCAGCTTCCTACTATTATGTTTCTGCATGTAGTCAGAGTGAGCTGATGTGAGAGCACAGCAGGATATAATCAGGAGAATATAAGCAAGTGGGAGGGGGTGGTGACGTTGGATTCCCTGCGATAGACTGTCTGTAATTAAACTGATGCATTATGTTTAGCCTCGTATAGTCGGCTCTGTTGCTTTGTGCACCACTTCTGTGTCTTTTTATGTTCTTTTTACGTCATGTATTGCCTTAGAAGACCCCCCCTAACAAAAGGGTACCAAAAATGTAGGATGGTACAAATCCCTTATGTTGCTTCCATTCCCAACTTTTGACAGTGGAGATGCCAATAAATGGGTACCGTACTGAACTGAATCGCTTGGTGGTTTCAGCAGTGTTTCTGGAGGGAGTGTTGGACTTTGACTCAGCATATTGTGGTCATGAGGAATCTCGGTTTCAACATTATAATTTTAAATATCTGTTACCTTTAATATACATTTATTATAAATATATACTGTAGAATTTCCCAGACATGCGTCTTAGGGGCGTCATTACACATAATGAAGTGAATCCAAAGATTTAACTCTTGAATGTGAGACTTCTATTTTCAGCGTCTGCCTGTTCTCTTTCAGGCAGAGAGGTGGAGGAGCAGCAGAGCCTGATGGAGCTTGGTGTCCGGCCTCACGGCTCCACCAGGATGGAGATGAGCTCAGCGGATCCAAACACACACCCACTCCGCCCCGTTCGACCGCCGGAGCATGACAACATGCAGGATGTCATCACGGTCCGAGTACAAACAGGTGCAAACGCCCTGGACCTCGGGGAAGTACTTTTACATCTCTTTCTAGCTGCAGGATGCGAATCAACCATGAATAAAACTGCCTGGTAGTTGCGCAGCAGGACACCTGAAACATCCAACCGTGTATTATTCATACTCTTTTCAGGCTCACATGGGGCTGGAGCAGATCCCAGCTGCCTTTTCTTTATCAATAACTTGACAGACTGGTGTTTAGTGATTTATTAAATCTCATCACCTTCATTTAGGATCTTTGGACATCACTGAAACAGCATTTACAGTCTGCTGAATGATGTTTTCAGTCCCCGTAAAAGGACTCTGTCACTTCCAGGTCAGAGCGCATTTGAGGAGGTGGTGGTGGAGATCGAGCGTCCCCGTCAGCAGAAGGCCTTCCTGGGTGGATACAAACACCGGATGACGGGGGCGGAGTACCACCACGCTGCCGTCCAGACACTGCCCAAGAGGCGGCCTGACAGAGGAGTGCTCGTCTTCAGCCGTGACACACAGGTACAGAGCAGAGGTTCAACACTGAAATATCACATGAGAATATCAGCGTCTGTCTCTGTACCACAGAATCGAAAAAAAAGTTTAGGGAAACACATGGAGGCACACAGACACACAGCAGGATCTGTGTGTGTGTGTGTGTGTGGTGCATTTAAAGGTCATTCATTACTGCAGACCAGCGTTTTTACTCAGCCGTCAGACAGAACATGACTCCATGTGCAAATTAAACTATGTAATTACAGCGAGAAAAGATGCAAATGAGTCTCGTCGAACCAGACGACAGAAGACAAACGGTCACAGTCACACCTCACCGCTGAGCGTCAGGGTTAATTACTTTATTTCTGACATTGTTGTGCAATTATTTTAACAAATAAGGAAGGACAATTTACAACATTTAAAAAAAAATGTGCACACAATTATAGTTTAGAAATGACTTAAAAATGTTTCAGACATCTTTTAAAGGTCAGCAATAATGCAGAGCGCTCCACCTGCTGTGATTCAGAAAGAAATGACAAGGCCGGCTTGTTTGGTAGAGCTTACTGTGTTGCAGGGATGTTGTCAGTCAGTGTGTGTGTGTGTGTGTGTGTGTGTGTGTGTGTGTGTGTGTGTTACCTCATCAGATAGGGGGAGTGTGTAAGTATTAATTGTGTACGATTCATCTTTTGCAAAGAGCTGCTCTCTACCTTTGGATCACACCTCACACACACACACACACACACACACACATGCTCACACAATGATATAATGGTGGTTGGCTTGTTTTGAACTTACATATGGGCAGACAGTCAGTGCTGCACTAATGAGACGTGTGTGTGTGTGTGTGTGTGTGTGTGTGTGTGTGTGTGTGTGTGTGTGTGTGTGTGTGTGTGTGTGTGTGTGTGTGTGTGTATATGTGTATGTATGTTGTCACAGTGATGAGCTGACCTGTGGCCCCTCACTAAAGTTTTTTACACATCACAGCACAGCAGCCTGTTGGCCTCATGATCCATGACGTCTTTCTTTTATTCCGAGCTGGGTTTTCCTTTTATCACACATCAATATACCTTCTATCGTTTTCCTCCCATTTCGTTTTAAATGTTTCATTTACCAGGAACCAGGTTAGGTTGTTTAAGTCACGTTTTCAAAATGAACAAGAACAGCTCAAATGACACTAAAATGTGTAATAGTGGTCATGGTTGCTTGAACTCTCTATTCAGTAAGCTGTCAAGACAAGGTGACCCTTGACCCTGGCTTGAACTTTAAAAGTTTTTTCTTTTAATTTGTACCTTACTATCTCTCAACAAACAAAACTCAGGCTACAGGATCGGGTCTTAAACACATAACATTTAATTCCTGGTGGAAGCACACTGTGCTGCACATGGGTTGAGCAACCACAGATCTGACAGGCACAAAGACTCTGAGGGTAAGGTTAAGATACTACATTAGATACTATGAAGCTAAATTAAAACAAACACACGCATTTCACAGAAAACATGCACCTGTGCTGTCTGGATTAATCCCTATCTCTCAGTGGATCAAAAGATTTTTCGGACGATATTGATTTTATGTTATTTTACTGACTGATCCTACTAAGGGTAATAGCGGTATGCGAGTCTTGCAATCTTACCTTTTTAAAGTTGAAAAGCAATATCTCTCACTTAGAAGCCCAAGTCAAACAGAGAGACAAACTTGTCTGGGATTGTTAGTGACACAGCCTGTGAGCTTTGAGTTTCCTTTAATGAAACGTGTCATGTTCATGTCCGTCATAAAGCAGTCGGTCAGTCAGTCAGGGGTCACTCTCTGTGGGGAAACCAATGTCACCGCTCACAGAGCCACCTTTTGTTTGTCACTCATTTCTATGGTCTCTGCACTGAAGCGTATGATACAGCTGCACTTATATAACGAGTGCACCTGCTACATGCACGTGAAGGCGAGTACCATCTTGTTGCACACGCAGAAAATGTTTCAGACATCTTTTAAAGGTCAGCAATAATTAAAGGGCTCTCTGACTTTAAACAGCTTTCCTTCTTTAACATTTATTTTACCACTATCATCAATCTGTGTCTGGAGCCTGGAAAATGTTAAATGTTACTGCCCACCTCATCCCGCCTGCTCTGAACCTTAATATTCAGCCTCGAGCCTGTGACCTCGGCTTCAGCCCGGAGGTGTTCACAGCCGCCCTGCTTCTCTGCATCATACAGCTCATCCATATCGGCACTGAGGCTGTCTGCAGGGGAAAACTGAGTAATGTTTTTAGCACATAAATTTGTCATTGGCTGCAAGGATCATTTGCATGTGAAATTTGATACAGCGCCCGGGGTCAATTTATTCTCTGCAGAAGGCATCAACCAGTGAAACTTAAGTTGAATGTATTATAATGTGCCTTTCTGTGTGTTTGTCCTCCAATCAGACAGCAGAGATGAAGTCTCAGGTCCAGCAGTGTGCAGTCGATGTCTCCACCCAGATGTCCGGGATCGGCTGCTACGTCTCCTGTATGAGCGACAAGCTGGTTGCCCCGGGCAACTACATCACCGCTGACGAGTATCACGACAGGAGGCTGAAAGCTGTAGGTGAACAGCGAGTGTGTTGTTTGATTATATTGCCTGATTTATGTGATGCAAAAAAATAAATGAGAGCCTCGTTCAAAGTTGAACACAAGTAGAAGATTTGTGCGGATAGTGGCACTGAAGGAAAGGTCAGGGGGTCAACTGCTCATTTTGAGGTGCAGAGTTAAGGTTCATTAGTTAGTTAGTCAGCAACAGTTGGTGTGTCTCGAAGTTTCTATGCACTTTTCAACATTTGAATCAAATTCTTCCAAATGTAATGCCCCCCCCCCCCCAGGTGATCCGTCTGCAGTCGTTTGCTCGGCGCTGGCTGGCCCAGCAGGAGGTGAGACGGCTGAAGAGTGAACGGAAACGGCGGCTGGCCTGGCTGGAGCTGCAGGAGAGGAGGAGGACGGATGAGAAGGAGGAACAGTTGAGAGACCGCCGCCACCGCTGGATGAACCCGCAAAGGAGGGAGGACTTCAACCTGCTGTTTCACGCTCTAGAGAGTAAGCTGTGCATGAGGAGGTCTGACTCGGAAGCAAATCTGTGTGTTGAAGCTGGAGAGTCAAATGTTGTGTGTATGTGTGTTTCAGAGTGGCGGTGTGAGGAGGAGCAGCAGATTAACGCCACCCTGAGAGGAGCTGAGAGGAAGGCCGCTCTCTACTCGCTGCTGGAGCAGGAGATTCAGCTCATCGGCGCCATTGGACGCCATCGCATCGCCGCACAGAACAGCAACTACGACAAAACAGTCAAGAGCTTCCTGGACAAGGTGAGAAGTCACTGATCTGATTCCAGGTGTCCAAACCCACTCCTGAGAAGTCGTATGTTGGATGTACAACATTGCAGATAAAAGGCTACACAAAAAAGACACTGCATAAGAGTTGATGTGTGGATTTTTGAGGTCTCAGTCTTGATATTTGGAGGTCACCACAAACATTTTTAGAGCCAGAATTGAGCTTTTTGACAACCTCTGAACCTCTATCCCGGTTGACATATTGACTTAATAGTATTTTGTCATTCACAAGGTAACCACACCCTAAAGCATACTCTGCTTTATCATACATTTTGCTCTAAACAAGACTGTAGTTTTCTAAATTAACACTGCATCCACTTCTTATATTCAGTCTAATGATTCAACTTTATTTCAGTAAATTCTTCATCAAAGACAGAGTCAGGGTGAGTTTGCGTAGTCAAAGCTTAGTTGATGTGTGGATTTTTGAGGCCTCAGTCTTGATATTTGGAGGTCACCACAAACATTTTTTGGAGCCAGAATTGAGCTTTTTGACAACCTCTGAACCTCTATCCCGGTTGACATATTGACTTAATAGTATTTTGTCATTCACAAGGTAACCACACCCTAAAGCATACTCTGCTTTATCATACATTTTGCTCTAAACAAGACTGTAGTTTTCTAAATTAACACTGCATCCACTTCTTATATTCAGTCTAATGATTCAACTTTATTTCAGTAACGTAGCATCAATAGTTGATATAGATTTGTAGCATGTGTAGCATTCATAAAAGGAGGAGGAGGAGAGGAGTGTTACTAGCTGTACTATGAGAGGAACTCAAGGGGAAGTAGGACGCTTGGTAGAAGTTATGGAAGAAGTTGTAGTTTTAACGGGTGTAGTAGGACTTGAGCTTGTGCTTCATGTTGAAGTTGCATGAGTGGTAGTAGGAGATGAAGAAAAAGAAAGAGCAGCAGTAGTCAAAGTTGTACTTGTAATGCCAGCTGAAGGACTTCATTATGCGTAGTAGTAATGGTCTTAGGATTGTTGACAATAACTGTTATTTTCACAAGCCGTTATAGTATTGGCAGTAGAAGTGATTAGTGCAGTTTTGTTAGCAGCAATGTTTTTTCACACCATGATCAGCAGCACTAACAGTGTGATTGTGTGTTACAGTCTGCAGCTCCTCATCAGTGGAGAGCAGCAGACGGTCGACTGATCGAGATGGACACACAACACACCATCCGAGCCAGAGAGCTGAAAGAACTTTACAACAACACCAACCTGAGCGCTGTCAACAAGGAGGAGAGACTCCACGTCCTCATGACACTCAAACACACTGTGAAGGTACAGCACACACACACACACACACACACACACACACACACACACACACACACACACACACACACACACACTTCTGTCCTGTCTGCAAGCTCACACTTTAATAATTTATGATGCAGAATCTGTGTGTGTCTGCATGTATAAATTGCAGTCCAAATTCTTCTTAATGCTTCTCTGCATTCAGGGAAACAATTTATTCTCAGTATAGTGAGCTATTCTGACCATTATCTATTTAGATGTTCATTCATTTGAAAGTTTCAGGGACAATGCACAGTGACAGACATTTCTGCAAATGTACCAGGTTAGCCTTCTTGGCTAATTCTCATCTGCAGTCCCTTAAATATTGTTTCTACCTTTGCACTGTGTTATATGTTGTGCGAGAAGCACACTTTCCCTGGCTGTCTTACTTTGTCTTACTAGTACTTTTTTTGCAAGGCACCAGATTAAAAAAAACAACAACTTTGAGGACTCTCTCGAAAAAGCTCGGTAAGCCTCCACAGAGAAAAGCCCAGAATGACAAGGCTGAGGAAAGCCAATGGAAGTGAATCAAATGTAGTATGTAAAAAAACACTGAACAATACTTTTAAAAAAGGGCTGCAGGAACGAGTCCCAAAGCTGGGAATGATCATGTTAGGCTTTGTGTCCACCTAGCGTCTTTTTCCGCTGGCTGTGCGTTTAGGAACAGGTGCATGAAGCGAGAAGAAAAGCTCTGCACGTCCGTCCTGTCCCTATGGCAACGGCCCCTGTATGACCAACACTGCTCCGTTACTTTTAGCTGAATATTTTTTTATTTGAGATAGATTATTTCCCGATCAGACAAGGAGCCAAGAGGATGTGGGTACAAGACACGATCTTTAGGCGGCAAAACTACGGGGGATATCATACAGTTAGAAAAAAGCGGCGGTTACATCAACAGCATCTTTCTGAAAAGTTAAAGAAATTTAAACTGGAATGCCCCGAGCAAACATCTGGTAATAACCTTTGGTGGGCTCCAAACCGAATTCCCGTATATAGCTGCTTTAAAGTCATCACTTAAGTTTTAATTTGGGAACACAATCTTGCTCAAAATGTGTAAAAAATAGTGTTTCCATCCTATTGGACAGGAGCATGAGTGTCAGCTGACCCGGGACATCGTGGATTTGATTGACAGAGAGGTGGACCTGATGACTCGGGGGGTTAAAGCAGCCAGCTTGGAGGGACTGAGGAAGAGGATCTCCACATTGTTCCTCCAGTATATCAAAAAACCAGCATTTAACCCCGAGGCTGCCAGGCTGCTGAAGGTAAACAAAGAGCCCTGCTGGTCTGAGGTCATACTATACACCTTGTGAACTCCTGCAGATAGATAATGTATAATTATATCCATATGATGTGAAATATACCCCAGGTTCCCCAGAATCCCTCCAAGCTGAAGGACAACATGTTTCTCTGCGGCGGCTGTAATCGCTACCTACAATCTGTCAACTTTCGCCCAACTGCCAACGCCCGTCGCAGCGGTCGCTGCCAAGACTGCATTGGACTTGAAAACATAGCCGGACCCCGCAGTGACGTATCTTGCTACAAGAACATCCTGAGGAGGCTGAGAGGCGACGAGAAGCAGATCAACCCGGAATCCAAGATCCCCTACCTGCTGCAGGTGATCCCAAACCACAGAGAGTTATTCCTGTTTCCTGCACAGTAGGCTTTGATATAGAGAATATATTATACACCAACCTTTACATCTACATGTGTCTCTTCTCAGGTGGAGGATGTGAGGTACCTGGTGGAGGTGATCTGGGCATCCCGCTCCGCCCTCCACGGCAGCAGCGACCTCTTCAGCCTTGTGTTTGTCCGCTGGGAGCGTCACAGAGACTGGAGCCCCTGGAACTGTATCCTGCTGTCCAAAGAAGAGACCTCAGCTCACCTGGAGGTCGAAGACATCCACAAGGTGTGTCCAAGTAAACACTTACACACCCATATGTGGAACCGTGTTTAAGTGAGGGACTAGAAAGAAGATGAAGAACATACTTGCTGCTAATTAGAATATCACATAACCGTTTTTAGATCACATTCTGTGTCAGTTTACATACAATGTGAAGCTACGGGCTAAATAAAGAGCGCTAACATTAGCATGCTAACAAAACAATGCAGCTTGAGACAAGGACAATTTTGTCAGCCTCTTGCGCTTAGTGATTAATTAATGTGCGTTCCAATTTGATTACTCCTTTGTGCAAACGCGAGTGGAGGGGGGTTGGAGGTGTGTCTCTGGAGGAGAGAGGAGGCTTCAGTATGGAGGAGGTGTGGCCAAACAGCAGTTTGTTTTGGTTTCATGCTGGTGCTCAAGGGCGACATCTACTGGATCAAAAAGTTGCACGTTCTTCCTTTAAGTCTGCCCACATTCTGATAAGATCAAAAATTAGCTTTGTTGTGTTGTAAAACAGCTGGACTCACCAAAACTTGAATCATCACTTTAAAAATAATCTAATAATCAAATATAGTTCCCAGGCTCTTAGAGAAGTACTTTTCCTTAACTGGGTGGTAAGAACTATGAGTTGGTACAGCTTGTACTTACCAGCTGTAATGGTTTATGATTAAGTTCCTTAGTTGAGTTTACTTTAAGAGGTAAATAACTTCCTGTTGAGGAAAAGGTTGACTTTCTGAAATGTCTGCTAAGCCCTAGAACAATTTATTACAATAAAGTTAACAACTTCATCTCAGTTCCTGTCAATGTTTTGATCTATTTATTAACCTTGAAATGAGGAAATTAATTTCTTCATCGGCTAAAATTTTCCCACGTCCACCTTATATTCTTCTGCTCCGGTGAACGTCTTTGCCACAGACATTTTGTGTTCAGGTTGTCCATTCTTCTGTCCGTGTATGCATCTCTCCATTCATTCCATCCAAAATTTGATCTCTGGAAAACCTTGAAGGAATATCTTCAAATTTGTAATAAACTTTCTCTTTCCCTCTTGGATGAAATGATAAGGTGTTTGTGGACTAAGGTCCACGTCTATCCTTTTCAACACCTGGAGGGGAATTCAAAACATTTGGTAGATATGGTTTCTTTTTCCATCTGAGAGTACGACGTGTCCTCTACCTGCACTGAGAATCACACACTCTTAAGAGAAATGTATTAAGACGTTCTCTGGTACAATCGTTTCCTTATGGATCTGACACGGATCAAAGAAGCAGTTTCCTGTTAGACTAGTTCTGCAAAGTGTTCCACAGTAAAGGTCATCTTGTATGTAACCTCTAATAGATGGTAAAAAAATAAATAAACATGCTTCCTGCCTTGTGAATAAACCATGGTGATCACTCTGACACTTTGTTTTGGTGTCTTTGTTTATCTGGTCAAACTGTGAAAAACAGCTGGTTAAATTGGAACTCCAGCTGTTACACTAACAGAGTCTCCCTCCTGTGTGTGTGTGTGTGTGTGTGTGTGTGTGTGTGTGTGTGTGTGTGTGTGTGTGTGTGTGTGTGTGTGTGTGTGTGTGTGTGTGTGTGTGTGTGTGTGTGTGTGTGTGTCTCAGGCGTACGAGGGGACGTTCATCCGCAGGATCCAACACAAACACATGCTTGCTCGTCGCCACTTCAGCCAGATCTCCGTCATGGCTGAGTACCTGGACCCTCAGCCAGCTACGGGCAAGCACATCACCGACAGCACACCTGCTTCGGCTCGTTAAGAAAGACCCCTTTGTTTCCTTTCTTTTGTCACTGTTTCCTCCCTCCTTCATTCTGTCCGTCACACAAAAAACATTTTGTCTGAAATCTGGAATAAAGTTCATGACAGTCATGACTTGTGGAAATTAATTCCAGTGTAGCTTCTATCTATATATATTATTCTGCTTATCCAAGGTCAAGTCACGTTGGCAGACAGCGAACGTGACAGCAACGTTTTGAAAGGGACAAAGTCACAAAACTCCCTTAAAAGAACGATAGATTTTTAAATCGCTCATGATTTTACAAATATCGTATACAAGTATAAGTTTACCACAACTTCTACTTAGATCTTTATGTCCTTCCATCAATTCAGCATGGATGAAAACATGCCGAGTTTCACCCCCATTTTTTTTTTTTTCCGTTCAGGGTGGCGGGGGTCTGGATCTGATCCCTGTTGCCATTGGGCGGGAGGCGGGGTTACACCCTGGACTGTTTTATTGTAATTTGATCCAGTTAAAATCTGTTATAAATTTGTGAAGAATTGAAAGAATTGAGAATTGAATTGAAAGAAACACAGCAATCCTCAGCAATGACTTCCTTTAGGAGCCTGAATGGTTGCTCAACACCGTGAGTAAAGCTCTCATTTATTACACGTGTGAACTGAACTCACTGACCTCTGTTGTCTTTCAGGTGACTGACACACCTGAATCAATCATTCACTAAACACTTCAGACATATTTAAAAAACCCGCAAGAAATGCATTTTTTTATACTTTTAAGAAAACATTTCGAAAGATGTTCATCTCTTTTTAGCAGATTGGTCTGAATTAAAACATGTGACATGAAGATTTAAACTAGTTGCAAAAAGGTCATAAACATTGTTTTAGCCTAGCTTAGCACAAACACTAGACTATTAGCATCTCATCAAACGTAAATAATTTGACGAGAAAAAACTGTAAAGCAACATTTTAAACTGCTTCCTACGATCGCTGTGAACATTTGGAAAAAGTCACAAAACCTCTAAAGTGAACCACTCAAACATTCTTCCTCGTCCACAGATGTGTGTGAATGTAGAAAGTGTGAAATCCCACACTCTTTAAAGTACCATAAATAAGAGGTTGTGTCACATTATTGTCCCACTTCTGTGTTGGTGCAAAGATAACCAGCAATGAGTAACCAGCTTTGGTATCTTTGCTGGAGAAAACTGCTGCAGATACGAACGCGTAACCTGCAATTGTGTTTGATTGGAATCTCTGAAGGTCAACCTGCAAACATTGTGGTAACAATCATCGGCTTTTCAGTCTTCCTACCTACAACCTCAGGATTACAGCGAGAACCCTCCAAACAGAAGAAAGGGAAGCGTGAAAAATGCTGCAGAGGTTGAGCAGAAGGTTGTGGTACTATCGCAGCGTCGCCGTGATTGTTCTGACGCCGCTGCTGCTGCTTCCTCTTCTTCTTGTCATCGGTACAAAGGTGAGTCTCCTTTAAATAAAAGACCAGTGCTATGAGGGCAATAATGATTATAATAGAAAATAAAACATTCATTAGAGTTCATGAGCCGATTTAAACAGCTGAAAGAACTTCTGTAACAGATTTGAATCCCTATATTTAGGGTTTACAGTTACTTTTCTGTGTTTTTCCAGTATTGTTTAGCAGATTTTCAGGAAACAAACATATACATTGTACCTGAGCTCAAGCAGCGTCAGCACACAGAGGCCAGATTTCCCTTGAATTGTGGTGCAAATTTGAACCAAACTTACAGAAAACCTGCGTAAGAAAATACAAGAATCAATTCTTACTGTGTTAAAAGGGTGAAGATTTTGGATGACAGGTGGCTCTAATCATTGCAGAGGAGGTTATAAATGCATGTTTAGTCTCAGTTTGTCTTTATTTGTTTAATATTTTAGGTTATTCATTTGTATGTTGAGAGCAAAGTTAATCAAAGTCAAATTCTTTGTATATGTGAGCTAACAGGCCAATAAAAATGATTCAGATTCTTAAAGGTCACATATTGTGCTAAATGCCCTTTACAGTGCCATGGTTTCATTTCAGTAATATGTGTCTCTAGTCTGTCTACAAACCCCCCAATGATGAGAAAAGTCAATCCTCTCCATCTTTTGGAGATTTTCCATTCATGACATCACAAAGGGCAGTAACCCCTCCCCCAGGTGGGTGACACTCCCACAGCTAAGTGTTTGTTCTGCCCTCTGAGTCTGCCTTCTCACCGTAAACAATAGGACATGCCCGAGCCGACCCAAGCCTTTCCAGAGAGGGGGCGTGGTCAGACACAGCTCATTTACATTTAAAGGTACAGACACAGAAACAGCCTGTTCTGAGCAGGGCTGAAATAGAGGGGTTTATAGGCATGATCAAATACAGGATCAGAGTGAGAGATATCAAAACTGCTGGGATTGTCTTCGGGAAAGTAGAGTATAATATTTCTATATGGAGGTTAGTCAGTCGAAGCTGATACACCAGTGTGTGTGTGTGTGTGTGTGTGTGTGTGTGTGTGTGTGTGTATGTGTGTGTGTTGTGCACTGTAGGAGGCAGAATGTGCCTTTGTGTTGCTGCTGTTGGCGACGTACTGGGTGACGGAGGTGATTCCTCTGTCCATGACCGCCATGCTCCCCGCCGCCCTCTTCCCCATGTTTGGCATCATGAAGTCGTCAGATGTGAGTCCATGTATCTGTAAGCAGGCCACACTATTTGTGTTACTTTAAAAACATTTAAAAAGTTTTAGTTCTTAATATCCCTACATTACCTACAACCTGCTCACCAATATATAGCACCTGGCTGTGTGCAAATCTACGTTTCTTTTTAATGCTTTCTATCATTTACACTTTTACTCTCCTATCCCTCGCTCTCTGTTTCTCCTCCAGGTGGCAAAGGAGTACTTTAAAGACTTCCACCTCTTGCTGCTGGGCGTGACCTGCCTCGCCACGTCCATTGAGAAGTGGGGTCTCCACCGCAGAATCGCCTTGAGGCTCGTCCTCATGGTGGGAGTCAACCCTGCATGGTGAGCAACACCCTTCTCTCCTCCAAAATATTACTTTAACATCGTTTTTTTATATGTGGAAACACAATCTCATGTGGTCAAAAAATCCCACACTAGAAGAAAATCAAAATCTCTCCATTCCCTCAGCCCTCGACCCTCAGCCATTTTACATTTCTCTATATTTGCTTAATTTCGATCGGTGCACTCTATCAAGGGGTTCTCTTGAGGTTAGATAGTAACATTGACAGTATTAAGTTGCTTATTGAGGAGGCAGTATGTTACCCTCTCCAGGCTGATGTTGGGCTTCATGTCCGGCTGTGCATTCCTCTCCATGTGGGTCCAGAACACCTCAGCCGTTACCATGGTGATGCCCATCGTGGAGGCTGTTCTCCAGCAGATCCTGAAGGCCAACGAAGGAGGAGGCGCTGGTGAAGTCAACCCCAATCTGCAACTTGATGGTACCTGGATTTATTAATTGCACAAATCCTCCCGAAAAGAATGATCAAAATTAGTTGAGATTATGTCACTACCATTACTCGTAATTTTTCCACATATAACTCGGCATCCAACCTCAGTACTTTTCCTCAGTACATTTACTGAAATGTGTCCGTATTACCACATTGCGTTGAAAGCAACACTTAACACTTGAGCTTTTTGATTTTGTCACATAAAAAGTATTAGTTAGGGCTTAAATTATTGGGAAATAATTGTTTGTTTAAGCTTCACCATCGAGTAATAACCAGAGGAGTGAAATAAAAGTGATAATTGTCACCCTGGGAGCGAAACATCATAGGTGCTTGTTGAGGTAATTTTCCACCCTTTCCAGTTAATTGCCATGAAATTACTTCACAGCAGCACCTTAAGAAGAGAGAGAAGTCAACCCAGGTCTGTTTTTCTTGCAGAAACTGACTGCCATGTTGAAAAGATGGAGGACAATGTGAGGTATGAGAAGATACGCTTCCTTAATGGTCACTGTTGCTCAGTGATCACTGTTGTCTTTTTGTGATTCCTTCACTGTCCCGGGGCATTGTGGGAGATTTATTACATCTGTGTCTCTCAGTAACCAGAAGCGTCCAGATGTTCCTGAAGAAAAGTTGACTTGTTTTCAGATACAGACAGTGTCTCAGCCGGTTGCAGCTCAGGTACAGAAACACTTAAAGATTCATTCATCCCTGTAGAATCAATTATTATTCATGTTTCAAACTGCTGGTGCTGCGCCTGCTTTAACCACAAGTACATCTATAGCCCTAAAAATGACACCTAGAGAGACTGACAATACTTGTCGATAATGCTACTAAAGCCACTGCTAATGAAGCAGATTGTTGTTCTCTTACTAAGACCAACAACTTTTGTGTTTGCTTCTCCTTCCTCTCTGTTTCTCAACTATAATTTCCCCCTTGGTTTTGTCTTGCAGGTTGCCATGAGTCAGCCTGCGGCTCCCAGCAGGAGTAAACGTGACCTGATGATTTGTAAAGCCATGTGCATCAGCGTGGCCTACTCCTCCAACATCGGAGGCATCAGCACGCTGCCCGGCACCTCGCCTAACCTCATCTTCTCCGAGTACCTCAACCAGTGAGTGCTGTGTGCTCCTGACATGCTGGGTGTATGGTGTGGGTATGAAACAGAGAAAAGGAGCCGTCACATTTAAAGGAAAGGGGAAAAAGTCAAAAAGAAGGGAGAGACAAAACAGAGAATCCTGTAAAGGCTTTGAGGCGAGATGAAAAATGTATAGAAAATAACTCAATCTGTGAAAGGGTTGGCATTTGTCAAATCTAAAACTGCATGCATTCAAAGCTTTGATGTGCTTTTTAGAAAACTGAATTTAATCTTCAATCCTTGTTTTTGAATCCAGGATTTACCCAAACTGTAACTGTGTAAACTTTGGGAACTGGCTTCTGTTGTGTCTGCCCATCAGTGTGATCATGCTGCTGCTCACATGGATTTGGCTGTGCTGGCTCTTCATTGGCTCAGAGTGAGTGTCCCCCATATTTCGTTTTTTTGTACCATGCTGCAAATATGTTTATTTATGCTGTAAAAACTGCCTTTTTGTCTGTGGTGTGTATGTGACTTCCGGTGTTCCTGCAGCCAGCCTCTAATGAACACTCAACGAACTGCATGATTTTACAATTCCAGAGGTTGTCGCTTGGTTTGAATGAATATTACATATTTAAAGATATAGTCAGTAGTTTTTCCTTATAAAAATGTTCGCATACCTACAAACCCCTCTATTTCAGCCCTGCTCAGAACAGTCTGTTTCTGTGTCTGTACCTTTAAATATGTAAATGAGCTGTTTCTGACCACGCCCCCTCTCTGGAAGGGCTTGGGTGTCTCGGGCTTTCTCGCTCCAAGTCCTATTGTTTATGGTGAGAAGGCAGACTCAGAGGGCAGAACAAACACCTAGCTGTGGGAGTGTCACCCACCTGGGGGAGGGGCTACTGCCCTTTGTGATGTCATAAAGGGAAAATCTCCAAACGGCCTGTTAGAGCACACATTTTCTGAAAAGTGGAGCAGGCGAAAGACAGAGAGGATGGACTTTGTAGACAGACTAGTGACACATATTAGTGTTAGGAAACATGGTGAAGTGTCTTTTGCAGAATATGTGACCTTTCAATAAATATGACTGGTTGAAAAATAACAGAAACTTGGGTTGTGATTTTTCATGAAGGAGTTGATGGTGGTTCTTAGGTTTAACTCTGAGTCTTGAAGGAGTAAAAATGCTTTCAAACAAACTGACTTTATGAGTAACTCTTGATGGATATTACAAATGTTGGATATAATCTCAGAACTCCATTCTTTCATGCTAATACAACCTGCAAACGATGCATGGTCATCATGCTAATGTTAGCATTAGCTGTGCGATGGAAGGTCAGAAAGGTCAATTATGGGCGCTGGTGACCATCACACAGTGTGCATTTTACCCAATCACAGTCAATCAATGTAGATCAATGTGAGCATTTTTCTGTCTGCTATCAATCATATAATCAGCGTGTGTGCCCTGAACACACACACACACACACTCTCTCTCACACACACACAAACACAGCTTCAGGTTCCTGTGGAGATGTGGAGGAAGGAAGAGCGAGGGAGACCAAGCAGCCAGGAGAGTGATAGAAGAAGAGTACAGGTCGCTGGGACCCATGAGGTGATTACTCTCTCTCTCTCTTTCTTTAGTTTAGTTTTATTCATGAATGTAAACTTTGTGTGCAGGAGTAATAAAATGTATGGATGCATGTCCTCTTAGGGCTTCCATAAACATCTGATCATTCTCTCACATTGATTCTGTGTATGCAGTATTGTTTCTTTAACTCATCCACAAAATAAATCATCCTCCCTCCCTCTGTTCAGTCCTCAGGAGATCTTCACTGGTTCAGTTTTCCTGCTGATGGTTTTGTTGTGGTTGACCAGATCTCCTGGTTTCATACCGGGCTGGGCTTCTCTCTTCCCTCAGTGAGTCACTTTACTTTTTATTTCACTGTGATTTATTTGAACACAGATCTCCACAGAGCGTGCAAAAGAGCGCAAGAGCCCGCAAGCACCGAGCACCAAAGTGGATTCATCTGCAGCTGAAAATATACAAAATGAAACTTCTGTTTGTGTAAAGATGGCTAAACATGACACAAGTAGGATAATCTCGGGGAAAATGTATCCATTTTAATAAAGAAACTATACATTTAGGCTGTTTTCGAAACCGCGAGATCCGCTGTATGCCAAAAATACCAGGATGTCATACTGATTCGGGAAAAATGTACAGTATGCATCGGACCAGTCTACCTCGCGTACTGTTTCCCCAAAATGCAAAGTGCCAGGTCAGAGATCAAAATGCCGGAGCGCAGCTGTTTGAACTCGTCAGTGGCGGTGACTGAATATATGTCTTACCACCTCGGCTTTTCCTGCTTTTTAGACTGTACAGTGCATGTGCCACAGCTGGAGCAGCAGCTGCAGTTCCAGGGTCCTTAGCTTGCTCTATTACTACATATTATTCACAGCTGAGTAAAAGTTAAACCTGAATGTCTGAAAAGTATACTACAACTTTAATAGCATGCCAATCATATTTCAACCCAGGGCATTGTGTATAAATGACAGAATATATGAGAGATTGTAGACTTGTTTTATTTTAATTATGTTAATTACCTCCAGATGGGCTGTTGTTTATTTCCGCATTCCAGGACCGGAAACCAGTTTAACCGTGCCAAGCATACTGCAAAATAACCGACGACTGGCAGTCATACTAAATACTACTGTTGAACTCAGTATGCAGTTTATACTGATTTAGATAGTAATATGTAGTACGCAGTTTCGAAATCAGCCTTACATTAACCTTTAAGATCATTTGAATCGTCCCTCTATTTTAGTACTCAAACATTTTAGGAAACATATCACGTTATTTAATTGTCAGGAAAATAACATATTTTGTGTCATGCATGGTGTCTTAACTCGGCGAGGACGAGATATTTGATTGCAAATAGTAATTAATTATTGTAAAAAAAAAATGTTTAAAAGGAAACAATTGACAGGCTGATTGCAAACATGGAGTGTGTCTGTCAGTAGTGTGCATGTGGATGTGTGGCATAATGAAGTGTGGGATGTTGAGGAGCCAGGTTTAGATGAGAGAGAGAGACACACACTGGGCTTCGCGCCATGAGACCACCAGGCCCAGATGCTCTGAATCTGGCTAACTGATACCTCTGAGAACAAGTGAGAGAGAACATATTAGTAGAAGCCTGACGGTTAAAGGTGAGGCTCTGACCGTCACAACGGTTGTATTTGTTCAATTCAATGTAGGAAACATCCAGCTATCAAATTCCAGACTGAAAGCTTTCTTTTCACTTTTCACTTGAGCTAACAGGGTAGAGAAGTCAGAACGTGTCTTAAAGGTGACATATTCTACTCCTCTTCAACCAGTTTAAATAAGTCTCAGAGCTCCTCAAAGCAATAGCTGTGTCCTGCATTTTCCTGTCTTTGCTATAATACAAAATCCTGGTTTATAACTTTTTTTGTCCTTGATTCTTGCAGTCCGTCCGGCTACATCACCGACGCCACTGTAGCTCTGCTGCTGGGTCTCCTCTTCTTCATCGTACCTGCCAGCGGACCCTCGCAGAAATATGGTAAATACACAAAACATAACAATTCAGCTGGGATCGGAAAGGGTTATTCACATGTGTTATGTAATGAAGTGCGTTCATTCAAGTTGTTTATTTTTTTCCACTTCATATTCGATCAATTCAGAGGAAAATACTCTTCGTTTTAATCCTTCTTCTTTGTGTCTGATAAATATAACCCATAATATTCTGAACATGATGAATGTTAATGAGTGTTTATTGTACTGATTTTGTACCGAGAGAGGGATTCTGTCTGTCGGCAGAGATATGAGCAGGATGTTTTTTTTTATCTCTCCATCCAGAGACCATGATTTCTTGGAAAGAGTTCCAGGTCTCCATGCCCTGGAAGGTCGCCCTGCTGGTCGGTGGAGGCTTTGCACTCGCTGAAGGCACAGAGGTGAAAACACATTCTCATCTCAGGGTTCATTGACCAGCTCTCCTGAAGCTCTCGATCATGTCAGTTCTTATCTTTATGCCTCGTCACAGGGAAGACAAGGCACAACATGGAAAAGGCCCGTACAGGATCTCTCAAGTCCCCCTATATTAGAAGTAGTAAAATCTAAATTTCACATCATTACTCAAATCAATACAAGACGACCTAAATCGCTTGAGCAACTTTCACTTTCCGAAAGAATATCAACAATTAAAATGTCAAAAAAAACAAAAGTTAACTACCTATCCCCCATGGTCTCCATCACTCCCCACACCTCCGGGTTCAAATCTGTTAAAGGAGGAATGAGCAACATGTGACACATAAATAAAGCAGAAATCAAGTCTATCCTGTGTAAATGTGTCTCTGAGTCATGACTGTTGGTTGTGTTGTTGTCAGAGCTGTGTTTACATGGACGGGACGGCTGGCTCCTCCACTTGTGTATAAAAGCTGTTTTAGTCAAGGACTAGAGAAGAAGAACATACTCACTGAGTATTTGGATGTTAGTAAGAGTTTTTAGATCACGCTCATTCTGTGTCAATTTACATGCAGTGTGAAGCTACAAGCTAACTAAAGAGCGCTAACATTAGCATGCTAACACAACAATGCAGAACACAGGTGATTATAGCTCGAACAAAGGACAATTATGTCCGCTTCTTCAGCTTAGTGCTCAACTATTGACATTTAAACAAGTTTGAAATCCTGCTGACTGATAATTCAGTGGTCGTAATATGTGTTTGTTTGTGTATGTGTGCGTGCGTGCAGGTATCAGGCCTCTCTCAGTGGGTTGCCAAGCTGCTGACACCTCTGGGTGACCTGCCAGTCTTGGCCACTATCACAGTCGCCTGCATCATCGTCACCACGGTGACGGAGGTGGCCAGCAATGCTGCCACCATTACCATCTTCCTCCCCATCCTCTCTCCTTTGGTGGGTTCACTGTGTTTTTTTTTATTGACCTTTACAAACGATTCCTAATGTCAGTCATTGCCTTTTTTTCCTCCATAATGTTGCTGCAAATTATAAAAAACAATGTACAGTATCTTAGCAATAAAAGCTGCAGGCATTGGTTGATACAACTAATGTGAAGTCTATTCTTAATCCGCGTTTAATCCGGAATTAAGGCTGCGTCAGCTCCTCCTCTTTGCCTCTTTGTGAGGTGTAGACTGCATTTCCAATATGGTGACTGCCATCATTGGGCTTCATAATGGCTCTTCAGAAACAAAATGGATGACTTCACTGAGACTGCGTCCATTTTTTATACAGTCTAGAGTCAAGTTGTTTTTGTTTTGAAGCACTTTGTTCATTTTATCACTGTTGTTGTTGTTAAATGATGAAGTCAAACCTGATCTTTATTTTATATACGATAGGCAGATCTCTGTGTTTGTTTTTTTTCTTTAGGCTGAGGCCATCCATGTTAACCCTCTGTACGTCCTGATCCCCACCACCCTCTGCACATCCTTCTCCTTCCTACTGCCGGTGTCCAACCCGCCCAACGCTGTCGTGTTCGCCTACGGACACATCGACATCCTGGACATGGTGAGTCCAGACGCTCAACATGATCCACGCTCACTGAAGGCAGAACTATCCAGTGTAAAATACTAACCATATCTTCGGGGTGTATTTGCTGCTGCAGGTGAAGGCGGGGCTCGGCGTCAACATGATAGGCGTCCTTGCCACGCTGTTGGCCGTCTCGACGTGGGGAGTTCCATTATTCTCTCTGGATACGTACCCTGAATGGGCGCCGGTCCTCCCGGGGTTCAACTCCACCATGCCGTGATGAATGGTGCCCAAAAACAGATCTCAGTGGGAGGCTCAGGGACCGAGCTGGAACTCTTCAGAGGCTCTCTGGGCATTCCTCATGCTGAGAGAGCGTATTTATTCTTCTTCAGGTGTTTTAAAGCTCCTCCCACTCTGAGGAACTTTTATTTTACAGCTTTTTGTCACTTGAAGCCCCAACAGTTTCTCTGTAAAAATTGTTATTGTAGTTTTCTTTTTACTAACTTTTACATGACTTGTCAGTGCTGCCCTGCTCAAGGGCACCTCGGCAGTGCTCAGGAAGTGAACTGGCTCCTTTCCAGCTACCAGACCAACTTCCAGACTTGGTCCGCACAGAGACTTGAGCCGGCAACCCTCCGGTTCCCAACCCAAGTCCCTACAGACTGAGCTACTGCCGCACCAAATAAAGTATTAATCTGACATAAAGATAACTCTTACATCATGTTGGGTTTAAGATTCATATGCAAATTTTATGTATATTTTTATACATTTTGTTCTATGTTGTGTTAGTTTTTAATAAAACATTACCTATTGAGAATGTGACGATGATTAGCTCCAATGTGGTTATCTTTTGAAACACATGCACGCACGCACGCACGCGCGCGCGCGCGCGCGCACACACACACACACACACACACACACACACACACACACACACACACACACACACACACACACACACACACACACACACACACACGAAGGCTTTTGAAGTCAGTGAAAGAAACAGCACAGAAACACTGACCTCTGGTGGACACAGAGTCTCTGAATCACAGCCTGTAAACACAGACCATGAACAAATTCTGCATAAACATAAAATATGAACTAGAGCAACACACTGAAACATTTCATTTGTTTTTTGTTTTTTCACTTCTTTCTCATTAAAAGTTTGGATGTTACTTGTGCTTCTAATATCGTCTGCACAATCATTAATCCTTCCATCCATTACCTTTACCATTTTTCCGGTTCGGGGTCGTGGGGGGGCTGGAGCCGATCCCAGCTCTCATAGGATGAGAGGCGGGGTTACACCCTGGACTGTTCACCAATCAATCTCAGAGCTGACATTTAGAGACAGACAACCAGCCACACTCTCATTCACACCTACGGACAATTTAGAGTCAGCAGTTAACCTAACGAGCATGTCTTTGGACTGTGGGAGGAAGCTGGAGTACCCAAAGAGAACCCACACATGCACAGGGAGAACATGCAGACTCCACACAGAGAGGCTCCTGTCAGACTGGGTTTCAAACCAGGAACCTCCTCGCTGTGTGGGAACAGCGCTAATCACAGTGCAGACCCCTCATTAAAACGGAGATGGAACCCTAGACTGTAAATAATACCTTTTACAATCAAAGATAGTTTTTTCAAGAAGAGGTTTCACACAGCAAAGCAAAATTTTACCCTTATAGACCTGCTAAATTCAGAATCTATCTAAACCGCGAGACAAAGAATAAAAGTACAAGAATAGTAGCGAGGTACAGTCAATTCCATACACGGTATTTCCAGAGATAATCAGATATATTATCATATTTATGTGCAATAATAAACATATACAAAAGGTGTAGCTTAAAGTCTAAACCATACAGTAACAGTTTGAGTACTACATTATCTAACACTGTTATAACTCTAGTTTTGGTTAATAAAGTAATGGTGTAGGAAATAAATATTAATATAAGTACCTGGATTTGGTAGCCTTTAAAATAACACTTGCGGACTCATTGTAATGGAGCCAAAAAGGGACATTTTGTTATATTTTGTGCATACGCGAGACAATTAGGCAATTATGTTTATTAAATTGTTATCATCTAACTTGTGCAGAAGATAATTATGTTGTACACACAAGATATTAACTTACAGAAGACAATTTTATTGTGCATACGAAAATAACTTGCCCCCAAGATAGGCTATATTTACTTTTTGGGACTTCAAGGGGGCTAAAACAGGTAAATAAATAATAGGGCTTATCTTTTCACCCTATTTCAGGTCATTGTGCAGTGCAAAGCTATATCTGTTGGAGCTGGAGCTTAAGTAGCCTATCAGCAGAAAGGAAATAATTGTTTTTTTAATCAAAATTTGACACATACTTCAAGACAGTCTGATAGTCTGTAGAAACACATTGTTTTTCATTGTATTTGTTTTCCCTAAGTAGACTAAATGTCGTGGTTCGTGAAAAACAAACAGAATGAGACCTCTTCGCTTTGTTCTCCCCTCTCTGGATTCAGCTACAGGTTGCTCACCTGTATGCTGTAGTCGCGCTCAGTCGCAGAGGGCGCGAGCTCCGTGCAGCGTGCAGCAGGCAGCAGCGGCAGCAAGTGGCGGCGGGCGCGCGCTGCCATTCCAGCACTCATTCCCACGGTGCAACGGAACGGAGCGCACTCAGCGACCACCTTTTCAAACTCCGCCCACCCCTCAACCAAAAACTAACATCCCTCACTCAAACACAGCTCAACGACGGCAGCGGCAGGGAAACACTGTGACGTTTGTGAAGTGCAGCTGTTGACGCCACGTCGACTTAAATAAACAGAAAACACTGTAACAGGTGTTTCGTTCTTTCTTTCTTTCTTTTTTGTTTCCGCCGTGCACCATGCTGGATCCTTCCTCCAGCGAAGACACCGGCGGGGAGTCGGACCCAGAAGTTGTGCAGGAGCCTCCGAGGAAAGCGGCTGGCTCCTCGGCGGGGAAACGGGGCAACAACAACAACAGCAGCAGCGGCGGCGGCAGCGGCAACCGGGCGGGGGGCCAGAAGCGACAGCCGGCCGCACCTGGAGCTGCCCCCGGCAAAGGTGCCAAAGACAACAACGCTACTACAGGTGAAGAGGAGGAGAGGAAAGAGCGCGAGCGGATCCAAAAGGAGGAAGAAGAGAGGAAAATTAAACTGCAGATCTATGTGTTCGTCCTGCGGTGTATAGCCTACCCCTTCAACGCCAAGCAGCCCACAGACATGGCCCGACGGCAGCAGAAGGTGAGTCCGTGCCGCACACTAACCTCACACAGCATGCACCTGTTGTCTGGTATGGAAGAACCGCTTCGGCTTACTTCCATTGAGAATATTCCAATTTAAGGCAAGCTGTCATGTGTTGGAAAAATGTCCAAATAATCAACACAACTTATACAGTTTTTAGACAAATAAGGAGGTATTGATTAGTTCGGCGTACATTTGAAAATTTACTCACCGCTTTAATTTGATGAAATAGTTGATTTAATCTTCCATTCTCCTGTTGCTTCAACGTTGTAGTCGTACCTAAACACCCGCTGGCAGACAGCGGCCACCATTGTAGCAAGACTGTAAATGTGAAATATATCTTATCCAAGCTTGAATGGATTTGAAGTGTCTAAAAATGTAAATTCTGGTTGGCGTTTTTTGTTTTGGATTTTTAAAATTTCCAAAAAATCAGAGAATCGAAAAAGACCAAGTACTTTGAGTTTTCTGTTGTATCTTTCATCACTACACTGATTTACACAAGTCTTAAATCACTGTTCTGGCCACAGTGATCAAGATGACAGCCGAACTCAACAAACACTTCACTTCTATGATGCAGGGTTGTTTTGTTGCATCTTCTGTTGCATGCAATCTGAAGGGAATCCGCTGCAGTTGCAAGACCACGGAAAGATTTTTTTTTTTTGTTGCCATTTTCTTTGCACTTTTGAAACTGCCTTTAAACAAACCACCCTCTAACACTAAACAATGCAAACATAAGCTCAGGTAAAATGCAGCTATCTTCCCATTTAGAGAAAGTTGCTTCACTGAGGTTGACATAACTGTTGACAGAGATTCAGCTTTCATGTGGTGCTGAAAAAGAGGCTTGCATTTCTGTGCACTCAGTTCGAAGCTGTTCATTCCTCTTTCTTTTTTTTCCAAATATTTATTTTAGTCTTTGTTTTGGGCTGTGTTGGATTACAAGGGTGTTGTTAAAGCTTCATCCTTGGCTGTGCAACATTCAAGGGCCATTCAGCTGATTTGGTGAATAGTTCTGCCCGAGTTTGTTAGATACAGATGAATGCATGTCTGCTAGCTCCTTGTAATAAAAAGAGCAGGGAAGCCAGCTCTGACTGAAGAACCCCCTGTGTTCTCTGTGCCGCTGGGAGGCTTGTTAGTAAGCGTCTCATGGTGCTTGATTTCACTGAGCAGACGAGGCACTTCCATTCAGCTCACATGTGTGTATTAGCGATGCATTTCCTCCGACAGAAGGAAGACGTGGGAGTTTGTTTGTGCACAAGTATAAGTTCAGAATTAATGTCGCTTTCATGAGACAGAAATTTGAGATCCATCAGGATACATCAGCCCCCTCCCTGAATTTAGATTTTCTCTCCATCTGATGCTAGTAGTCCCGCTTCGTCTCCCTGCGCTGATTCATAAATAAGCCTGCCTGTGCATGCATTGAAACCACGGAGGAGAATGTGGCATTGATTTTTGTGTCACTAGTGTGTCACTAGGGAAGTGGAGTTCCCTGGCGGGCGTTGGCAGCAGGCTGCGCGTCTACGTGTGGTGGGTTGCCAGTTTGAATCCACTGACTCTCTCCCCGCAGACTGCTCCGACTCACTGCAGGGTGGAGAAATCAATAATTCAGAATAACGCTTCACTGGCAAGGAGTGGATGTGTCTGCAGAGATATAGGTCATCAAACTGATGACAAGGAGCAGACATGAGAACAGCCAGTACTTTTATGAAATGTCCTCACAGACTTCATTGAAGCTCGTTGGATGAAGGTGTTCATATTAACCTTGTTAAGTGACTCACATTAGCTACGATAGAAACCACACCATAGCCTTCTGCACATGCTCTAAAAAGTTACGTGGAAATAACAAACTTGTAAAGGGCAGCACGCTGGAAAAAGTCGATAATATCGGCCGATATTAGCGCATCAAGCGACTATCTGTACCAGCTAATTTTATCACAGATATGCTCCGATTTTATGAGATTTATTCACCAGTTAAATAGCATTTCTTGGAAGTTTCACTGGAGTACACCAGCAGTTATCTGTCACCAGCAGAGGGCGCTATATGGATCGCAACAAGCATTACCATCATCCAGAGTGACAAGTGTTTCCGCACATAAATGCTTACTTTTCAGTCGAGTGGCCATCTTGTCGTCCTGTCTATCTCTAAAGATCGAACATGGATCTTAGAAAGATATCGGCCTACATCAGATTTTTTTTTTTCTCCCCAATATCGTTACAGATATCGGCCCCAAAAATCACATATCGGTCGGGCTGTAGAAAAAAATAGAAACATGTAAACGATGGATAAGAATGGAAGAGCCGTTCAGCCGGTCGTGCAGGGATGTGCAGACCTAGCTTAGCTTCTGGTCGCTCCAGTTTTAGAAGAAGGTCCATTATGTCGTGCCACAATACAGTGTCAGTGGTGATTCTAGAGTCGGTTGGGGCCCTATAGGCAAGAATCAATCGGGGGGTGGGGGGGGGGGGCTCTCCAACCATCAGGTCTGCCAGAGTCCCAAAACTTACTCTTCTTCCTCCTTTTTCCTGTTTCTGTTTTCTCTCTATAGAAGGATATTTCCTCTTCAATTTTCTTTGTTGACTTTTATTCACGAACTTTGGTTTTCACTGCAGTAGTGCATGCAACTCCTAGCAGAGTGAGTGCTGTCAGATGGGGCCCCCTGAGGGAGGTTTCCTGCTGCCCTTTGCAGTTTCCTGCCCCTGCTATTGACAAGCAGCGCCTCTAAATAGTGGTGCCAACTTCTATGTATTTCACCAACTTCTACTGGGTCACAACAAACTAACATCTAGCTTGATTTGTGTTGCAGTTGTGGATAAGCATCTCTCCAATAAAAACCAGTAGTTGCTCTGATGCCAAACTTTTTTACGAGGATAAAAATTGAGAATTTAAGCGAGAATTTAATGTTCTTTCTTCACAATCCATCTACAAATTAGGTAATCGTTTGTTAGCCAGAAATCAAATTTATGAACCTGAAACACACAACACGAGGACTTCAGTTTCAAGGGGTGCTAGAAATGATTACCCTCGTCTGTCAAACCCACACTCTCACTAAATTTAATATACCGGAGGGGGGGAAGTGATAATTATAATACTGCACTGAAACTTTGCCTTTTTGTTGGTTTCCTGCCGGTTGCCATAGCTCTGGAGGCGGAGTTAATGATGCAAGCAGGTGCTTAGCGTTAGCCCACGCTCACACTCAGCCGTCAGCGGGCTCGCTGTGGTCCTCCATGATGCTCGCACACCTCAGGGCTTCACCTCCCAGAAAACACAAAGAGTCATTTTCTGTTTTTCCTTTACATGTACATGAGAAAAACAAAAACATATCTGCTCTCACACAAGTCACATAAACGGGGGGGGGGGGGGTGAGCAAGAACATCTTGTGAAACAATACGTGTCTGTTATGTAAGTGTTCAATGATTGAAGGTAGTATATAAGAACTCGTCTAACAGAAAAAAAACAAATCCTCGATTCAAAAGCCATGCGTCTCTTCTTGATTGTTTAGGAGTTTTTGCTCTACAACACGTGTAGTCCAAAGGAATCACAATCTCAAATAGATAGCGGAGAAGAACCTGAGTGTCTACCGACCCACTAAATGTGAAATAAACCTATCCAGTGCTTTGCTTCCCCTGGTATCTCCACCCATGGACTCCACCCCCAGCCTAGAACAAAACTTTTGCGCAGGTCCGCCATTTTTATTCTCGCTAGCGAAGGAGTGATGTCTACTGGGAAATCTCAGGGGGGGCTCATTGCATTTAAAGAGACACACACACCAAAACGGAGCGTTCTGAGAGAGCTGGTTTATACAGGGTCACAAATCTCCTCTAGTGCTTGATTCATGTTATATTTTGACCAAAGCACAGCTCAGATGTTTCATGTAGACCACAGGGGACTGTTTGAAAAGGTGGAGAAGGGGGAGAATATGTCCTCTTTAAGACAAGACCGAATTTTGCCGACACTCTGCGTTGATGTGTTATTTTACCCTTCAGCTGGACCTTCATGTTATATTGTGTTTGCTGTTAAAATATTTAGCATGTTTATTTTTAGGTTTGACATCAGCCGTCTCAGGTGTGTTGGTTTAGACTGACCGTACACCTGAAGGCTGAGGAGGAAGTTTAGTTGAGTAACTGAAGCAGAGAAACCAGCCGTGCAACATTCACTCTTTTCCTTGTTTACATAGTTTGAATGTTGGACCGAGCGAGCTCTGCAGTTTCCTGTTAGCTTGTTTGTCTGAAGACTCTCGTTCAGGACTGCAGTAATCAACTATTTTAGTAGATATCCTACACCTGCTCCTCCTACTCACTGCCATTAAATTAAAACAGCACCTCAGGGAACACATTACACTTAACTCCCATCCACTCTCATCAACCAACGATACAGTTGAAACAGTTGACAGCTTCAAATACCTCGGACTCACACTAGACAATAAACTCACTTTCAACCAGCACACAACGGACATTCATAAAAGGAGCCATCAACTGGTCTCCCCACACCCACACTGTCAGAGCTCAATCTCAAGACCATCTCACGCATCGCACTTACAATAGCACTGGACAACACACACGCCCACTCAACTGCCACTTCATCATTATGCCCTCGGGACGCAGGTACAGGTCCCTGATGTGCAGGAGGGCTCGATATGGCAAAAGCCTGCAGCCATAGCAGCCCTCAACAAAAGGCCAAAATAAAAACACCCCAGTCCCACTCTGTCTATATATTTGTCTGCATGTTATCTTGTTGTATCTGTCCATCTGTCATTACCTGTCGGCGTGCTGTCCATAACTGTACTGTGAAGTGGAAAAGAATTTCCCCTTGGGGACAATAAAGTAAAGTCTAAAGTCTAAAAGTCTAACTTTAACAAAACAAAAACACTTTTTAACGGCTTTGTTTTAAACTGTTTGTTTACTTTATAAAGTTAAACTCTATACCAGAACATATTTTAGATATTTGGGAAAGTAAATAAATGCTGATCCTTTTTTTAAATGCTGAACCCCCCGCATTACTCAGGGGC